TGTGCCAGCGTTCCAGCATGACTCACCCGAGAAACGAGAAACGGAGGTGGAGGCTGAGCTCTGCCCCTTCTCACTTCCGCCTCCCGGTGGGTCCTGACCACACCCTCTCCAACAGGCACCCTCCTCACCGGCTGACCACTCCAACCTTCCAGCGACCAGACACCCTGACCTTGAAGGGCCTTCCTTTCCTTTCAGACACAGCTTTGCGGGGCCAGTTGAGGGGACCCGGCCGAAGATGTTGCTGAGCATCTACAGGGAGAAGGGGAGGCCTGAGTCTGTGCCAACTCAGGCTCGAGACCCAGAAGCTCCTCTGCAGGCTGGGGGCTGGGGGTCTCCGGGAATGTAGGCATCTGACCCGGTGAGCCCTCCAGGGCCCTCTGAGGGGGAACAGTGAGCCGCAGCCCGGTCTCATCCCTCAGCATCAGGCAAGTCAGAAGACCGAGGGGCAAGACAAGGGCCTGCCAGCTTCCACAGAACAGGCCCCTCGCAAAGGATCGGGTCAAAGTCCTTGTACACATAAATAAATCTTAAAAAAAAAAAGGTATCTGCGGCACACCCTCCCCCCACTACTCCAGGGTCTCTTCCTCAAGAGGCTAAGGGAGGAAGCCCCTCATCCGAGCCGGCAGTTAAAACAAGAACCAGAGAAAGGGGTTTCCACGTCACCCCAGGGGAGGTTAAGGTCAGGCCTGGGACAAGCTGGGGGCCGCCGGCCTAGGCAACCACCAGAGGGGCACAAAGCGGGCGGCCCAGAGAGACGCCCACGCGGGAGGCGAGGGAGGACGGCGCGCGCCGAGGGCGTCCTGCGGGACAAGGCGGCAGGTGAACACGCGGCTCATAAATGCTGGAAAACAGCAACGAAACGTAGCGGTCATGCCAGGAGAGATGAAAACACGTATCTACACAAAAGCTGTAGCCAGCATTCCAGCCCACGGCACTCGTGAGCGCCCCCAGTGTCCACCCACGGGTGAACGGCCGGCCGAGAGCCGAGTGGCCGCGCCCGGGGCGCTTAAGGGCAGGAAGCCGCGGGCGGCAGCACTCAGGTGGCATGTCCAGATTCGGCCCATCCATAGAGACCGAAGGTCATTCCGTTCGTCAAAGAGCTTCTCCGGCTTCTCCAGAGGAACAGCTGCCCGTGTGTCCATCACCCCCACTCCCGCCTCCCCCTGGCCCGCGTGGCCTTGGGCCCTTCACCTAAGCGCTCCGTCAAGGTTGGCCTCCTAGTCGCCAAGTCCCAAGACTCCTTTCCTGGCTCCTGCTCCTCTCCGGCCTCTGCAGCACTGACCCTATCGCCCGCTGGCTGCTCCTCGGAAAGCTCACCTCCGTGTCTGTGACATCCCTCACCTCCTCGGACCGCCTGACTTCCATCCTCTCGTCTCCATCCTCAGCTCATAACAGTGGCTGTTCCGCAGTCCCTGCGCCCAGTTTTCCCATCTATTTCCTACTGGATGCCCCCCTCAGGCACCTCAGCTTTGGCCGATTGAAGACAGATTCTCACTATCTCCCTAAGCCAGCTCTCCTTGTGGCTTCTGAGCGTGCCCGGCGCTGCAGGATGACAGTCTTGACGGGATCCCAGAACCCCACCTCTGACTAGGCTTCAGGGCGATGCCTCTGTGAAGGCCCGTCCTGTCCCGGCCAGCATCCTGCATGACAGCCACTTCTCCCACCTGGAGCCCACGGCCTTCTCGGTGACGTCACCTCCTAACTGGGTGGCTGCAGTTCACAGACGGGTCCCCCTGCCACCAACCTTCCTTGCCCATCGCCTCAGTTGAATTTTCTTAAAACCCAAGGTTAAATGTGTCACCAATGATTTGAAAATTCTCAGGGATAACCTTCTACATTCCACAAAGCATCTGTGTCTGGTATGAAGACTCCCCAACTTGTCTCCAACTTCACCTTCTGCACCTGTAGATTCCAAGACATGGCTAGGAGTCATGATTTCCAAGGCTCCCCACGTGCGTGTCATGCTGCTTCTGACACTCATCCTTTTGGGTCCAGCACAAAAGGCCATCTCCCTTGATGGTGACCTTCCCGATCCCAGGAGAAGACCCCACCTCTCTGCCTTCAGAGGACCTGGCTTGTCACTCGCCCTTTCTCACACTAGAGATCTGCCACGCGAGGAAGGGCTGCAGGTATTGTGTCACAAGCAACCCGGCCCGAGACCCCAGTTCCCTTCTATAATGGAACAGGCCTGGAGATGAGCTAAGCAGCCCTGGACAGCTGGTCTGACCTACGGTCCCACAGCATGTGCCTTTAGAAGTAAATCAATACATGAGTCCCGTTTAAAAATCTAGACAGTTCACATAAAAATCCAGACCTGGGCATCTCTTGAAAAAGAGATGCTGACCTCTCTTCCAGAGTCTTCCTTGCCTCCCCAGTCTACACAGCTACCACAGTCACTCTTCATACCATAGGCCCACTTTAGCTTCTTTACAGAGCACTACCAAACATGCTTAGGTCATGTTTATTTTTGTTTCCTCCCTTAAGTTTCTCAAGAGAAAAGAAACCTCGTAAGTCTTGCCCACAGTTGTCCATGGCACTCTGTCCAGCGCAGGGTGCTCAGAAGCCACCGAGCGAAGTGGTGAGTGAATGGAGGGGTCTCCAGGGCCTGACTCCGGAAGGGCACTGATGGACCCGGGCAGGGCAGACATGCCGAACGAAGGATGCCCGCCTGCCCGCACCTCCGTGCACAGGCGTAGTTCCCACGGTGCACACCAAGGAAGAGTGTTCATTCCTAGTCTTCCTCACCGGAGGGCTCCTGGAGCAGCTGGGTTGGCCACCCCTCATCTAACTCGACCCCAAGGGCTACGTCCAGTACAACTTAGGATCCAACCCAGCCCCAGGTTGCGGAATCCATTCCGACATTCTACAAAAAATTAGTTCTAAGTGAAAGAAATACAGCAGGAACAAACCAAGGCCCTGCATCCTGGAGCTGGGGGCGGGGCAGTGCAGAATGATGTGGGGAAGTATTCCGGGGTGTTCATATCTGCCACCACTGGCCTTCAGCCTGCCCAACCTCCAGGGCCCAGGTCAAGGGGCACCTCCTTGGTGTGGTCTTTCTGGCAAGCCAGCCTTGACCCAGCTCCCATAATTGCTGACTTTTACTTGTTCCCTTTGGAATGGTGAGCTGTTCTACACTCAGCACTAGTTTTATTGTTACTCATTTCAAGCTCCAAGAGGCCATAAAATTCCATCTTCCCTCCCTTTCATGTTCCCTGCAGTTCAGAAACCACAGCTGGCACCTGAATATTTGTTGACCAACTGAAGACAGGAGCCCCCACCTCCTTTTCCCCAAATCCAGTATGGGGACTTGTGAAGCCACTGGAACCACTGTGGCAGTTTCCAGTAAAATTTCCATTTTACTCAGGAATTCAGGGGAGTAAAGTTAAAACATAACCACTAGGTAGTTGAACAGACTCAAATTAAGGGATTGATTATGGAATAGGAATGTGAAATGCCCATGGATCTATTTTGTGAACTTGGTGGCCAGCAGCTGTGGACATAGTGCTTTCTGGCTGTGTCGTCTGGGTAAGGTGATGAACTGTCCGCCCTTGAGCCTCCATTTGGGCATCTGCGAGAGGGGATGAGAGGATAACGGAGTCTCCACCTGCCAGGTTGTTGGCAGGCCCGAGAACACGCAAGTGGTTGTATGCTCAACGCACCGCCTGGCACACAAAGCACATTGGCTGCCCTTGCTATGTTCCAAGAACTTCTCTCCCATTTGTTTTTGGAGGCGCCCAGTGGAAAGTCTGTAGGTGTGTTGGGGCTTCAGTGAAGGGTCTCACCACACTGGCAGGATGACCAAACATAAAATACAAAGACAGGTGAGGGGCGCACTGTTATATAAGCCAAATAGGAAAATGAGAAATGGGTCCTTTTCAGTTAGCGGCTGCCACTTATCTCTTTCCCCAGGAGCTTTCTGCTGCCTATTTCTTCATCTGCACAGTGCGGGTGTAGCCATCACACCTGCCTGCAAGGTCTGGCCGGATCATGGATGTGAAAGCTCTTGGTAAACTCAGGAGCACAATGCACCGGGGTATTGCTTACTCTAGTTACTAGACACTGGAGGTTAGGCAAGTTAACCTCTTGGCTTCAGCCTCCTATAATACCGTGGCAATCACTGTCCCCTGGGATTAGAGTGAGGAGTAAGTGAACTAATATCAGAGCTCTGGGCCGACCTACATCAGAAGAGCCCAACTGCTAAGAGTTGCGTTACGATTACAAACCGAAGCCTTGCGTTCCCCCAGCGCGGGGCCAGGTGGGGGCGGCTCTGCAACCAGCTGCTGACTTGACCTTGGGCAAGCGGCTGGCCCCGTCTCCGAACCTCGGCTCCCGTGGCCACGCGAGGAGCGCGTTGCAAAGAGGCCCCTGGGCTCCGGCCGCCTCCTCTACGCCGCCAGAACAAAGCGTCCCGGTCCCGGCTCCCCGTGTGCACCGAGGGGCGCGCGGCTCGAAATTCCTGCTGCTCAAGTCCCCGGGCAGCGCCGCGCCGGAGCGCGGGTCCCCATCCCGGGGAGGCGCGCGCACGCTCCGCCGCCCCCTCTCGGCTCCCCCGCAACCTGCTTCTGCCTGACACTTCCCCATCGCCCAGCGCCCCCGCCACGGCGCGGCCGGGCGGCGGGGGGGGCGCGGGCCCGGGCCGCCGCCGGGACCCCAGCGCCGCCCGGGCCCGCGGGAGCGACAGGTGCGGGGGGTGGGCGCGGGGGGCGCGGGGCGCGGGGCGCGGGCGGCGCGCGAGGGAGGCGGCGGCGCGCTCGGCCCCCGCCCGGCCCCGCCCGGCCCCGCGCCGCCCCCGGCCCCGGCCCCGGCGCTCCCCACGGCGGCGCCCCCGAGCGGGCCGCGGCGCCCGGGGCGGGGCGGGGCGAGGCGCCGGGGCTCCCGCGCGCCGCCGGAAGGGCTGAGGGGCCCGGGCGGCCGCGTGGGCCGGGGCGCCCCGCGCGAGCCGGGCCGGGGTGGGCGCGCGCCGGCGCCGCGTAACCCCTTCCTCGCCGCGCGCCGCTCACCGTCGATGTCCCCCAGGGTCAGCTCGTCGCCCAGCTCCGTGAGCGTCTCCATGGTCTCCAGGACGCCCAGCTCGCCGCTCTCGTCCATCGCCCGGCTCGGCGCAGAGGCCCCCCTGCCGTCCCGCTCAGGGAGACACGGGGGCGGTGCCGCCGCCACCGCCCATGACACCCGACAGCCCCCGCCCGGTACCGCCTCACCGGCCGGTGCCAGCAGCCGCCATGTTCGCGCCGCGCGGGAGGGGAGGGGCGGGGCGGGGCGGGGCGGGATTCCCCCGCCCCCCCGCGCCCGTAGCCCCGCCTCCCGGCCGCGCGCCTCCTTGTTTGTTGTCAATGGGACCAGGCTCGTGGCGGCCAATCGGCGGGAGGAGCGGCGCGTGGGGTGATGGCGCGTCATCGATCAGCAGCTCGAATTTGCATAGGGAGGCCACGCCTCTCGCCGCGCCGCCGCGAAGGCGAAGCGTAGCCCGCGGGTCCCCAGGCCGACCGGCTTCCCTGCGCTTAAAGGGGCCGCTCCTTTTCCCGTGGCGGCGACTCCACCGGTGCCTCCGGGCACCGGCCGGGGACTGAAGGGTTAACACGCCCCTCCCCCGCCCCCCGCCCGGGTCGCCCCCGGAGCGAGAGGCGAGCCCGTGACCGCCTCTGCCCCCCGCCCCCGGCCCCCCGCCGCGGACGCGGCGCCCACCGGGGCTCCCGCCGCCCTCCCGGCCCCCCAAGCACTCACGCCCTCGGGCACCGCGCCCCGCCATCCGGCTGCGGGCCGCGGGGCTCACCCCGAAGAGCAGACCTGCGGCGCCCGAGGACGCGCGTTTCCCGAGCTCCATCCAGGCCCCGGACTCGGAAAACGGGGCGCCGGGCCGGGGGCGGGGGGCACGCGAGGGCCGCGCCCTGGACCCGCGGCGGGACGACCCCGGCGCACACGCGCGTGTGCTGACCGCGGCTCCCGAGACTCTAGCGGGGGGTTAAGTGCGCCGCGGCCCGACTGAGGCCGCAGACGGGGTCGCCGGGCGCCCGGGCGGGGCAGAGGCTGTTCTGGGCCGGTTCTGTCGTCTGCACCGCGGGGAACCAGGGGCCGCCTGGTCGTGAGGACTCGACGGTGACTGACACGTTCATTTGACGACCTTTATTGAGCATCGCTGGCGAAGGGCTCCTGCCCTCCGAGCGCTTCCCGCCCGGCAGGAAAAGCAACATCAAACAGGAACCACACGATGACCCAAGTCGTCAAGGGGAATAACGGCCGTGAGGCTCCGACGGGGCGTCAGAAAGGATGGCGGCACTGGCGCTGAAGCCGAGACGTGTGAGAACCGTGTCTGGCACAGCCAGCGGGAAACCAGTGACATGCACAAAGGCCCTGAGGCAGAGTAGCTGGCACCAGGCCTGGCACATACATGCTGAGGGCCCAGCACCGCCGCTACTGCACCTGGAAACAGAGGATGTGCTTCTCACGTAAAAGGCAGAAAGGACGGATGTCCAGCAGCCTTGCTCCATCACCGTCTAGGGGCGTGGTTTGGTTTAGGGTGAATTTTGCTTCCTTCTTGGTATTTCTGTACTGTTTAAAGCACGTTTTGTAAGGAACATGGGTAACAAATAAAGCACCTAATTTGGGTGGGGGTGGGAGGGAGACAAGTGTGTGCTCGGGGATGGCTTGGTTTGGGTGGCACCAGCCCCTCCCTCCCCCCAACAGAGAACTAAGCCTGCTGCCCGGCCTGGACCGTGCCACCTCCCACGGTGCCTCTCAGTGGCCCTTGTGGGGCTCCCCACACTGGCAGGAGACTTTGCTGGCCTACCGTGACTCACTCTGGTCAGTGCCCTCCTATCCCTGAGCCTTGCCCAGGGCTATCAGAGCACCAGGTCCAATAAATGGGCAGAGTTCCCAGTTGGGCCTGCCCGGAGGTCACAGCAACTAGAGCAGTGGCGAGGGGCACGCGTGCAGGCATGGTGGTAGAAATGGCAGGAGAAAGATGGCAGCACTAGACCCAAACCTAGCAGAACAGACCTCAGCCCTCTGCCCTGGGTGCCACCTAACTGAGCACCTCTTCCTGCCAGTGTGCCCTCGCCAGGATCGGGTGGAACAGCCTTAGACAAATTACTCCTCGGGTCCTGGGGTCTTCACCTGCAAAGGGAGAGACTGGACGAGATGGCCACGATGCTCAGAAGGCCGCCGCATATGGGGCGCCCCCACTGTCACACCAGAAGCCGGCAGGTCTCCACATGTAAGACCTCCGAGCCCTCCCTTTTGGGCCTCCGCTCACAGGGACTGTCCTCCCTCCTTACTCTTGCAGGACTCAGTTCTGCTGTCACTTCCTCTAGGATTAAGCAAAAGCACGGACCCCACTGTTTGACAAAGAGGTGGAGTCAGCAGTGGGAAACATAAGGACAGAGGGTTGTCAGGTGGCATCAGGGCAAGTACCAATAGCTTTGGGGATGTAACTGCCAATAAGAAAAGAAGAGAGGAGGGCCTGCAAGTGGCACAGCGGGTCAAGCGCAGCGCTGTGAAGCTGTCCGCAGCCTCTGCAGCACAGGTTCGATTCCTGGACGGCCAGGGAGATTGCCATATGGCGCGGCAGACCTCTCCTGTCATGCCCGCTGCTCCCCTCAGCAGTGTATTTCAGTCAGTCTGCCTGTTCTGTTCCCCATTCTGGCTCTGGTGAGTCCTCTCACCCTCCCACACCTCTGGCCTATACCCCAGCTCTTGTATAAAAATAAATAAATTAAAAAAAAAAAAAGAGACTAAGCTGAGAGAACCCTGTTTAAGGGGCAGGTGAGGACAGAACACTCGGGAAGAGAAAGCGCAGACTCAGGGGCCAAGAACCAGGACAACATGGTGCCAAGCCCCAGAGTCGGGAAGGGACATCTCCAGAAGTCAGCGACATCATCTCTGGGCATCATGTCCCCAGGGGACATCTGGCAATGAGGAGACATTTTTAGTTGTCCTACTGGAAGACTGCCACGGGCACCTGGGGGCAGAGGCCCAGAATGCCACCGAACACCCTGCAGGGACAGGATGGACCCCCTCACATCCTGACAGACTCGTCTGCCCCAAGTGTAAACAGCGCTCTGCCAGGAAGCCTGCCAGAGGGTGCTGGAGAGCCCCCGGGCTCACCAGACAGGAGCACTGCCCAGACCACACTGAAACCACCACTGTGGCCACCATGCACCCCAGCACGGGTCTGGACACTGGAAGCCCCCCGCCCCCGACATGGCTGTCCTGGTCCCTGAATCGGGTTCTGAGTGCACAGTGCCCCAGGCTGGGCTTCCGGCTTGTGGTGCTTCGGCACAGCCCCAGCCCCAGCTGCAAGGAGGCGGGACAAACCCGTGCCCTTGCCCCTTCCAGCTCTGGGCAGGAGGGAGTGGGCCGGCTGGGCAGTAAGCCTGGAGGTGGCACTCCCGCAGGAAGCGAGCACAACAGCCAACACGGGCAGCAAAGGGCAGGGGAGGTACCCCGAAGGAAACTGGGCCCATTGAGGGCAGAGGGAAAGGGATCAACCAGGATGGAGAGGCTGGAAGTGGAGATGGACGAGTCAGCACGGGGGTACCCGATGGACAGAGGTGAAGACGGGTAAGAGCGGCCCCTCCGGCTGTGCACACGTGGGCGCTCAGCAGATGCAGGGACAAGGAAGAACCGTGGGAGACAGGCACCTGTCCCCAAGCAGCGGCCCGGCCTCAGAACGGAGCTGAGGGCTGGGCGGGGGGCTCAGGTGCACCGCACGAAGCCACAGCACAGGGAAGTGGGGGGCAAGTCTGCGGGGCCGAGAAGAGACTCCACTTCCCTGTCAGTGGTGGGGCTGGGGGTTCTGGGGATGAGCATGTCCCTGCCCTGCTGAGAGGCAGCTCCTGCTCAGCGAGCTCGAGAGCAAGCACTGCCCCCAGAGTAGTTGCCCACCAGGGTGGCCTCTGCAGCAGCCAGCGGTGGCCACGGGTCTCTGCTCACGGGTCTCAGCTGGGGACCGGCTCCAGCAGCCCTGCCAGGCCACGCATGGCTTCCTGCGGAGCCGCAGACTGTCCCAGCCACAGGCCGTCTCCCGGGGTTGCCAGAGAAAACAGACGGGCACTTCCCAAGCGTGCTCAGGGACGGTCCCAGGTGTCGAGGACAGAGATCATGTTGCTCCAAGATCATCTTGGGCTAAACGCCTCCTGGGACGCCCCCACGCCTTCCCAACACTGACCCTTCGTCAAGGACCGTGCTAGGCAGTGAAGAGCCTAAAACAGCGGCCGCTTTGCTGCCCCACCAGGGTCTGGGGCTCCTCCTGAGGGGCAGGAAGACCCTCTTGGTCTCTACAACTCTCAGGGTCCCTGGTGCACCCCCCAGGCTCCTGAAGGGGCTCGTGGCTCCCTGGGACCCAAACCAGTCTCAGTGGGCCCAGGCAGTTTGCTGGCCTTTATTGTGCCTCTGCAGGGGCCTGGCAGCTGGGGCCAGGACCTGGGCCTGGCGGTCGCGACCTGGCAGGCCCAGAGCAGATGTGGCAGCTCCACACTGCAGTCTGGCTCTGCTGGCTCCCCAAGAAGGGCAGCAGCCAGCTGGCCAGAGGTCTTCATCCCCCGGGAGGGTCCAGCCTGGAACCTCTCCCGCCTCCCCAGCGGAGCTGCAGCACGGCGTCCTCGCAGGGTCCCTGGAACGGTCCCCGCCCCAGGAGCCCCTGGGAAATCCAGCCCTCTGAGGCTCAGGCCCTTCAGCTGGGGCCGCGTTGGCTCCAGGGGCCAAGCAATCTCGGCCTCTTGCGGGCCGGCTCCAGGCCCTGGCGGCACCCAGGCCCTGCTGCCTCCTGGCCCTGCGACCCCGGGCTGCTCCAGGGCTATAACTCAGACTGGGATCTCGAGATGCGCGGGCCTTTCCGGATCTCTTTCCGCCTCTCCTCTTTCTTCCTGCGTTTCTCTTCTTCCCTCAGGGCCTTCTGGAAAGGGTCAGTGCTGGAAATGAACTGAGGGAAGAACAGAGCGGTCTGGTTTAGTCTGCTTGCTCACCTTCAAGTCTAGGCTTGGGCTACTCCTCCAGGAAGTCTTCCCTGGCCGTCCCCAGCCGACCTGAGCAGCAAAGAGCCCCCAACTCCTGGCTCAGCTTGCAAGGCGCCTGACTGCAGCCGGCACCCCTCCAATCTTGCGACCCCTCCTTCCTTCAGTCTGCTCTGCTTGTTCCTGCCCTCGGCCTCACCCCCAGGAGCTCAGGCCCTCCACCTCCTGTCGGCCCTGACTCCTTAGTCTGCAGGACTGTGGCTCCATCATTCCACGGCCTTCGCACACTCCCAGCGCACATGCCTCGGCCCACGCCTCCTCCTGCACCGCAGCGCACAGCCACACCATGCTGGCTAAATCCAGTTTCTGCTCACTCCATCCTGACGCCCAGGCAGCTGACACTGCCACGGAAAATCAACCAGGTGACACCAATCTGGGCGAGCCCTTCTGGGGCCTGGCCACCCATTCCAGGGCCTGGAGCTTCCCACACGCCTCCCAGACACACCTCCTGGAGCTTCCCACACGCCTCCTCCTGCCTCCTCCTCACTCGCTGGCATACCAGACCTTGCTTCCGCCTTGCTGAGAAGGAAAGCACTCGGGAGACGACTTCCACAGGCGCCCGCGCCACACCCGCCGGCCCACCGGCTCCCAAGCCCACGGCTCTCCCGGGCAAGCAGCCCTGCCCGGGGCCTGCTCTCCCCACTGCAGTCCCTGCACCAGCAGGCCCCCCTCCCTCACCGGCCATCCTTATCAACAGACCAGCAGGCTGTGCTGTGCCAGGGAGCCCACGATCTCCCCAGCGGTCCTCCCACTGGTCTGCTCCCGGGAAACGCTTGCAGGCCCCTGCCTTCCTCTCACTCTCCTGAAACCCAGGCTTTGTCTTGGATCTGGCCTACAGCTCTGCCCTCTCCTCCTCACGTTCCCCACCCCTCCAAATGTGCTTCCCACGCAGGATCTTTGCACTTGCTGCTCCTTTCGCCTGGAATTTTCTTCCCCTGAATACACAGCGGGCTCCCTCCCTTCTTCCAGGTCTTTTCAGGAAGACCCCGTGTCCAAGTCACGTGCAGTCTCAAGTGGTGCCCACCCCTCCCACGCTCCCTAACCACACTCGTCTGCGTCTCCCTGGCCCTAGCGCGCCCCTGGGTGGCCACCACCACATTCCGTGACACCCGTCCTCACTGAGCATCCTCAGCAGCGAAGCCCCCGGAGGCCAGGGCCAGTCGGTTTCTCCAGCAGCTGAGATTCCACAGACGCTCACCCCGTGCCTTGCCCCCGCGTGCCTTGTTGTGCCAGAGGAATATGTTGCTCCTCCCGCCCCCCTCCGAGCTGACTCTGCGCTGGGAGGAGCCTCCCTCACTTAACCGGAGCCCCACCATGGGCTGCCCCGCTGCGCCCAGCTAGGCCCGGCACATCCGCGTCCCTTTCCTCCGCCACGGGTCACGCGTCCTGCTGCCTTCCCCACCGGACTGGGCATCTGGACGGGGACAGGCGCCCACAGCCCAAAACAAGCTGGCTCCGGTGCAGGGCACCTCGAGAACATAGAGCAACAGAGGAGGGTGTGGGGGACACGGCGAGCCCTGGGTGCTGCTGGGGGACAGACAGGTCCACGCTGGATAGCAAAGCAGGAGTAAAACTTGGGGCTGTTCCCAGCCAAGGAGCAGCGAGGACAGGGCGTGGCTCTGTCCAGGAGAGCGCGACACCAAGAGGCTACTCACTCCACCTGGCACCCACCCTGCGCCCCTCCGGGGTGAGCCGCAGAGCAAGCAGAGCCAGTGCCCCAGCGACCCGGACCTCTGTGGCACCCCCCAACCGGGAAAGCCACGTGGTGCCCTCTGGGCGTACCATCGGCTGTACTGGGGTCAGCAAATGCGGCGCCACTGGGGAAGCCCCACCTCAGCTTCATGTGAAGGGCTGGCAGCTACTCTGGTGGGAAAAGCAGCCGCCCTGGCGCCACCTGAAGCAAAGCCAGGGGCTCACCAGGCTCTGCGCCCAGAGGTCCCCCTCATGCGCCGAGCCGGCCCAGGGCAAGGGGGCTGACCGCTCTGCTCCCCGCCGCCCCCCGGGCTGGGGACATGGACTTGGGGAGGGCTCCCGCCACCCAGCGACAGGCCTTCACTGCACCTTAGCTGCTTGGAGAAACAGCGCGGCTTGTGCTAAGTGCGCCCTGCCCTCTGGTACCCGCCACAGAGGGTGCCGAGGCGTCGGCCTCAGCAGAAGCCCTGGGCGTGAGTCTTTAATGAGCTCCCTGACAGGCAGCCCTTCCCATGAGCTGGCACAACCTGTCTGGTGTCCGTGTGCTCCGCTGGGAGGGGACTGAGGCTGTGCCCAGCTTCCCTGCACTCGGCCCTGCGGCCGCGCTGGCCCTGAATCCTTCACTATAAGTCCCAGCGGTGAGTCCTCCTGGGGACCCTGGACTCAAGTGCCGAAGGGTGGCGGCAGCCAGCCAGCCCAGCAGCCACCTGGGAGACCGGCTCCCAAAAGGCCAGTCAGACCACACTGACCGGAAAGCTGCCGCCGCGCAGATGGCTCCCCTCCACCAGGCAGGGCACATCTCCACTGGCAGCCCCAGCCGCCGGGTCACTCACTGCTTGGAAGGCTACAGACCAGCAGATTTAAAGTGGGACCACAGTTGTGACTGACAATGGGCAGACTGGGTCACGTGTTCAAATGCCCACAATGTGGCCCAGTTTTGACAAGACGGGCCGGCATAAAAATGTTGACCAAGCCAACACTGGCCAGGCCACCTAAATGCACCACGGACTGGCATGAAGCAGAGAGTTTCTCTGGCTTGACTACTGGGGTCCAGGGCTGGAACACGATGGCCTGAGGTCATCGGGATAATCACCAGTTGGCTGACACGCTGCTGGCCTGGGCCCCACAGCGGCACATGGGCACCAAGTGGCAGCCTTAATGTGTCTGTGCGTGTGAGGGAAGTGCCTTCTGCCATCCCCACTTGGCACTTCTTTTTTCTTCTTTTTTTAAAGGTTTATTTATTTGTATACAAGAGCTAGGGTGCAGGCTAGAGGCGCCAGAAGATGAGAGGATTCACCAGAGACAGAGTGGGGAGCAGAACAGGCAGACGATTGAAATACACTGCTGAGGCGTGACAGGAGAGGTCTGCCACTCCATGTGGGAATCTTCCTGGCCGCCCGGGAATCAAACCCGTGCTGCAGAGGCCACGGACAGCCTCACAGAGCTGTGCTCAACCCACTGTACCACCAGGGAGGCCCGCCCACCTGACACTTCTGACTGAAGAGTTCCAGGTAAGAGCAAGGGATGACTGGAGAAAAGTGAAATTATAGGTACCGGGATGTGACACACTAATTTGCAACAATAATCCCGCCACTACGGAGGGCACGCCCTGGATCCCAGGAACGACTAATCCTTTGTCCCTCCCGTCCAGGACCGCTGCTTGGCAAAACCTTTAGCGTCTGCCCGAGCCAAGCGCCTTGACAGCTGACGAGCTGACCAGCTGCCGGGTATAGCATTCTCAAGCCCGTGATCAGAAGCTCGTCCAGCGCTGTGTGCACAGTGCCTGTCCCCACAGGGCACCCACAAGACCATACTGCTTCTGATGCAGTGAATTCCAAAGTCTGCTCAGCTGGCGCCCATGAGACAGCAGGCCTGGCTGTGTAAAGGCCATTCCCCTGGTGAGCCCGGGGAACCCTCCCCGCGAGTATGGAGCTATTCTGCTGTGGCTGACACGCCACAGGCAGCTCTGGAAGCGACCCTGTGCAGACAACAGGCCTCACTTCAATGGGGCAGATACTAGTTCATCTGCTTCTCTTAATGCCCAGCAGCCTAGGGTCATGCCACGTGGGACAACTGAGGCCAAAGTTCCAGGGATAGTGCTCTTGGGGCTCAGCCAAACAATGTTATGGTGACCCAAATCCAGTGGTAACACCTGGGGCTGCGGGGATCATGAACTGTCTCTGCACTGGGAACGAGGACTGCGTTGGGCCTGTCAATTATCCCAACTATGGGCAGTGACATCAAAGTGTGGCAGGTGAGTCCAAAGCCCCGTGCAGGTGGCAATGGACCGGCCCTGGTCTGTAACCTGATTTCTAAAATAAGACCTGCCAATGTCCCCAGGACTCACAAGGCTGAGTGCAGCACTGGTGGTTGGCCGCGTCCCGCACGAAGCCGTGTGAGACATATTGAACAAACCTGACCCCAGCCTTGACTGGTCGGATTAATCAGGCCAAACAGCACATTCATGTGGAAATCTGAGTGAAGCCAAGACGTTGTGGGGGAGGCCACCCACCATGGCCTGGGCCTTCCTACAGGTTCTTCACCAAGAACCTACTTGGCCACTCTCCTTGGGCAGTTTCTCCTGGTCGTGTTTGCAGAGAGCTACCCTGAAAGCTCCGGTGACATCACCCCTAAACAAAGAGCAGGTTTGGGCCTCCCCGGTGGCGCAGGCGGTTGAGCGCAGCGCTGTGAAGCTGTCGGCAGCCTCTGCAGTGCAGGTTCAATCCCCAGCCTGCCAGGGAGCTACCCACATGGCGCAGCAGACCTCTCCTGTCTCGCCCGCTGCTCCCCTCAGCAGTGTATTTCGTCAGTCTGATTGTTCTGTTTCCCACTCTGTCTCTGGTGAATCCCCTCACCCCCCTGCGTCTCTGGCCTGTACCCCAGTTCTTGTATGCATGAATAAGTAAATCTTTAAAAAAAGAAACTTAAAAAAAAAAAAAGAGCAGGTTTGCTTCTGCTCCCTATAAAAACGGATATCCCAAGCCCTGTGTTCCTCAGTGAACACAACCCCCTGCGTGCACAGCGCCTGTCCCATGGGGCTGGGGGACACAGGGCACCCACGAGACCGCACTGCTTCTGCTGCAGTGAATTCCGAAGTCTGCTCAGCTGGCGCCCGTGAGACAGCAGGCCTGGCTGTGTAAAAGCCATTCACCTGGTGAGCCCCGGACACCCTCCCCGCACAGGGCAAGCCTGTGACTTGACGCGTCCAGTCTTCTAGCCCTTTGTCCTGCCCCTTTGGCCCTGACTTGCCATCTCTGTTCCCGTCCCCCACTACCTTATGGTTCCCAATTCGCCTTCCTTCACTGTGGCCTCTGGCGCCTCCGCCCAAGTGTGACAGCATAGGCAGGGTGGGCAACCACAGCCCGGCCGGGTGCTCAACTCAGCAGCAGAGCTGGGCTGGCCTTCCTGACATTCACCTGATATGGATGTCCAGTCTCTGACTGTCCCCCTTCACTGGGGTCCACCCCCGAACATAAGGGACCCCACAGCTAAGACAGAGCAGAGGCCTGCCAAGGGCACCCTGAGTGAGTAACGTTCCTGGCCCCAGACCCAGGCGCATCTGGCTCTAAGACCAAGTCCTCACACTGCACCCCAGGCACCCCAGCCCCTGCAGGCCCTGGCCACCCTACGGCCAGCAGCGGCAAAGCAGACAAGGTCACAGGCCACGTGGCTCACCTCGGCGTGGTCTACTTTAAAGGGGTTCTGGAAGTCGGAGTCTTTCTCGCTGATCCCCAGCTCTTGGGCCATCTGCGGATGAGGAAAAGTGAGTCATCCTCTGCCTTCTCCTGCCTTCTGCTCACCCCAATGTCACTCCTCCATCCTGCACATGGGAGCCAGGAGATGACCCCAAGGGACTCAGGTTAGCACAGAAGCCCTTGAACTGGTACCACAAGGCTTTGCACAGAAAACAGACCCGAGAGCTGATGCGCAGGCCCAGGTGAAGATGGGGCCCTCTCCAGCTCAGTCCTTACCAGGCTGAGGATGGGCGCGTAGGGTCCCTGGTCAAAGACTCCAGACTGGTTGCAAAAACTGAGGCCCCAGCGGATAAGGAGGTTCCAGTTGGAGTTGTGGTCAAAGTAGTGGTGCACGATCCTCGGGAAGCGCAGCACCACGTCACCGAAGAAGGCCGTGTTCTCCACCACCTGGGAGAAAGCTGGCGGCGGACGCTGATGAGCAGCCAGGGCAGGCACCCTCCCTCCTCCTGCTGCCTGGCCAGCCCTAGAGGACAGAGGCAAGCCCACTCCTTGGGCAGCCACTGTGCCCGTGGCCCACAGGCTGCCGCCCACAGAGACAGGGTGTGCCAAGGGCACAATAAGGGGACTTGCCAGCTTGGGGCTGAGACAAGTGAGGCAGGGACCTCTGGACTCCAGAACAACCCTGGACCTCCAAGAACTCAGGAGTTAGCTCAGTTGACAGGTAACACCTGGGTGAACCGCTTGTCCTGGAAAGTGGAGGAAATTCTGCCTTCCCCAGGGGCTTCTCTCTCTCAGCAGCACCACCCGGGACACTCAATTATTTAAAAGTAACAGTTAATGGGGGAGGAGAGAAGAGAAATTCTGAAAGAGGGGAAAAGGGACATAGAACATTTCGTCCTTATTTGTCTATTTGCCTCATCTAGTTTTTAAAAGGGTTTCAGGGCATCAGGGCTTGGCGACAGCGCAGAGTATGGTAACCACCCACACTGGCCGGATCACTTCAGTTTTATTCCTGTACACGGGGGCACCCCCTGCCTTCTCCACCAGACGGGCCAGGGTGGTGGGAAAGCCAGGATCCCTGGGGTGGTAGTGGGCAGAGGCTCCTCCCTCACCTCCCTGCCCCAAGCGCAGGGCAGATCAATGGAATATGTCTGTGTCAGGTGCTCAGGAACTGGCACTGAAGCCAGCAGTGCACGGAGAAGCAGAGGCTCAGTGCCCTTCCACCAGGGGGCCCTGAGAAGGCGCCACAAGGGAATATTTCCAGAGCGAGGAAAACAATGTCCAGGACAGGAGAGAAGGAGCAGCTAGGGACGACCAAGGTGGGGGCGGGGAGAGCTGGGAGACCGTACCATCTTTCAGTTTCTCATCCTGGGGGAAGGGCCCCTCTGGGAGCACATCTGCAGCAGTGAGCACTGTCCGGGAGTCCTCCAGCACCTGTGGGAAACCCACCTGGGGTGAGCGGCTTTGCAGAGCTTGGCCTCCTGACTTCAGCCGGCTTCGCAACCAGTTCCTTCATGAACACACTGTGCCCCCCCACTCCTGTTCATCCACGGGCTCCAGATCAAAGACTGCCACTCGCACCTTAAAGAGCCCCTTGAGCATGACATCAAGGATCTTGTACTGCTGGTGGACATCGTTCAGCTGTGCCAGGTTTTTCAGTGCCAAGAGCTGCTCCCGCCGCTTCACCTCAAACATCTTCTTGTCTGGGCAACACTAGGTTAAGGGGCTGGCACTGACACTCCTGCCTGGACAACTCGGAGAGCCTGCTCCTGACCAGCAAATATCTGCAAGGGCAACAGAGGCCCTCTGCTGGGCCCCTCCAGGGAATGAGCGAGCTGTCTGTGAGCATGCGCAGCCTGCAGCATATCATCAGCCAGCGCCCGGGCCGGGCTCTGCCTTCCCTTCGCTGCGGTCCTGCCATGCCCCACCACTCACTGTTTCAGAACCTCCGCGCCTCTGCTCACAGCGTCTACCCTGGCCCAGCACTCCCCACCCATCTCTGAGTTTCTAGTCTTTCAAGACCCGGTTCACAGTGGTTGCCCCCTGCGGCCGCGTGTTCCCTCAGAGCTCTGATGGCCGGGCGTGCAATGTGAGGCCTGTGACGATCTCAAAGCCAGAGACCTCCTTTGTGTCCCCAGGGTCAACCCAGAATAGATGGTCCTGTGTGCCAGGGCCTAGGTCTCCATCCAGGGTCTCGCCCACAAGGTGCTAAGCCCATGTACAATCCCGAGAGCCCTCATGGCTCTGGGAAATATGCTTTACCTTCTCCATTTAACATATGGAGAAACTGAGGTTCAGAAGACACTAACTTGAAAAACGTGTGGTTTCTGCACCCTGCCTTTCCTTCCCTGCTCCCATCAGCTGGGTCCGCTCTACCCCAGCACCCAGCGGGTTATGGGTATAGAGAGACCTCGTTAACAGACTGTCAGAAACAGTTCATTAACCCCACCTCCAACCCCAGAGGATACAGATCTCCAGGCTTGGGTCCGGGGAGCTCCTCAAGGTGCCCGTGACTCCTGTCCCAGAGAGTAGCAGAACAAAAAGGAAGAGCAGGAACCGGAGGGCCATAGCTGAGGCCCTGGAGCTGGGGGATTAAGCAGAGACGGGTGAGACCTGGGGCCTGGTGTTCTGTGAGAGCGAGCGAGCAGGTGGGGCATCTTCCTGGGAACCAGAGACACAGCCTCCAAATACCAAGAGCCCAGCTTTGGAGAGCCCAGTCCCAGCCTCGGGCCTATGACTAGCAGACACATGACTAAGACGATGGGGTGGGAGGAAGGAAGGAAGATAGACATCGGCCATGAAGGGATGCTGAGAGCACAGGGGTGAGCCCCTGGGCTTGCGGGCTGGGGCCCTTGCTCTCTCCCTCCCACCCCCCACCGCCCCGACCTGTGGAACCTCAGACAGATTGAGCCTCAGCTTTCTCACCTGTAAAACAGGATAAGGAGGTCACCTCCCCACTACAGGGAAGGACTGGGTGAGGCTCTGCCTGGGGAAAGAGGGGCTCGTCACTATCACTCCACCTCAATCCCCTCATCCTGGCTTTCCAGGAAGGTGTCGGGTCAAGGAGGCCCAGGCAAAGAGGATGTGAAGCTTCTGGGGCCTCCCTTCCCTGACTTGTGTCACAGGAAAGGAAGGTGTGCAGGGTGAGAAGGGAGCCGGGTAAGAGGGCCGCTATTCACTTACCCTGCAACCACAGGCTCTAGGCTGAGAACACTGCAATGCATTCCGCCAAGTCCCCTGCATGCCTGGCACTGAGGTCTGTCACAGGAGTAACAGACAACCAACAGACAAGGTGCGCGGGAGGAGAGGGAGTCCGAGGGGTGCACTATTAAACAGAGTGGCTGCAGGCCTCACCCTAGATGACTGCTGTGCAGTTTTACCAATGGGGACACGAAGACACAGGAAAGTGGGGGACTGCCCAAAGTCACCCGGCTGTTGTGAGGCTGAGCCTGAGCCTCGATGAGCTACCTCAAAGCAGGACACCTGCCCCGGGGGAAAATGTTCCTTCCAGACAGTGACAGTCCGAGGAAGTCCTTGGGGGAAGCGCCCCCTCCCGCGCTGGGACAATGAAGTCTGGGGGTGGGAAACAGTCCAGGTTCACTTGGGGAACCGGCCCCTTCTAAGTCTCACTCCAGGCTCAAGGGAGCCAGAATCAACCTCTGGAAACCTTGAGGCCCAAGGGGCGTCGGTGAGTGATGACTGGGCGGAGAAGCGGGGCAGCAGAGGCGGGAATGCAGCCGATGGGGGTGTCCTGCTTCCTCCCGTTGCGCCCATTCCGCCTCTCACCCCCGCCCGCTGCCCCACGCTGCCCGGGTTCTCCCGCTCGGCGGGAGCGCGTGCAGGGTGCGTGCAGGTGGCGGGCCCGGGGCCGGGTATCCGGCTCGCGCACTCGGGATGCGGCCCGAGCCTCCGGGGCTCGGGGTCTGGCAAGGAGCGGCGTCCCGGGACGCCAGCCTCACCTCCCACCCGCCGCAACCCGCTCGGGACTCGGTCCCGAGCGCCGGCCGAGGGCCCGCCCGCCTGGTGTGCCCCACCCCACCTACCAAGCAGGGCCACCGGGCGGGCAGGGCCACCGGGCGGGCGGGCGCTCGGCGTGCGGCGCGGCTCGCGGGCCCGTCCCCCTCCCGCAGCCGGAACGCGGAACCGCGACCCCGCCAGCGGCCACGCTGGGTCCGCGAGCGCCGCCCCGCCCCGCGCCGCTCTCGGCCAATGAGCGCGGGCCGCGCCGGGCCCGCCGCGCTCCGCCCCGCCCCGCCCCGCGCAGCCCCTGGCCAATGGGCGCGGGCCGCGCCGGCGGCACTTCCGGCCCCGCCCGCGCCGCCAGGTGCGCCCGCCCGGGCGGGAGGCGCCGGCACGTGGGGCCTGGGCCCCGACCCGCGCCTCCCGAAACCCGCAGCTCCCGGGGTTCCCGAAGTCGCACCGGACGACGTCGGCGAGGGGCGTGGCCGCGCCGCGCTTCCTCGCCCCAGAAGCCGCGGCGCGGAGCGGCGCACCCACGCGGGCTCGCAGCCGGCGACGCTGGGCGAGGGTCCCGGGGAGGCCCCAGCGGGGCGCTGGCGCGTCCCGGCCGGCCGACAGACGGGCTTGTCCGCTCGTCCCCTTCGCCTGGACGTCGCGACCTGCACCGCCCGGGAGGCGAGGCCGCGGGAACGTGCCCGCGCAGCGGCGCAGCCGCTCGGCTCTCCGGTCGGGGCAAGGACGGCCGCCCCAACTCCGGGAGCCCCGAGCGCGGCCTTTTTTCACCGGCACCAACTCCGACCCCCTCCTGGGCGGGCGGACTGGCCAGGCTGGACCAAAATAAGTGGCGTTTTGGGAGCGCGCACACGGGTGGGTGAGTAGCCCTTTATTGCCCGACTCCACCTCCACCGTGGAGCAAATGGCCACTCTGTCCCCATCTCCCTGCAGCTGTGCCCTGCCGTCGTCTTCTCCAGGTCTCGGGTCTGGCCATTCCTGGGCCTTCAAGTCCCAAGGGTCAGTCTCTGATGTGGGACAGCGACACAGCCACCCCTCCCAGGCAGCTGGCAGCAAAAAACATGAGCAGCAGAGGGAAGGCCAGTCATGGAGAAACACTTCCAGAGCCCAAAAGGGTGAAAAAGCATCAGAGTGGTACAGGCGCGCCTAAGAACGCTGCGGGGTCTAACGTCTGGCCCTGAGCACCCGGGCCAACAGTGGCTACAGTGGGAACTGAGGTGTGGACAGAAAGAGGTGTGGGGAGCGGCTGGCTAGGGAGGGGAGGAAGCATCCTGCACCCCCTCCACAAGCACCCCCTACAGGAGTTGTCCCTGGAGCACTACCTCCCCGCAGGGCTTCTGACTACTACCTCTGGCCCAGGGCTTCCTCCGGGACATGCCAGTTGCCCAACATTCTCTCCACGTTGGGCTGAGGAAGCCCTTATGCCAGTGGGGTTTGGGCAACTTTCTCCAGAACTCTTGGAGAAGGACTCGCTCCTTCCCGAGTTTGGCCAGGTAGCTCTGGAGATAGGCACATCCAGGTCAGCTAGCACCGTGTGATCCTGAACACATCGCTTACCTGTCTGATCTGTTACCACTACCTTCACCTCCCCACTGCTAGGAAGACTAGAGCATGTAACGGGACTGGGCCTTGGTAGTCAATACACAGAACACGTCATTGTCATTGCTACCACCGTTAGCATTCACTGACCCCCTCCTTGCTTTGCAGGACAGGGCTGTGGACAATGCACTCTGTCCTGACGCATGATGCCACAGCCTCCTGAAGCCTGGGTGGCCTTGCCGGGCCAAGGCTCTCAAATGCACAAAAAGGATACAGCATGTCCTGCAGGGGTGGCTGGGCAGAGGAAGTCCAGGGAGAAAGGCCCTCCAAGGAAGCCTTCAAAGTTTGGGCTGTGCTGTCATCAGAAAGAAGCCCCACACTCTGGACCTTAAAGGGGAAGAGGGAAGACGACAGGCCACTCCCGCCACCCCCCGCCAGCTGCCGCCATCAGAGCCCCACCTCCAGGCATGATTGTGTGGGGGACCCAGCCTCACGGGAGTGCCACGCAGCATCCCCTTCCTACCCACCTGCAGGAGGAAGCCATGCAGCGCCTGGAGCGTGGCGTTTGGAAGGGCAGCGGGGTCAGCCAAAGCCGCACCTTGCAGAACATGCGCCACCTCTTCTGGAGCGAGGACTGCGCTGCTCCGGAACCGCACAAACTGCCCAGGAGAGAAGCCCCAGCACCAGGAATCCGCAGCTCCTTCATGCAGCCCTATCTCCTGTGCCCCTGCCGTGCTCAGCACGAGCTGCAGCCCCAGCTCTGAAGCCCCCAGAATCTGGCCTTCCAGGAGCTTGGGGTTGGCAGGTGTGGGGTTGTGTCATGGTGCGTAGGGTGCACGACACCCCCAAGACCCTGAGTTGGCCTGCTGTGACCCCCTGGCGCTGAACCTCAGACTGTGTGGGCACTCGACCTCCAGCACGTGCTCTCCTAGCTGCCATTCTCACTTCTCCACCTGGAATACCTGTCCCCCTCCACCTGCCAGACCTGCAAGTCTCAGCTGAAATGGTAGCGCCCCTGCTGAGTGTCCTTTCATTTCATTGCAGAGATACAGGCATTAACTGAGTGCGCACGACATTCCCTCCCTCTCAACGGTGGCAGCGACAATTACTTTGTTCTCTGTTCCCAGTCACTGATTTACCCATCAGTCACCTCACTGTCACGCGTGGGCTTTGGCTTTGTTGTTTACTCAACAGGCACGTAGTACAGGCCAGACAATTAGCCTATCTCCTGCTCTGCCAGTAATGACGTCGTTTAACCACTAGTTGGCTTCTCTGTCTCCTCTAGACTGAGGAAGCCTAAAAGGCAAGAGTTTAGCTCACTGGCCTCTTGCGCCCATCGCACGGAATGGTCGATATTTCCCAAGCGTCGGGGTTTACTGGGGTGAGGAGATTTGGGCAAGTAGAGGAATCCCTGAGCAGGCCTCGTGTAGGGGAACAGCTCACTCAGCCCCTCTGTTTTCTTTGAAGATTCAGGGTGGCCTAAAGTAAGGTGTCCGTATTCTACAGGTCAGGACCACCCAACTCATGACATTCTTCAGACCACAAGACCATCCTTCTGCACCTACCAGGGTCATGAGCCTCAAGATCTCTGGCCTGAGGAAGGAGTTCTCGCCAGCATCCAGGAGGGTGAACAGCAAAAACCGATTCCAGGGCTGGGAGGCCACATGGCGCGCTACAGGAAACACCAGTCACTGTGGGTTGTTAACACCGCTTTCCCAAAGGCCTAGGAACCCTGCTAGAGAGGGCTGTAGCTACAGGTCCCAAAAGGGCAGCTCAGCCACAAGCAAGTTGACTCCAGGTTTCTTCTCTGCTGCCTGGCTCAGTGAGACCACACATCCCACTGGTGGGGGAAGAAGCAGCAGGCAGGGCTCCGCCGCTTCAAAGCTGCAGGACCTCGGCTAGGCATGTCACCGACCTCACTGAGCCACAGTGTCCGCAACCATATACGAGCGTGAGCATGTTGTGCAGTGCTGTTAGCAGCATTCAGCAAAATGATTGTGTGTCACACAACAAGGGATGGGAGTGTGGAGTAGTGGGGTGGCTAGGGCTGGCCCCCAAAAAATACCCCCATGAAAAATGTCAGTGAACAGGGAGGGTTTCTACCAATGTCTGGGCTCCGAGTATGCAGGTAGTCAAGCAAGGCCTCCAGGCAACCGACGCAGGCATGGGACAGCAGAGGGTCCTTCTGCAAGAAAAGAAAACCCAGAGAAATTCATGTCAGGATTTGCTACCAATGAGTTCTGGGGCTAATACAAAATTCTGAAAACATTTGGTTTTCAGAATAATTTGGATTACAGAATTTCAGATTTGTCGATAATCAAGAAATGTTTGATGGTTTCATCTTTCACCCACAGAGTATCACACTTGCTTACACTGGCCATTTACGCAGTCGGAGGCTGCTTTGTTTCAGAAAAGGAGATAAGCCTTGGGCCCCAAAAGAGATTCACAGATTACAGACTAAGAGCCCCGTAATTTATCTAAAGCAGCAAAATGTTTCATCAAACCAAATGATGCTCTAATAAAGATCTCATCATGTCAGACCTCCCCTGGTGGCTCAGCAGTTGAGCACTGGGCTGCGAAGCTGCCCGCAGCCTCTGCAGCACCGGTTCCATCCCCAGCCACTGGCACGACAGACCTCTCCTGCCGCCCACTGCTCCCCTCAGCAGTGTACTTCATCTATCTGTTCTGCTCCCCACTCTGGCCCTGGTTAATTTTCTCATCCTCCCATGCTTCTGACTATACCCAGTGCTTGTATAAATAAATAAATAAATCTTAAGAAAAAAAAATCTCATCATGTCATTCGGGAAATAAAGTCCCCATGTGCTGCCATTCCACACACACCATTACTTGGAACCTTAAAAGTTGAGGATACCAAGGACTTCCAGGACTCTCAGACACAGGTGTGAAGGTAGAATGGTGCGGCCACTGTGAAATGAATGTACCAGCTGAATGGCTTCTTCTACAATTAAACACAGACCTACTGCAAGTAGGTAGAATTTCAAGATGGCCCCATGGCCTTTGCTCCCAGATGCTATTCCTGTGATTATGTAACATTGTTTGGCAGATTTCTCAGATGGGCCCAACCTAATCACTGTAGCCTTCTAAAAGCAGAGTTTTCTCTGGCTCCTGGCAGAAGAACTGAAGAGAGTGGAGTTTAACAGGAACGACGTGTTGCTGCAGTGAAAATGGTGTGGCCATGTGAGCAAGACCTCGCAGAGCTGAAGAGGCCCCTGAGGAACAAGTGGGGTTTCAGCCTCATGAGACCCTAAGTGCAGAGTCTGAGTCATCAGCTGTCTGACACAGAATTGTGAGGTAACGCACGGGTGTCGAGTGAAGACATTTCATGTGTAATAACTTGTTACACAGCAACAGAAAACCGATAACATCATTTGAACCGGGCGCCTGACTCCTAGGTATTTACCCAAGAGAAATGAAAACAAAGATCCACACAGATTTGTACACAGCAGGTCCCTGAATATTATAACACTGATGAGGAGAAGAAATCCTGGCCAACGTGAACAAAACAAGGACCTGGTTTCATTATGTTGGGGTTTTTTTTGTTTTTGATTAAAGTCACAGTGAGCACTTACTGTACTTCCCCTTAATGCTGAAAGACTCCTTTTGTTTGTAGATGAAGAAAGTGAGAACCTGTGAGAGGAAGTGACCAGCTGAAGTTAAGCTAGTGGCTGGGCAGGGCTGAGGTGCAGTTCTGCGTGAGTCCGGCCAGCCCACCTTCCACTGCTTTGTACTGGGCCCCCCAAGACTGCTAATGACTGTGCAGACTCTGCCCACCACTCAGTCCACTGAGGCCACTGCTGCTCTGGCCCAGAGATGTCAGGGAGGACAACACCCGGCAACCCGGCTTCCGTCTTTAACCCCTTGGTATCTATCATATTTAAAGGTATCAGCTTCAGTGAGATTTTACTAATCATAAAATTCATCCTTTTAAAAAGTGTAATTCAGTGGTTTTCGTACACCCTCAGAGATGTACGGCTCTATCATTCCAGAATATTTTCATCACTCCAAAGAGAAACCCATACTCATTAGCTGTGGCTCCCATCTCTGTGGCTGTATCCTCACTGGCCATGGACATGGAATCATGCACCATGTGGCCTTTCGTGACTGGCTTCTTTCTCTGGGCATGTTTTCAAGGCTCACCTATGCTGCAGGAGGTCAGTACTTCACTGCTTTCTATAGTCAAAGAGCATCCAACTGTACGTCTATAGTCTGTCATCCACTCACTAGCTGATGGACATTGGGGGTGCTTACACTTTGGGGCCGTCATGAATGGTGCTACTGCAGCCAATCCCCTCCATTTTGCAACAGAAAACACCCCTAGACTAAAAATTAGGAATAAGTGGAACTAAACTCTACTCTTTTGTGTCCCCTCTTCAGGACTGTGAACTCAACCCTTGTTGCCTCCTTAGGATTCACTGGCTGCCCGTGCATTCCTGGGAACATGGACAATGGATCACATCACAACCCTAATACAGTTCCCTCTGCCCTCTGTGGATGATAGTGGCATCAGCAACAAACATCTGCTGACTGCCAAGAAAACATCCTCCTGGGAGGCAGACTCCTTGATTCCTGTTATCTACACAGCCTGGCACCTCCTAAGACCTGGAATTGGGAAGTCCTGACTCCCCTGCCCCTTAGAAGGTCCCAGTACTCCTGCTATTAGAAGAGTTGGGTGTTTTGGAGTACCTATCCCGCTGACTGCCTTGATGAATAAAACTCTTCTATATGAAGACAATTCTCACAAATCAGTTTGGCTTTCTGGGCGGGAGTAAAAAACCCGGTTTGGTTACAGTGCTATGAACACTTTACACAAGTTTTTGTGTACACATTTGTGTAGATGAATGCTTTCCATTTTCTTGGGCAACTACCAAAGGGTAGAGTAATGGATCACTTGGCAATTTATGAAGTATTTTGAAGTAGTTCCAGGCTGTTTCCCAAAGCAGCTGCACATGGGGCCTTCCTCTAACCCACATCCTCGGGTGGTCTCTGGTATTACCTGTGCTTCTGCTTGTAGCCATCCCCATGGGTGTAAAATGGCCTCGCTGTCATTCACTGGGGTCAGCGCAGCCTCTTGCTCAACAGCAACCTGCCTCCAGGCTCTCTCCACCCACCTACCTTCCCTACCTTGGCTGCCTTGGTGAGCTTCCAAACACAGTCCGCTGGAGTCCTTCCTTGACACCCGCAGTGCTTAGCCGCCACCAATCTGGCCCCTGCCTCGACTTTGCATTTCATCCACTTGCGCCACACCCCCACACTTTCATCACCTGACTGTCATGTTACATGACTTTGCTCACACTGTCCTTCCTGCCTGGAATGCCTTTCCATCTACCTAGACACCCTTCAGGCTGGAGTTCAAACGCCCCTTCTCTGACCACCCCTCCCCTCGGGTGGTTGTTGCCAAAAGGAAATTTACATTTTTATGGAAGAAGATAGAAATACAAACTACCGACCATCTAATAAAGCACGACAAATATTATCCTCAATACAGGACTGAGTAAGCCATCCTGGGAGCTGAGCAGAGAGGGGCTTCCTCTATTCTTGGATCACCGTGGAGAAATGTGCACTGAGCGGAAGAATAACTGAATAAAGAACTATTTTAAAATGACAAACCTGTGGACGAGTCTGAGGGGGCTTAGACCCAGCTCTGAGGGGAGGACAGAGCAGCAGAATGACTTCCAAGTAGCAGGTCCTTGAAGGACAGACTTTCATCATAATGCTGAGGAGGCAAAAAGTCGACTCCCAGACAAGGCCACGGTCTGTGTGGAGTTTGCATGTTTTCCCCATTCTCTGCGATTTTCTCTGGGTTCTCCAGTCGCCCCACCCCTACCATCCCTGTTAAGTTCATAGCATGTCTGTATGTCCTGTTCTGGGGGTGTGTGTGTGTGTCCTCTGTGTGTGCTGTGTCCTACCAAGGGAGGGCATCCACCTCACACGTGTTGTCGGAGGGGGCTCCAGTCACCCATGACCCCGAACTAGGGTAAGTGGGTTGGAAAATGAATGACTACACATGGCTGTTGGGTATTAGAAATATTTGGGATCTTTACTTAGAGACTTGGCAATATTTTGTGACCAGAAATCCACTGTAGGACCTGGATTCATGCTATCAATTAGCCAATGGTAAGACCAGTTTCCTTACACGTCGTTTAGCTTCAAGTTGCTCAGTGATGTTGGGTGAACCCTTGGCAGTAGGGCACTGTGGCAAAGGGAGGCCAAGGAATTTCTCAGGAGCGTGGCCATGACAGAAAGGAGAATGGGGCTACTTGGTCTTGTCCATCAGGCAGCAGCAGGGACGCAACAGAGGCTGAGCCAAGCTCCTCCCAGCAGCACAGCAGGTGAGCTGGCACAGAGAAGCACAGCCTTACCTGCACCAGGAGGTTCTGCAGTCCAATAACGAGTGACAGCACTTGAGCTGTTCCCAGGGGAGCTAGGACAGAGTCCTCGCAGGCTGGCGGAGGTCGGGTCCCTGAAGGCACCAGAGTCACCAGGGCAGAGGAGAAGCTCTGCTGCAGGGCTGTCCGCAGGAAGCGTAAGATGGCGGCTGAAAGTGACAAGCTCCTCATACCCAGTTCCTGCCTCCTTCCCCACCTCCCCCCAGCTCTGTCATGGGGAATACAATGGGGATACTAATGGGGTAACCACAGGCTGGCCTGGGTGGGGTGGCCCCATCTTAGACTCTAGGGAAAAAACTTCGCTTCTGCTGGAGGTCCCTGGGCCCACACCTGAGAGCAGAGCAGCCTTTTTCTTTGGAAAGCTGAGGGCCTTCAACACTTGGTCCAGTTCCACGGACAGTATCTGGTGAACCTGGCAGGGCAATGGGTAAAGGGCCAACCTTGTTCTAGGAGCTTGAGCAGATTATTACCTGCCCTGTATCTCTTCCACCCACACATACCCACGGCATCCAGGACAGACACAGGCACACGTCATCCTGGCACCTCACCAGTCCTTGCTTCAGGAGCACGGGGAAGAAAATCACGCCCGTTCCTGGAAAACCCTCCTTCCCCAAACCTCAAGGTCCTCGAGGACCTCCTCCACCAAGGAGCCTTCTCTGGCCTCCCCTGCAGGGTTCAATCTCCCCACAGCGCACAATCACCTAATTCAGATCTGCAGTCAGACGACCCAGCAGCTAAACTCCAGCTCTGCCGTTGCCAGCAGTGGGACTGTGGGTGACTGCAGTGCATCTTTTTTTTTTTCGTCATCTCTGAAATGGGCCCAGGGACACCTGCTTTCACTCCCTCCAGAGCTACCATGAAGAGCAGTCAGGGGTCAAAGTGGTGTCCCCACTGAGGGGTTAGTCAGCTGCAGTTCAGAGCTGTGAGTCCTCACCAGAACACAAGTTGCCCAGGGGACCTCCCCTGCAGGGATCTGTCAGTCTAGCATGGAACCGTTCCTTCCAGATGCCTGCTGGCCGGTGGGGTCGGCAGGCTCCAGGCACAGATGCCCCACCATGTGAGCTGCGGACAGAGGAGACCAGGCAGCGGAGGGCGCTGTGTGGGAGGGCACGTGCTATCTGCTCAATTTTTTTGTAATTCTAAACCGTCCTAAAAATCAAGGCTATTAAAAATCATCCAAAAACAAGCAACAGAGGTGCGGAGGTGTGCACACGCCCGGAGGACAGGAGGCGTGGAAGGGCAGCAGGAAGGCTGCAGGAGGGCCGGGTGAGAGGAACACAAAGGTGCCGGAGGCTTGGGGGCACAGGGGAAATGCAGAGGTGCCCGCGGGGGCAGGCGGCGTAGAAGAGGGGAGAGGCTGGTCTGGAGAATGTGAACAGGCATGTTAGCGGTGAAAACAGACGGTCAGACCTGAGCGAGGGCAGTGGGAGGACTTGGAGAGAAGGCAGCGGGAGGAACTGGATAGTGGGAGCTGAGGGCCGGGGCAGAGCCCAGGACAAGGTGCGGGCTTCCACCCAGGCCGCGTCCGCACATCTGCGAGAGCCAAGATCTGTCACAGCCTGTTGCCACCCTAGTGGCCAAACTTTAAAACTGGCTCACTTGTACACAAATGAGTGTGTATCTGGCACTGGCACAAGGCTGGGCACAGTGTAAGGGTGCCACGAAGCCACAGGGCATGGTCCACAGGGAGCAGCCGGGCTCAGAGAGGAGACACCCAATGTGAAGCCACCCGCGAGGAGCGGGTGTGCACTGTGGCACCAGCTTCCACAGGGGGAGGCACTCTGGGCTGCCCTATGGCCGCTGCTCTGTTGTGCCCTGGCCACCTTCTCCAGCAGGGACACTGACACCCACACCATGGGCATTCAGGGCCACAGACTGGCATCTGCCTTCTTGTCCAGTCTGACCTATGCTGCTCGACCCCTGCTTCCCAGCCCCCGCTACCTCGCACTCTGCAATGCCGGCCTTCACCGTAAGCGCATGTCGCGGGTGCCCTACTGTTCTTTCGCCGCAATGGCTCTCCCTGCGGCCCTTGCCTGGTACAGCCCTTCTCGTCTGTAAAGGCTGTGCTCAGAGACTCCAAGTTCCCTACGGGCAGGGCAGATGCGGCATTCATCCTTTATTCCTCTGGGCCTGGGAGATTCACGCCACTAAAAGGGACCCACCGAGACAAGTGCCTGGCAAGTCCCTATTTTGTAAGCAAGGGGATGAGGCTCAGAGAGCGAAACACCTCACCAAGGCACTTAGTTAACCACCTTGCCAAGGTGAGACAGCAACGAAGGTACTGCTGCGCCCACAACTCAGGATCTTTATCCCTCCCTTGGGTGCCACCCGTGCCGCAAAGCCACAGGGCCAGAGACCAACCTGCAGGCTGCCGTGGTGCTGCTGCGCAGAGAGGGAGGCGGCGAGCAGCCAGGCCGAGCAGAGGAGCTTGGGCCCCGGGAAGCCAGCCTCAGCCCTGGCCCAGGTGAGCGCCAGCATCTTCTCTAGAAGCTCCACCAGGGCCGAGCTGCTCAGGAGCACAGCAGCAGCTGCGGGGCAGGGGGATGGGGTCTGAGCACCAGAGTCAGGGCTCAGTCCCGCAGGCTCAGCGCATCACTGGCTTCCCACAGCATGGTGAGTCAACAGAGGATCCTCTGGAGGCACAAAGCTTCATTCCAGAGCCACGGGTCATCAGAACCAGAAAGGACCTTGCGACGACCACTGAGGCCAGCCAAACTCCCATTATATTTTTTAAGATGGAAAATCTGAGCACCACAGACACAGCCCGGCACCCTTCCTCTTGCTGTCCCAGCGTGGGTCCCAGCACCTCTTTTCTGACTGCCTGGCGTGGTCTGGTGAAGGCTGCAGTACAGGAAGTTGAAGGAAGGCTGCAGGATGTCCTGGTCGGTGGGGCCGCACTTCCCACACAGCTTGCTCACTGTAAAAGAGGAGGCCCGGGCACTGCACCGCAGCGCGCCCCGCTTGAACACCCACAGCACTCGCCATCCCCACGAGCCAGTTTCCGATGTCAGTCTTGGGGTCCAGACACTAGGTGTCCCTGACGTTACAGCCGATGGGAAGGAACATGGTGGGAATGCCGAAGGCCTGTCCGCGCCCTCCATCAGCACAGACGTCAGGCCAATAGCCCACAGCTGTGCGTGGGGACAGACGGCAGCTCGGGAGGTGAAGCAAACCCCTGCAACCTTGCTCGCACTGGCGAGACCTGGACGGCGGGGGCTGCAGAGGTCACCCTGGCCAACCCCAAGTGGGGAGCAGGGCAGCTCAGGATGCTTGCAGCAAGGGGGCCCTCATCACCTCCCAGGGCACTCTAGCCAGCCCTGTGCCATTCCCTGACTTCTTGCACCTCCACCTGGTGACTCCTTAACTCCTGCTTAGAAATCCAAATTCACCCCCGAGTCCCCCTTCTCCATGAAGTTCCCTTAACTTCGCAAGGCACAGGCCCCACCTCTTAGCGCAGCGACTGCACCACGGAGTGGACTGGACGTCTGCAGAGACCAGCCCTCTCCTCCTGGGAACGGCTGCTCCCTGCCCCCGCCCCCAGGAAAACTACCCATCTCCACCATCCACTTCTCTGGCCGTTGCGTCACACTTGGCTTGCGGTCAGCCAGACAAGTGGGTCTCCTACCCCCCCACCCCAACTACAGATCTCCACCCCCAGTGCTCTCGAACAAAAGCACTCAGCACGCCGTGTAAATGCGCATTATATTTCATGTGTGTTCAGCCCATTATTTTCCCTGTCAAGCCCGCAGGCCTCCTTCCCGGCTTAGTGCCACCCTGACCTGACTGACCAGCACCGACCACCACCAGGCGAGCCTGGGACTGCTACGGATCCTGACACTGATCTCTGACCTCTGCCTTCACCTCCTCCAGCAGCGCAGTCTGAAGAGTGCTGAAGACGCGCACCCACCCTACTAACTCCAACCTTTCCTCAAGAAGCAGCGACTGCAATGAAAGGTTCCAATAAGGCCTGGGGGGAGGGGAAAAGGAGACCTGGACCTCCTGTCCAGGGCCAGCTCTGGGCCTAGGTGGAGAACCAAGTTTATCTACGAGGATGGTGCCCCCTGAAGGCTTCCTGCTTGCCAAGCGCTGTGGAATTCTTATCTGCAGTCACTTCTTAGTGCCACCCGGAGTCAGGCTCCCAAGGCGGCAGACCTAGTGACTACGCTGAAAACAAACTCAGACCAGAGGCCTCACCCCAGAGCCCATACTCCGGTTGGGCCACAGGTTGGGCGGGTGGGTGGTGAGGTGGTGGGTGGACTGGAGGGCTGGTTTATTTATTTATTTACGTCTCCCAACACCCCCAGAGAATGAGCAGAAAAGGTCTGAAGGTCCCTCAGCAGGAAGCCCAGGAACAGAATGACCCTGTAGCGTCTTCCAAAGGGGGGCAGGTGGGAGTGGAGCCACAGCAGCACGACTGAGGGAGCACCCACAGCTCCCAGACCCTCGGGTGCCACCGGCACCTTGGTGGAGGAGCTTCATGGCCATGCTGTCCAGCTCCTGCCCGGACTGGTTCCTCAGCTGCACTACGGAGAGGAGGCTCAGCAGCAGCGACAGGTTCCCGGATGCTGTGAGGAACACGAGGGCCGTTAGGGGCTACTGCTCAGCTCAGGTCAAGGTTAGGTGCCCAAGGCACCTAACAGCTGCTGGGATTTGCCTCTTCTTCCTGCTCCACTCCTCCCTCACTGGGGACGGGGCAACCGACCCCGAATGCCCACTCTGGGCTAGGTAGCAGGAATTCATTATTTCACTCATTCCCTTAAAAACCCTCTGGACAAGGGATTCTTATTCCTGCTTCGTGGGGAAGAGAACTAAAGCCCAGAGAGGCTGAGTGCTTCACCAGGGCCCCGCCGGAAGGGGGTCTCCACCAGGCGTCGCTGTGGAATCTCAAGGCCCTTGAGCACGGTTATCAGGTAAGCACGGACTGTCCTTCCCGACAAAGGAAGGCCTCAGCTCCCCCAGACACCCTAGGCCAACCACCACATCCCCATCCTCAGTCAGGGTGGGAACAAGAGAGTCACAGCTCTCCCGCCACTTCCTTGTAACTTCCTGGAAAGTTCATTTAAAAATTCAACTTTCCAAAAACAGGAAAAGACAAACCAATCCTAACCTCAGTGTCTCCCTGCTGTGCCAGACAGCACAGGGGACCCAGTCGGAGTCTGGGGATCCTCCTGGCACTCACTGGCAGCTCTCACCCACCGCAGACCCACCCTTCCCCTGCTGGCTGTGGCCCCTCTTTAGCCTCCCCCACGTGTCCTGCTTTTTCCTTCCCAACTAGGGGCTGCCATTCTTGTGACAAATCGCTCCGAGCACAGGCTCTGCAGGGGGCTGAGGGGACACTCACACTCATCAAACACACCCACCAAAGCTAAACACACTCACACGACACACGCTCAGAACCAAACTGCTCAGTACCCGCTCTAGGGGGAGAGGCAGGATGGTAAAGTTAAAGTGGATGCCACACTGGCCTGACTTTTCTTTTGCACAGAAAACTCTTACTCTCGTCCCTAAAGCAAATCTCCTCAGGGCAGAGCCAGCAGGCTTGAATGACCTTCTGGTGAAAGCGCCCCTAGCAGACTCAGACTGACCTCCCGCAGGGGAAGCTTCATGCTCCACCAGCAGATGCTGCAGGATCATCAGGAAGTGGCCTCGGATGAGACCACCCACTTGCACATCTTCGTTCCTCCTCAGAAAGGCCCTCAGGACAATCAGCGCCTTGCGGGCCGTGGCCACTGGGCTGGAGTAGACGAGATCCTGAGCAGGAGACGGAAGCAGAGCTCAGCGGGCGGCACAGTCAGGCACAGGCGGACAGCGGGGAGGGGGCAGTGAGAGGGCCCCGGAGGACAGTGCCACAGAACCTGGCAAAAGAGGTGCTCCCTCGGCACCCAGGATGCACCTTCCTGTCAAACAGGTCCACCCCCAACAGGAGGAAACGGACACTCAGAGACCCCATGCCCTGTTCAAGGCCACATAAGCCATTCGACGACACAGCTGGGACTGGAAGGCAGCAGAGCTCCCAACTCCAAGCCCAAGCTCTTTCTGCTTCCCAGGATGCCTCTCTCTTGTGAATGAAGGATTAAGTCAACAGAAGGTTATTTCTAGGGCCTCCCTGGTGGTGCAGGCGATTGAGCGCAGCGCTGTGAAGCTGTTTGCAGTCTCTGCAGTGCCAATTCAATCCTCACCAGCCGGCGAGGGTCCCACATGGCGCAGCAGACCTCTCCTGTCTCGCCCACTGCTCCCCTCAGCAGTGTATTTCATCAGTCTGCCTGTTTGTTCCCTGCTCTGTCTGTAGTGAATCCTCTCACCCTCCCGCACATCTGGCCTGTACCCCGGTTCTTGTATAAAATAAATAAATAAATCTTAAAAAAAAGATGGGGCTTGAGTGTGTCTACAGAAGAGGAGCAGGGTGGGAGAGGATAGTTAGGACAGATTCAGGGCACAGGCAGGGAAGCGAGGGCCAGGTCAGGTCCCGTCTGCACCCTGGCAGCTAGCTATTTCTCCCCAAGTCATAAAGGCCCTGGTTTTGGGCAGTGGGAAGGGACATCGCTTTTCATTTGCTTTCAGAGTTACTTTGAATGTGCTGACGGCAAAGGCAGTCAGAAGCTGCGCCAGAGGCTACGTCAGTGATGACTCCTCATGTTATAGGGCAGCCCCGATACAAAACGGGGTGCTTGACTGTGGGTCCTCACCCGCGCGCTTAAAAGGACTTATCAGGGCCTCCCCAGTGGCGCAGCGGTTGAGCGCTGGGCTGCAAAGCTGTGCGCAGCCTCTGCAGCGCCGGTTCGATCCCCGGCTGCTCCCCGGCCACCGGAGGAGGGTCCCACATGGCGCGCAGACCTCTCCTGCCGCCCGCTGCTCCCCTCAGCAGTGTCCTTCGGTCCTTCTGCCTGCTCTGCTCCCCGCTCTGGCTCTGGTGAATTCTCTCACCCTCCCGCGCTTCTGACTGTACCCAGTGCTTGTATAAACAAAACAAACAAATAAATAAAACATGCCTCTATAAAAAAAAATTAAAAAAAAAAAGGACTTATCAATGCTCTACTGCAGGCGCACACAAAAGGGCTCAGGCCACAGCCACCTTCCCTTTGGTGGTGACGGGATTTGTCTCTCCCAATGTCTTGATGGCTTTGGTGTGGAGTAGGGGTGGAGTCCACAAAGCCTGCATGGAATTTGCTCAGGACATCCCTATCCCCTAACACTCACACCTATCAGATCCATCACGTCAATTCCTTGGACAGGCACGTGCAGGCCAGTCAGGGGGGTGCCATGAAGCCACAGTAAAAGACTCCTCTCCAAGGAGGTCAGCTCCCCACACAGAGAGACATGGCTACAGGCCACCGGCCAGACAAAACCAGACGTGCTGATCACTGGGAGGCATGGGGATGACTGGTCTGGCTCTTCATGAACCCCCACAGTTGCCAGGGAAACTACTGTGAAACTAACAGCAACCACTCAATTAGGGCCTAATAATGTGAGATTTAAACAGCAGCTGTTTCTTTATATATAATCTGTAATTTCATAATAATCCTTCCAGCTAAGTATCACCAAAGCCTGTCCAATGAGGAAACTAGGGCAGATTAAGGAGTTTACCTATCAAGACTGCAGCCATACTGTAAACTCCACTACACTGTGGGTTAATGTAGGGCAGGAGTGAGGTCAGCTTTATCTTTTTCGCCTTGTAAGGACTCAGAAAACATCTGTGGAGAAAGATGACCACAGAATGGGAGGGCCAGTGGGAATCTCAGTTCATTTCCTTCAACCCTTTTACTTTACAGAGTAGAAGGCTGAAACTGAAAGAGATTTGTCCAAGGTCACAGGACCCAAGACCACACCAGTTTCTGACAGCTGTCAGAGCTGGCCCCTGAGAGCCCCAAGTCACACATTTTATTTTATTTATTTTATTTTATTTTATTTATTATTTATTTTATTTTATTTTAAGGCTTTACTTATTTATGCATACAAGAACTTGGGTAGAGGCCAGAGATGTGGCTGGTGAGAGGATTCACCAGAGACAGAGTGGGGAACAGAACAGGCAGACTGACGAAATCCACTGCAGAGGGGAGCAGCGGGTGAGAAAGGAGAGGTCTGCTGCACCATGTGGGTTGCTCCCTGGCTGGCCGGGGGATCGAACTCATGCTGCAGTGGCTGTGGATTGTTTCATAGGTTGTGTCTTAACCCCTTTTGCCACCAGGGAGGCCCAAGTTATACATTTTAAAAGTCCAAAGGGAGAGGGGGGAGGGAAAGAAGCTACTCAGGCCGTGGCAGCCCTGGTAGATGCCGGGGAAAGGTGTGGACCCCACCACATGGGTCAGTGGGAAGACTAGGCTGGACATGGACCAATCTGCACTCTCTCCTACCTAGAATTGTCCAGAATGTTCTGGTACTAGATTGAGCAGTAACATGAACAAGCAGGGAACAAACAGAGCTTCTGTGACATCATTGTTCTTCACATCTGAACAACCTACACGAAAGACGACCCATTGATAAGAGTGCCAATTTGCAGTTTTGTTTTCAGCTGTTAATTACCCACATCAAAACCAGAAACTGGTACCAACATGTATTTTTAGATTCTTTTTCCTCCCTGTGGCTAGAAGAGGGGAGCAACAGTAGGAAAGATATATATGAACAGACAACAAAGCTGTGCCTTGCTACTCTTTTTTTTTTTTTTTTTAATTTTCTAGAGGCATGTCTTTTTTTTTTTATTTTTTTTTTTTATTTATTTGTTTGTTTTTGTTTGGTTTGTACATGCACTGGGTACAGTCAGAAGCGCGGGAGGGTGAGAGAATTCACCAGAGCCAGAGCGGGGAGCAGAACAGGCAGAAGGACAGAAGTACACTGCTGAGGGGAGCAGCGGGCGGCAGGAGAGGTCTGCGCGCCATGTGGGACCCTCCTCCGGTGGCCGGGGAGCAGCTGGGGATCGAACCGCTGCGCCGCAGAGGTCGCCGGCAGCTTCGCAACCCAGCGCTCAACCGCTGCGCCACCGGGGAGGCCCGCCTTGCTACTCTTTTTTAACAATTGTCTCTGAGGTTACATTCTTCAGCGGAGTCAGCGAGCACACAACTCGTGCCTAGGGCGTGCCCACATACTTTCTCTTATCCTGACGTTCTTGTTCTCGCATGAGGAACTTAAGTTCAGAGATGCCCTCGCTTTCCCATCCCTGGGGAGCTCTGTCCAGCCCCCCTAGAAAGGAGGGTGATAAGATGGCACATATTCAAAGACAGAACTGGGTCACCACCAGGAGAGGAAGGACGCCTGCTCCAGCTCCCCTGGGACCAGACTCCCTGAGGACTTGGCTTCCTAAGCAGTTTCTCTTTAACTTGTTCCTTTAAGCGCCTACATCCTTTGAAGCTAGAGGCCTACGACAGCCTTCAGTGAGGACGGGGTATCGTGAGCTCCATGTTAGACAGAGCTGTTATGGGTCTGTAGTTCAAGGGAGAGGTCAGGGATGGGAAAGGAGCCGAGCTGTCCGCACACAGCAGGAGGCCACCACAGCCAAGGGACCAACAGCCCTGGGTGCACAGTGGGTGAAGAGAGCCCAGAACAAAACTCTGAGGAACATCAACTTTCAGGTGCGAGCCAGAGAGAAAACTAAAGAGACTGGGAAGGGGCATCCAGAAAAGTAAGAAATAAGAAGAAAATGAAGAGTGCCGACATTACGGAAACCTCAAAGGCGTCACCAGAAAGGAAGTGGACAACCACCAAGCGCTGACAGCCGCTGCACAGCCACACCAGCACTATGGCTGGTCCTGGGAGAGTGGTTTCAAATGGCAGAAGCCAGTGAGTGAGATGCACAGACTTGGGGAGCAAACTACCTTGGCTGTGCAGGGAAGGAAATGAGAGTGGAAGGGGTCGGGAAGGCAGGGACCAGTGAGAGTCACGCTCGGGGGAAGGACACCCAGAGTAACGAGGAGTTGCCCAGGGGCCCACACAGCCCATGATCGTGAACTGACTCTTTCTAGCTGCATTGTTCTCTGACAGGGATGGAAGGTGAAGGCTTAAGTCTGATGGAAAGTCTGTCTGTGTATAGGAATGCAGACAGAGGTAGTACCTGAGAACATGAGATCCGTGACAGCAGGTGTTAATTCCACCAGTCACTCCAATAAAGTCAGGGAATCATGAGTGTTGATAAGAAAATCAAGCAATCTCCACTCTTCTCTAATGGGCTGTGTCATTCCGCCCGGACTACTCAGATGACTAGGTAAAAGTGCATTCACAGCGGTTGCTCTAAAACAAGTGCCCCCGAGGTGGGTGTGCTCAACCAATGAGAGACCTGCCGCTAGCTAGCGATGACTCACCAAATACAGGTGTCAAGTATGCAAATAATTTTCTTTTTTTTTTAAAGACTAATTTATTTTTATACAAGAGCTGGGTTCAGGCCAGAGGCACAGGAGGGTGAGAGGATTCACCAGAGACAGAGCAGGGAGCAGAACAGCAGACGACAGAAAGACATTGCTGAGGGGAACAGCGGCCATACCATGTGGGATTCTCACTGGCCAGGATTGAACCTGCACTGCAGAGGATGCGGACAGCTTCACAGCGCGGCGCTCAACCTGCTGCACCACCAGGGGAGGCCATTTTTTAAATATATATAAATATGGGGCCTCCCTGATGGCGCAAGGGGTTAAGCACCGCACTATGAAGCAATCCGCAGCCTCTGCAGCATGAGTTCGAGCCCCGGTCAGCCAGGGAACAACCCACAGGGTGCAGCAGACCTCTCCTGACTTGCCTGCTGCTCCCCTCAGCAGTGTACTTCGGTCAATTGGCCTGTTCTGTTCCCCACTCTGTCTACCCCAGCTCTTGTATGCATAAATAAATAAAATCTTTAAAAAAACAATATATATATATATAAATGACAGCATTTACCTCTATAATAATGACACTCTTATTAGTTTGCTTTCCAATGTACTTTCTTAAGTGAAGGCAAAAAGGCAGAATTAAAGCCAGTGTTTTAGAAGCTGCAGACAGTAACAGGCAGCCTGCTATGTCTGGCCACATACAAAAGTGCTGAGATTCCCGACCCCCAACTCTGCCTGACATGAGCAGGCTGTGGTGGGAAGGAGGCCTGGCGAGCCCCTCTGCAGGTGTCTGTGTCTGTGGCAGGTCCCGGCGTCAGACCTCTGTTAGCAGAATCTGCTTAGAGGAGGCCAGGAGGGACTGGTCAATGAGGAAAGTCGTTCACAGTTACATCCTCGGGGGAGCAGAGGCAGTGAGCAGACTTCTGCTAGGTCTAGGAAAGAGCATGGACTCACTCACGGAAACCAGGCACTTACCAAATCCAAAGGCCCCACACTAACATGGAAACAGCACTTAAGTCCAGAGGCGGGGCCCCCTGACCTCAGCAAATCAGCACCCAGAGACAGAGAGAGGGCCCAAGATCTCTGAACACAGAATCAAGCCAAGTGGTCACCTACGAGCAAAATAAGCAGGATGCTGGGGCTGCTTCGGAGCATGTGGAACAGGGCTGCTAAGTTGGCAGGAAGGGTGGGCTTCCCGGCAGAGGAGCCATCCTCCAGGTCCTCGTAGCTGTTCTCTTCCCAGGAGAACCAAAGTTCCAGGACACGGTGCCCAAACCTACTCATCAGCTCTGGATATAGCAGGAAGAACCTGAGCAGGAGCGGGTGGTGGATGTAGAGTAAGTGCAGGTCCGGGACGCCCTCTAGGAATTTCCTGATGGCTCTGACCACAGCCTGGAGACGAGAAAAAGAAAGAGTCTAAATATGCCATGTAGAGGACCCACAAGACCCCACAAATCCAGTCAGCACCTGATAGTGTGCTGGCCTCTCACACTGTACACACCAACGCTGCTCCCCCAGGGCCACCTAGTGAGGAGAAGACATCATTGTGCTTACCCTGCGGCAGAGGCTTCAGCTAGGAGATATTCTGCTCCCCTTGGGGACATCTGAGAATGTCCAGAGATTCTGCTGGGGGCGAACTACGGGCATTCCGTGGGAGAGAGCAAGGATGCTGCTACATGGCGTGCAGTGCACTGAACGCTCCCACAGAAAAGACTTCTGTCCTGCTCGATGTGCTTAGTGCTGAGACCAGGCTCTCCAGCAACACTTACGACCATGGCGTGCTACAGCCCACAGTGTGCCTGTCCATGCCAGACTTGAGCAGCTTGAGGGCAAGGCCTGTAGAAGATTAATCTGTGCACAGGCCCTGGCACAGAATGGGCGGGTGTGTTGAATTATTCATTAACCCTCAAAACCTCTCTTTTCTCATTGCATAAAGTTCAAATTCCCTAATATGTTATTTTGAGTTTTACAGTTCTATAGTTTTGGCTCTATCACTTGGGTCTCTAATTTATTTTGCATTAATTTTTGTGTACAGCAGGAGGCTAGAGTCCGGCTTCACTCTTCTGCACGTGGCTATCCAGGTATCCCAGCACCACTGATTAAAAGACTATTGTCTTTTTTTTTTTTTTTAATAGAGGCATGTTTTTATTTATTTATTTGTTTGTTCATTCGTTTTTTGTTTATACATGCACTGGGTACAGTCAGAAGCGCGGGAGGGTGAGAGAATTCACCAGAGCCAGAGCAGGGAGCAGAGCAGGCAGAAGGACCAAAGTACACTGCTGAGAGGAGCAGCGGGCGGCAGGAGAGGTCTGCGCACCATGTGGGACCCTCCTCTGGTGGCCGGGGAGCAGCCGGGGATCGAACCGGCGCCGCAGAGGTCGCCGGCAGCTTTGCAACCCAGCGCTCAACCGCTGCGCCACCGGGGAGGTCCAAGACTATTGTCTTTTAAGGGGAGACCCTTGAATTGTTCTGGCATCCTTATCAAAAATCAACTGCCCATAAATACATGGGTTTATTCTTGGACTCTAGATTCTAGTTCACTGACCTGGGTGTCCACAGTTAAGCCTACTGTCAAGGCATCATTTCAAAGACGACACAGGATGTAAACGGGCCACGTAAGACGACGACTGAATACTGGCTGTGGCCTCTGTCTCTTACTGGTAACACTGATGAGTGTGTTTGCGGAGATGTGGTGGGAGTAGGTGGGGTCACTGGAGTGGAGTCAAGAGAGAACAGGAGAGCCAGCCTGAAGCCTCTTGCCATACCAGAAAACCTAAAGTCCGCCAAAGACGATCAGGGCTCTGTCAAAAGGACTCAGAAACTCCCTTGAATAGGCTCCCACTGGCCAAAGACAGAACAAATTTGAGCCTTGAAAGGATAATAACTACAGTGAATTGAAACACATCAAATGTTTTTAAATCCATGAATTCATTATAATACTAAAAAATTTCTTTTTGTCACCTTTGGAAAATGCAAGGCCACCAACTCATTTATTTGAAAACTGGTAGTTAAAGGAAAGAATGAAATACTCAAACTATATAATCTGCTGTTCAGATATCTGAAGAGCTGAGGAGGGAAGTTTCCTGGTACACGAGGATTCCAGTTAGTAACAGAATGAGAGAATTAGAATATTACTGGTTTTGCAATCCCCAACAAATGGAAGGCTCTAAGCAGTGATTACCCATGGCTGCAGGTATCACAGAAAGAGCAGCAACGAGATAGTGTATTCTTTTTTTTTTTTTTAAGAAAGGGGGTATGGTTTTATTTTTTTATTTTTATTTTTTAAAGATTTATTTATTTATTTACACAAGCACTGGGTACAGTCAGAAGCGCGGGAGGGTGAGAGAATTCACCAGAGCCAGAGCGGGGAGCAGAGCAGGCAGAAGGACCGAAGCACACTGCTGAGGGGAGCAGCGGGCGGCAGGAGAGGTCTGCGCACCATGCGGGACCCTCCGCCAGTGGCCGGGGAGCAGCCGGGGATCGAACCGGCGCTGCAGAGGCTGCGCACAGCTTCGCAGCCCAGCGCTCAACCGCTGCACCACGGGGTAGGCCCTGAGACAGTGCATTCTGAGCTCTATCTTACCTAAAACCTATGTGCTTTGGGGCCTCCCTGGTGGCGCAAGGGGTTAAGACGCAACCTATGAAGTTATCTGCAGTCACTGCAGCATGAGTTCGATCCCCGGCTGCTCCCCGGCCACCAGAGGAGGGTCTCACATGGCGCAGCAGACCTCTCCTGTATCCCCGCTGCTCCCCTCAGCAGTGGATTTCAGTAAATCTGTCTGTTCTGTTCCCCACTCTGTCTCTGGTGAATCCTCTCACCCTCCACACCTCTGGCCTATACCCAGCTCTTATATGCATAAATAAATAAACCAAAAAAAAAAAAAAAGGACTCCCTTGTGGCACAAAAGGTTAAGACGCAACTTATGAGGCTATCCGCAGCCTCTGCAGCATGAGTTTCATCCTGGCCCGCTAAGGAGCAACCCGCATGGCGCAGCAGACCTCTCCTGGCCCACCGCTGTTCCATTCAGCAGTGTACTTCGGTCCATCTGCCTGTTCTGTTCCCCACTCTGTCTCTGGTGAATCCTCTCACCCCCCCCCCACCCCCACACACACCAACCTATGCACTTTCCTTATGCCTTTCTGCTTCCATTCAGTGAAACCAGGTCTGCTCATATCACATTTGCCCCAACAGTAACCAAAAAGAGGCAAAGCTGATAGTCCATGAAGGAAGGGAAGTCTCCGGTTGAGGCTGACAGGCCGACACTAGGGAGCAGAAGCAATCTTCAATGAGAGAGGTGAGAGATTCAGAGCTGACTCGGGCTTTTAGTCCCTTATCCCCAAGAGTTTATAAAGAAACCAAAAAGGGAAATTTGTACACATACAATCACCATTAAAGTGGTCTAAGGTCAACCAAATTAATGATAACCTTGGTCCTGGCTACTCACTGTGTGATAAAATGTCACCGGAAGAAACACCACATACCTCTCTCCTCCCACGTAAACCAGAGGTGGAACTAAGAAAAGAGCCTTTTGGTCAAGTCTGAATCACAGTCCTGGTTCCCCCATCAATTAACTAAAGAGAGTTACTTTAACTGAATCTAGGTTTTCTTACATGCAAAAGAGAATAACAACCTTGACCTCCCATGATTGTTGACAGAACTGGCTCCTTACATGTCAGTACCCTACACCCCTCCACTTCTCCAGCAGCCTCCCCTTCTCTCTGCCACCCCACTTCCCAGCATGGTGTCCCCAGGAGGAGAAGCACCCCAGTCGCGCTGGTCCACACCTCATCTAGTGCACCATCTTTGTCCTGGCAGACGGCAAGCAGGTAGATGGTGGCTCTGAAGACCGGCAGAGGAGGTTGCTCCCCCTGGTCCTGCAGAGACAGCAGGAAGCTTTGCACAGCCATAGATAACTCCAACTCTGAGACAAACCTGTTGACCAAGGAGAGTCCATGTGAGAAAGGTAGAGGAGGCCGTCCCGCCTTGACACATCCCTCAGCCACTGTCCTTCTGGCCCTGCATGTCCACAGCTTGATGACACCCTGCATCCAGTGTGCTATGTACACTTAGAGAAACTGTCACGCCTGCGCAGAGCATGGTTCTGTCCTTTGTGCAAGATTAAGGGCCAGAGACTCCTACTCACCCCTGGGAGGTGAAGGGTCTGCCAGCTGGACTAGCACTGTTAGACAGGAGCATGCCACTTCCTTTGGAGTTCAGGAGGCCCCGATCCACCCCTCCCATCTTGTGTTTATTGTTATGCATTCGTGTGTTTAGTGGGTTGTGATTTGAGGGGAGGGAGATATCTATGCTTGTACACGTAAGGGAGATGGGATAAGGAGACTGAATTTTCACTATGCAACCTTTTATTCCTTTTCAATTTTCTACCACAAATACGTCTCACCTATCAGATTATATATCCCAAAATTGAACATTTAAAAATAGTCAGTTCTAGTTCTTTTACCATTCTGGAGCCTATAGAGGCCTACTGGGAACAGGCTTCTAAAATACGTCTGGAAGACTGTGGTTCAGGCCATTTTTGCTGGCTACAAGCAGGTCTCCGGAACCTAAAGGCACACACAGCTTTTCTTAAAATCGAAGGTGTTTATGCTTAAGATGAAACTGAATTCTATCTAGTCAAGAAACGTGCTCCTGTGCACAAAGCAAACTCCTGGTGGCAAAGACCAAGGAATTCTCATTAGCATTCTAGATCTTTGTCAGTGGCGCAACTTCCCACCTGCCTCGAGCCCCCTCCGAGACTGAGCCTCTCAGGAACACAGCCCATTCTCACTCGCCTCTGTGTCCCGAGACACAGACCGGAACTGGAGAGGATGTCTCTGTAAATACTTGTTGAACTGAACTGGGCTGCACATGGGTCCCAGGACCCACCGTGGCCAGCGGCTCAAGCACTGACCTGTCATCATAGATGTACGCGAGGTAGAACAGGAGCAGGACGCAGCACTGTCTCTGGCGAGCAGCCCCCGCCACATACTGGCGATCTGACAGGAGGGCAAGGCTCTCAGGGCTCCTGCTGCTTATCTGGGGCAGCCCGTGCTGCAAGAGCTCAGATGCCGCAGAGAGTTCTGGGGAGGAGAAGCAGGAGAGAGCCACACAGAGAAGAGCAGGCGATATGCACGTGTGCACCCACCCCATGAAGAGCGCTGCGCGGGGAGCAAGGACTCGGTCTCCTCCCCGTGTGCAGTGTGCAGCCCACCAGGACGGCCAAGCAGCAGCTCCTGGAGAACAGGGCACATTTGCTCACTCATCCAACAAAGCTCACTGAGTGGCTCTCCTGGGCCAGTTGTGACACACAGAAGCCGGGGCACTGGGAAAGGCAACGAGATGGACACCTGCAGGACAGGTGACAGTGACACATTCATGAGTGGAAAAGGGAGCGAGTCATTCCACGGAGGGTGGAGAGGGCGGAGCTTGGAGGTTGAGCAGAGATGGGAGGAAGAGATTCCTAGGGACAGGAAGCAACGTGTTGAGAGGCCCAGAGGCCTAAGGGACCTGTCAGGGGGCGGCGGGTAGTTTAGTCTGACTGGGTGTCAGGAGCTGCACAGCTGTGTGATGTAACCCGTAGCAAGACTGTGAAAGACCGTGAATGCAGAGTAGACAATCTAGATTTATCCTACAAGTGGTTTCCCAGAGAAAAATAAATGCAATATCTGATTCATCAAGAAAGGGCATTTAATACTGAAAAGGTCTGAAAGAAAGGACTTCAGAGTTTAAACTTGGAACAAAGTCAAGAGGAAGGAGAAGTCACTAATTGTGCTTACTTGCACCATGAACCACAGAAAACTTCACCTCTGTGAGATGATGCCGCGTCGGCTGGTGTTTGGGGGTAGACAAAGGCCAGAGTGGTTAAGAGAAGACTGAGTTTTCAGACAGAGCCTTCCAGCAGCAGGAGGAGATGAGACTGAAGGCAGGGCGAGGCACAGGGTAAGGACGGAGAATGTCCACAGTAACCTGACAGCAGAGCCAGATGAGGGGTGCGACTCTAAGTTAGCGCTTTGCCCACCACGCACACTGCGATCGTCATGCTAGTATCGAAACTAACCCCCTGAGCCTCTCATAGCCTCTCTCTTGCCCTTTCTCCTGATGGCAAGAAGGATGCGCTGTGCATGAGGGAGCTCTGTGCAGCTCTTCCCGGTGCTCTGAGCACTGCAGCCTCAGGTGGAAAGGGGCAGATGTGTGGGAGCTGCCAGCAGTCATGGGGCTGGCACTGGTGTAGCTGTTATGACACCGCCACCAACAAGGCCTTGGGCACCACCCTGGCAGAAGTCCTCGCGCTGGTGTCTGCATGTCAGCCCACACCTGAGCAGACAGTGCTGGACACCACAGAGAGGTGGCCGCCTAGTGAGAGATGCAAGCCAGGCCGGCAGGAGTGACAACATTCACGGAGGGCTTGTGTCAGCACGGTGTGAAGAAGGCAAGAGAGAAAGAAGTTTGGGAAGTGGGGGGAGATGACAGTCTTCATAAATGTAAAAGGAGGAAACACGGTCAGCACCAAGTCCCACCCACAGAGAAGATAAAGTATTTGTTGAATGAATAAAACTGTTACATTATTTTGTATTACAGTGCGCCAGAGTCTGGGAGAGAGGAGTGCCCCAGGGCAGAGGCATCATCATCACCACCACTTGCACGGCAGCATCAGGCTCCCCCTGGCACGCAAGCAGCAGCTAGATGAATATGCAACAGAAGGAAAAACTTCCAGCTCTCAGTTCTGTACCTGCTGTCCCCTTGCCGACACTCTGCATGGGCCTTCTTTACCTCACTCAGATCTCTGCTAAAATGCCACCTCCTCATGGAGACCTTCCCTGACCACCCTCCAGAACATGGACCTCCTCCCTCCATCACCCGCCATCCCCTTGCTCACAGCACCTACTCATCCCTGACTTTGTATCAACACATGTGCTGCCTCCTCTCTGACTCCGTGACAACAGGACTTTGTGTCTCTAGCTCTAGCGCTGGGAAAGAAAGTGGCACACCGCAGATGCTCAAGAAATACTTGCTGAATAAAGAAAGCAGTTGGACAAGCTGTTCGAGATGCTTCGGAGCAGAGGTCTCCAGAGTTATGAGGGATGCTGTAAAGATGGTCAAGGTGGGGGCAACTGAGCTTGATGAGCTTTAGGGTCTTTCTCAACCCTCTTTGCCTAAGGGTCTGGGAGTCTTGAATCCCATCCTTCTCTGATTCTGTTCTCGCGCCTCCCTCAGCATCAGCATAAATTCCATCATTCCTATTTTTTTCTGAGGAGCTCCAGCAAAGGGATCTTATCACTGTGCTGACTCACCACCAGCCAATCAGCAAGACATCCAGACTCTCAAAGACCACCATGGACCTCAAGACAGTCAAATGCAGCTGCTTACCTTCTTGGGAAGGGGCTCCTGTCATCTCTGGAGCTGAGAGGAGGTTGAGGCACAGGTAGTAGAGGAAACTGGAACACACCTGGTTTAGCGCCGAATGACTTGGAGGAGAGGAAGCAAGAACAAGAGAAGACATTGCCACATGGGCTGGCACCATGAACTGTACTGTACTGCCTCGCCACCAGCAATCAGCAAGACAATTTAGCAAAACACATAAACCTCCCCGCAAAAGAAAAGGTGTCCTGGGTCTGGAAAGGGCTAGAGAATACTAGAAACAGAGGAAGTTGTTGAATCCAAGATATGTGGTCAAGGAATATATAAACATCCAAAGTTGTGACTCTGAATCCCCTGTATTCTCACCTGAACGCTGAATGGAGACACTAGGAGAAACAGACCACACTGTGGTCATCCTGTGGCCTGCGGGCACTAACAAATGAAATCTGCCACATAATTACAGATATAGGTTGACAAATTATAAACAGGAAGGCAGAGAAGGCTGTTCTAGAAACCTCAACAGAGACTGAGGCAGCAACTCTCTACTTTGAACAAGAGTCTCTCCTCTGGAATTGCCAGGCTGACTCTTACTGGTCACTGCATCTTTTACCCTCTTAGCACCTTGGCCTGCTCATCTGCAAAATGAGGGGGCAGACAATTGACCTCTAAGTGTCCTTCCAGTTCTGATGTGACTGGAGCCCATCCAATGAGAATGAGAGTCTTACCAGGATCAGATCAAATAAAACTTCATACCACCAGGTATTGAGCAGACTCTGTGGGAATCCCCACTTCCACCCCACCCCGTGGTTCCATGACTAAAACAGACCAGTCAGAAATTCCCACTTGACCAGAAATTTCCAGAGGAAGACATTCATTTTTACCTGGGAGCACACCTACCTCCGGTCACCGCAGAACCTGGCCTTCAGTTCCAGCGTCAGTCTGATGAAGTACGAGGCAGCTTGGGAGAAGGGGGAAGGAAGCAGCAAGGGCTTAAGCCAGGCTTGTTACAGAGATTCCCGAGTCTGGGCGGCACCAAGGTCACATAGACCTGGGTTCAGAATTTGCTCCCTCGCTATGGAGTAGAGTGACTCTTAGGAACCAAGAGTTTCTCCATCCCCTACTCTGGGCTCTGCCCATCTTGGCTGGCAAGGCTTGCTTCCTTCTCCTCTCTTGCAGTCTGGGCCTCTGATCAAGTCTGCCCTGGCTTCGGGCCACACTGATGTCCTTACACACAGCCTTTCTCTGCATCCCTTCTCTGCACCACCTCCCCCTCCCCCAGATCTATACTTCTGAAGGTGCATGCATCTAGCACCCCGAGTGCCGCCGCCCCAGAAGGCATCCCGAGTCTGGGGGAATGTTTTCCCGCCATCTCAACTGGGATACGTTCGGCATCCAGTGCCAGGAGTCAGAGACATTAAACATCTGTGAGAAAGGAATGCTCGGGGGCCTGGGAGTGACGGGCAGAGAGGAATGCTGTGGGCTCTGAACTGGAACCTCCTGGACATTTTCAAAGCAGTGTCCAAAAATTCGAGAACTTCCTTTAAGGACATTTGGCTGCTGGATGATATTCTTTCCACCCAACACGGGGCAGAACACGAACACTGACACTGAAGACATACACAGAGCCCCCCACTCACAGGTCCTGTTCACCTGGAGGACTCTGGGCAGCTGCCTCAGGGCCCCGCCCCCCACCCCTTCCACACTTGCCTGGCACCTACCAAGCTTCTTGGAGAACTTCTCCTTCATGTGGGGAACGATGACAAAGAGGCTGTGTAGAATCGAGAGGAAAACTTCCATCAAAGCTGGGTGGGTAGCCTGCTCCGAGTGTCTCTATAAAGAACCGAAAAAGAGACCATAACCCACCGGGTCTGAGCCTCTGAAGAAGGAAAGTTCCAGCAAAACAGCATCAAATTTAGCAAAGAGCAGACTAAGCCCTTTCATTCGAAGGACACAAGAAAAGCCACGTTACCCAAAGACACAAGCCCACATACAAGGCTTACTTCTGCCACTTAACAAATTATGCAAGGTACTTTAGCTCTCCCAGTCTATGTTCCCAAAATGAGTAAAATGGGAACAAAACAAGACGCCCCAGAAACAAGGCACATCTGACATGGAAAAAGTGCTTCTAACCTACAACGCAAAGGGACACTCGAGTCTCTATCACTACAGTCACAGTATTAACAACGAAGTTCACAAAGTGCCTTCACATTATTGTTTCATGTGATCTTTGAAGAGAATCACGAGCGGCCTGGTGCAGCAGAGTTCCAGGTGAAGAGTCGGGAACCTGGATTCCAATTCAAGCTCTTCACAGACTTATGAAATGCTGCTGGGCCCTCCCCTCCTTCCCTCCTCCTCCTCTGCCCATTCTTACCCCTGGGTCTCTCCTGTTGCTGTAAATAGTTGGGCCTCAGAGACATAGTTCTTATAAATACTTTTCTTATGGGTTTTTAATTTAAAAAGTAATGCATGCTCACGAAAGACAAAGTAGAAAGCAAGAATAATTAAGCTCATGACAATCCTACGATCAGGCTCTAGATCCAGCTCTAACACATCACACATCTAGACGGAAGGCAGGGCTAGTGAGGAAACCAATGGGAACCGCTTGCGTCGCACTCTGTGCATGCAGTCAGGGCTGCACCCCCGGTCCCGGGACATTGACCCTCCTGAAGACCTGGACTCAATGGCTCCTCCAGGGAAGAGGCTCTCTCTGATCAGAAGGAGATGGTGCCGCCTGCACCAACTGTTCCCAGGTGTCTGGGGGTACCCTACTCAGGTGCATAGGGTCGCACGGGCTCGCAGCTCTCCAAACTTCCAACAGGAAGACTCAGGAGAGGTGACCCCGGCAGTCAAGTGCTTGGAACCCTGCTCTTCCTGCCATCTCAACTGCGAGTCAGCGCAAACATAGCTCTTCTGACCAGTCTCTGCAGATGCCAGTTCCCATCTTACTGAACGTGGCCTGCGCCTCAGGGGAGCCATGCTCAGACACGCACTGCTGCATTTTACTAAGCAGGGTACAAGGCGCAGCTCTCAGAATGACATGCACATGTTTTATTAACAGGAATGTGACAACCTCGCCTTTAAGTTGGGGCAATTGTAGCAACCATCTTACGAGTCACTGGAGGATTAAGTTAGGTAGTGGATACAAGGCACTTACCTCTCTATAAACATTACCCATGTATTATGTCATTATTACTGCTTTCTACTTTCCTTGAGAGTATCTATTGGTTTTGCAATGAGACACTACTGTTTTTAAAAGCACAAGGAAGAGGCTATAAGAGCAACGCCAGTGAGACCCTGGGCAGGTCCAGCAAACCTCCCCAGCGCCTCCCCACCCTGCCCACTCACATTCTTCTCCCCAAGCTTTAAGCTGTTCATGGCTCAGGGGAACCCACCATCACCATGGGGATACACAGGGAGTCACAGGCACTGAGAAGAAATTCCGAGAAAGCCTCTAAGGTGTCCTCCTTCTCTGCGCTGGGAGCTGTGAATGGATTCTCCTGGGCAGAAGGCTCGTTCTGGAACTCCACAGCCAACCTGAGAAATCAGTGTATGAGAATCTCCACCACCACCAGGGGAACAAAAAGGCGAGAAGCATCTTCCTCGAGGCGTGTTGGTGCTCTGGGACCAGGGAAAGTATGCCCAGCAGATGTGGGGAAAACCCAAGAGGCCTCAGTGAGGAGAGGCCCTGGCAGCTGTCTCGCCAGCCTGGTGCTCCCTTGAGAATCCCACAATACCTGATAGATGCTCCCCGAGCAGCCGCTGGCTGCTTCACCCCACCCTGCTGTTTCATACACCTCCCCGCTGCCCAGAATGCCTTCCTCAGATGTGGACAACCTTATGAATTCCACATATGTACATAAAACTGTCTCCTCCCCCAGAGACCGTGTGTGCCTATGGGCAGGATCTATTCCACCTTCTCTCTGTCTACTCTCCAGCACCAGGCCTGGCACAACGTGAACTGAATCTACTCGGCAAGCATTCCGTGATGGCGCAGGGTTACTTAGGGGATTAAAACTGAATGAGACACAACCTCTGTTCACAGTAACAAAATTTTACCAGGTGGGAATGTTTAGAAACTTCCTATTCCAGCTAGCTGATTTCCAATCTACTTCCACACACCCCCTTCACACCCATGCCCCCCACCCCTATCCCAGACAAAGTCCTCTCACTGGGCAACAAGGCCTCAAAAGTCACATGTTGCTTCTAGAACTTCATCCTGTCTGAGCCCCTCCCAACCCCACCCTACAACTACTACTGCAGATCACAGGCCCCTCACCTGCAGGCATTTCTAAATCCTTCCAGAGTGCTTAGGAGGAACTTTCCCCTCCGAAGAATGGCCTTCTCTGAATCTCGACTGGAGGCATGGCCCTGGGGTGAGAAGGAGAGAGGAAACCTGTTGGTGCAGCTCCTGCTCCTGTGTCCCAGTCTGTGCTTGCAGGATCACTTGCCTCTTCCTCTCACAATGGTGCTCGCTGAACCAGGGTTAGGGCTCCCTTACACCTAACTTTCTACAGGGGATCTCAGAGAGTGGAGGAGATCGTGTCACAAACCCAGCCATCTGAAGGCTGCTTAAACAATGGTAGAAGGGGGAACCTTAACCGCCTGTCTTCCTGTGAACCACAGGACAGGCTCTTGGCACAGTCCTGGCAGAAAGCTGTCAGAGGCAAGTGGACATGAAACCAACTGGCCACAATGCTAGAGTAGTTGCTCCAGAACTTGAAGACCCCCAGCCCCATCAGGTATGAAGAGCTCAGTTTCTGAACTTAATCTTGAAAGACATAATTAGCATTCACATGAACAGTATCTTTTCTGATTTTTAAACCCATGGGCCATTAAAAGCTAACAGTTGCAACACACTGCACATTAGTGCATGCAACACACTGCATATTCTAAGATGCCAGTGAATCCAGCGTTAGCTGTGTGAGCATGTTTACCATACCTGCATGGATGACATAAAAGATAACAGTGTGTGGCAGGCTTGGGTACAGACCCCCTGGGGTTTACTATTGAGCTCAAGTACTTGCCAGTTGGACTGTAGAGAGAAATTATCTAACCCCTGTGTCTTCAGTTTCCTAATCTATAAAAATGAAGAGAGCAATTCTTAAGCTTCACAACTCCGCAGCTAAGTGTCTCATTACAGTGCTTCATTGCAGAGGTGTGTGCATGTGAGAAACAGCTAGAAAGCAGCCAGGCAGTGTATAATTATCTTCTTAGACTCATCCCAGCCTAATCTCCAGAAGCAGCCGGCTTTGGTGCACTGACCAGGGGCCTCCTGTTCAGTGGGGTCTGGGAGAAGTCTGCGCACCGGCTCAGCATGGCTTCCAGCAAGGCCCGCAGTGCCCTGTACTGCACAGGTGGGGTGCTCTGATGGTCCTTCCTGCATCCAGAGAGACAGGGGGAGGCACAGGCAAGGTAAGTAAACCCCAAGAGAACAAACCCTCCACCCCAGGCTCCCAGCTCTAATCTGATAAAAAGCCTTCTTCAGCCGCACAAGCCTGTGCACATTCCAATTGACTTCCTCACTGATTAAACAGAGGTTAACAGTACACTCCTTGCAGAACTATTCCAAGGATGAAGTTAGATAATATATGCCAAGCAGCTAGCATGAAGCTTAATAATAGCAAGTTCTTATAATTACAGCTTTATTATTATAACAAAACAGAAGGGTTTTTTCACCTGAGACATGCCACCTGGTGAAAGAAATACTATTTAGACATCAACAGAGGTGTGAAGAGATGTTTACGGCCACCATCCTCAAATAAGTGATAACCTCTCTGGGGGTAGAAAAGATCAGATTTGCTGTTTCCTTGATGAGGAAAGCCAAGGTCAATAAGTAAATGTTATCAGGTTTCATTTTGGTATAAAGAACAACTATCTAAGAGTCAAAACTGTACAGGTTTCCCCCAAAATCTGTATGTCGAGTATTCCTATTTGGCATGGTTTGGTAGGTTACTTTTGGGCCTGGGAATGCTCAAAAAATTATTCCACATTAATTAATGGTAACAGCATTCCCAGACACCCCCCCCCCCTCAAAATGGCCAACCAAATAGGAACACTACTTCTGGAAAGTGGGGGAAACCTGTAGGGGGACTATCTAGGAGGAAGTGAGTGCCCCCTTCTCGGAGATATAAGAAGAAACTGGAAACTATTTTGGGAAATTCAAACTTATGAGTGTGGGATAAAGGCAGACAAGCAGCACCCAGGCTCCGGGTGAACCCTGGTTGTCCAAAGACTCGCAGTCACTGACCCATCTAATTGTGACCGTGAATGAGCCAGAGACCAGGTCCACCTTTTCACTTCATCTGAGCAGAGCTAGGAACACTGTAAGACGTTAAATGAAGGAAGGACTGCCTGTCTGACAGGCCAGACAGGTTTCCTAGAACCGCAGTAATAAATCACTACAAATGGTGGTGGCTTAGGAGGGCAGAAATTTAGCCCCTCTCAGCTCTGGAGACTGAAAGTCTGAAATTAAGGTGTTGGCTCCCTCTAAAGGCTCTAGGGAGGAACCCTGCCTTGCCTCCAGCTTCTGGTCGTTGCTGGCAGCTCCTGTCATTCCGTGGCTTCATTACATCATCCCAGTGTCCGCCCCTAACCTCACAGAGCCAGCTTTCCATGCGTGACTGCATCGCTCTATGTCCAAATCCCCCTCTTGTCATAAGGGAACCAGCCACTGGACTAAAAGCCCATGTCACGTGACTTAGCTTAACTTGACTCTATCTACAAAGTCCTATTTCCAAATAAGTTCATGTTCATGGGTTCAGGTGGACACGAGTTTTAGAGAGATGCTGTTCAACCAAGAGCAGCTGCTAAAAAGAAACCTCTGCTGACCTTCGCCCCTGGGTCTTTCCTGAGTGCTGAGAGCAGGTACTCACTTAACTACATAGAGTTAGGGCTTGATTCCCGCTTTATTATTCATTTCTAGAAGCTTGAGGCTTCTATCCTACACTGACCACAGGCCTTGATTCCACCATCTGCACATTTTTTTTCAGCCATTCTCACTCCTCATTCCTCCTTCCAAGTGTGCTTCCCAGAGATCCTTTGAACTACTTCAGCTCAGAGGGACCGCCTCAGGACACATTCTGGGAAATTAAAGTCAAGTGAAGTCGTCTAAGGATGTCCACTGCCCATCACGCTCCACAGTCCTGACCCACCTAGCTTTCTGGATTCTCCATGTGCTGCACTGGGTACTCCCTGCACATCACCAGGCTGTGCCCTCGCGATCCCCAGAGTTTCCCACCCACATGTTGTGGCTAACCCTGGTCCTTCTACAAATCTAAATCTAGCTCATTCTCACTGCACAGTAAACTACCACCTCCTGCCTAAAAGGAGCGGCCAGCCCCCTTAACACTGTCTCTCACAAGACTCACAATCTGCATGGATGGCTCGGTGGACACTGCTCTGACTCTATGCCTTTGTCACCCTGTTGGTTTACTCATCTCACTTTCACTCGAGTTCACCCCAGATACAGAGATTCAAATCCTGGAAAGGACAAAGGGAGGAAAGAGGCAGACTGAAGCCATTGTAATGTAAATGTTATTTTTTGTTTCAATTTTTAGAATCAACCTAGAGTCAAACCGCAAACTTAAATAAGGCTGTAGAAGAGACTATAAATATGAACAACCCTACAATTAAAATGAAAGACACAGCTAACTGACACTGAGATGTGGGAGGCAGTAAGGAGAAGGGAGAGAAAGCACTGGGGTGCTAACCTAGTCAGTCATCCACGTGGAGCATCAAGAGAGACTGCTTCAAATTGAGGGAACAAGAAACTACAACTTTTAATACATTCTTTGGTTTAAAGATATGAAACACGGGCCTCCCCAGTGGCGCAGCAGTTGAGCGCTGGGTTGCGAAGCTGCCCGCAGCCTCTGCAGCGCCAGTTCGATCCCCGGCTGCTCCCCGGCCACCGGAGGAGGGTCCCGCATGGCGCGCAGACCTCTCCTGCCACGCCCACTGCTCCCCTCAGCAGTGTATTTCGTCGCTCTGCCTGTTTTGTTCCCCGCTCTGGTGAATTCTCTCACCCTCCCGTGCTTCTGACTGTACCCAGTGCTTGTATAAATAAACAAATCTTTAAAAAAAAAAAGAAGAAGAAGAAGAAATGGAAATGTGATCACACAAGCAGTTTGCCAGAGTGATGTAGTCACAAGCCAGACACCTGAAGCACCAGGAGCTGGAGGAGGCAAGGAAGGATCCCCCTAGAGCCTGCAGTGAGGGGCAGGCCTGCACATACCTTGGCTACAGCCCCATCATGGCGACGTCTGACTTCTGGTCTCCGTAACAGTGAGAGAATAAATACCTGTTGTTTTAAGCCACCAAGCTGGTGGTAACTTTTCCATGTGACAATAGGAAACCAATACATGCTAGAACTATAGAGCTGAAACTCAGGGAGTAGCTGACAGCATTCAAGGAGAAAGGCCATGAGACAACCAAGAGACATAACAAAAAGACTAAAAGAAAAAGATTGGTTACAGATTTGTTTAAACACAGCTGGACCCTCAGCTTCCTCTTCCACTCCATACAGCAAAGCCATGACCTTCCCAAAAGTCTGGCAGAAGCCCAGCGCTCTAATCCAAAGAAGGTAAAACACAGGGTTTCCAGTTGTTCCGACAGAAGCCTGTACTGAAAACCACTGTGGGGTTAGTGAGGTTTACATAGGAATGTTGAGAGGCCCAGAACTCTTGTCTGCTCCAGGCAGGAGACTGGAGTGTGCCCTCTGGAAACCTGAGCAGCCTGAGAGATCTCAACATGCTGGCATCTGGGTTTACCTCAAGGGAAATGCCCAGGCAGCTCCTCCTCCCTGAAGCCCACAGCTGACAAGTGCCCCTCACACACAGCACCTCCCATGGACCCTGTAGTTCTGAGGAATAAGAAGGTAGCCAGAGTAATAACGTGTGAAAGTAAGCTTCTGAAATGCAAGAATATGAAATAAAAAAAAAACACAAAGGAGACTATGGAGGAAAATGAATACTTCAGTAAAATGCTCCTCAGAGAGAAAAAAATCACATCAGTAAAATAAACACAGAACAAAATGCTATTTTTAAAAACATGTAGAGAACGGGAAAGACCTCATTCAAATTAAAAATATGAAAGCAGAATTGAAACAACAGAAGGGTTGAAAGATACAGTCAAGAAAATTCCCAGAAGCTAGTGCAAAGTGACAAAAGGATGAAAAAAAATCAGAAAACAAAGAAAATTAGATGACCAATCCAGGATGTCCAACATCCAAATGGCAGTTCCAGAAAGAAAGAACAGAGAAAAAAGAGCAGCAGAAAGTACAAATTGAAGGGCCTCCCTGGTGGCACAGGTGGTTGAGCGCTGCACTGTGAAGCTGTCCACAGCCTCTGGGTTTGATCCCGGCCGGCCAGGGAGATTCCCACATGGTTAAGCAGGCCTCTGTCTCGCCCACCGTTCGCCTCAGCAGTGTATTTCTTCAGTCTGCCTGTTGTTTCCCACTCTGCCTCCGGTGAATCCTCTCACCCTCCCACGCATCTAGCCTATACCCCAGTTCTCATATAAAAATAAATAAATCTAAAAAAAAAAAAGTACAAATTCAAAAACATTCCCCACCTAAAGAAGCAGCACCCCGGAGGCTGGCCTGGCCTCGACTGGGTCTCAGGCACACACAGGGGCAGGGAAGTCCAGCCGGTCTGGTCTCACCTCAGAAAAGCAGAGACGGCCTTCATCGCCTCAGCAGCCACCTCCAGCACGGGGCTGCCCACCGCCTCCTGGAGGGTGTGGCAAGCATCTCGGCACATGGCTGAGCTTGTGAACAGCCTGATCTCCTCTGGCTGCCTGAGAAGTGGCGGACAAGGAATGAGAGCATGAAGTCCCACCGGTCCCGACAAGCCCACTGTTCACTGCTGTGCTCACCGAGTCAGGATCTCAGCAAACAGCAGCAGGCCCTGCTTGTGCAGCTCCGTGTTGTTTGTGCTCAGGCTTCTCTGCAGACTCCTCACCACCGACTCAATCCCTACATCAAGGACACGGGAGATCAGAGATCAGCACCAGGCAGTTCCTTCACCGCCCGCCCAGCAGAGATGAGAGGCTTTGGATGGCACCTATCGGCTGGAAGTCCCCATGGAGACTGGTAGGACCAGACCGTAAGATCTTTCAGGACAGGACCTTATTGGATTCATCTCTGTCTCCCTGAAACCAGCACCAGCCCCAGGAGAGGCCGTGGCACACAGTATTTAGTGAGAGCTACTGACCTACCTGTGTCTTCTCCCCTAGGTACATCCCTATTCTTCCTAGAAGAGTCAAGTCAAGACCTCCAGGCTCCAGGAAGCTGCGCTGATCCACGCATGCAGAGCTGTGAGTCTCCCTGAGCCCTTGAGACTCCTATCCTTGCCTCTAGCAGAGCTCTTATCAGCTTGGTTCTATCCTGGGCAGGGACCATGTTACAAACGTCTCTAAATCTCCAGGCCTCAGCCAGGCGTCTGGCATAGAAAGGGAATGTGAAATAAAATGAATGACTGGATGTGCCTGGTCTAAATATCCAGATGTGATATAAAAAGTCCAAGACAGGAAAAGTATCAACAAGAAGACACAAAAAGAAATGATTTCAAGAAACTCTGAAAGGGTGACTCAGCAAAACCACTGGCTAGAGTGATGTCTGGGGCACAGGAGAGGACTGACCGCAAGGCAGTCACAGCTTGCTCATGGAATCTAGGCTGATGGATGGAGATGACCTGACATTCCCCCATCACTGCTCTGCCACCCAACTCCAGAGCGCTGTCCCCTGCTCTCCACCGCCCGCCCCCACCCCCCGCCCCACCAAGAGTTGTGTCACTCCTACTACCAACCGTACACCGTGTGGCACTTGGAAAAGAAGAGTGGCTCTTCCGCCAGAAGTATCAAGCAGTTGTAACTGGACCAGACAAGCACTTCACTGACAGAGGACAGACGCTCAAAGAGGAACTCTGGGGGGAGAGGGGAAGTAACACTGAATGGCGGCGGTGTGATCAGGGCTCAGTAGCTGATGCCAGGGTCGTGGATGGACTCAGCGTCTCACTCCTGTTGCTTTATCTGTTCACACACCCTCTCCATGAGACATGATCATTAATTCACAGAAACACCTGGAAAGTGCCCTCAGGATTACCAACCTGTCTTCTTAACAGATGGGGAAACTGAGGCTCAGAGGGCGGTACTATTAGTGGCAGAGTTGGGACTGGAACTCAGGCCTCTAATTCTTAGGATGGCTAGCAGCATGACCCAGAGCAAAGAGCTTTTAGAGTCTGAGAGACCTGACTTTGTCGCCTTCTCTGCCAGGGACGGGCCTTGTCAACTTTAAGCGGTTATTTCCCTTCTCTGATCCTCAACTTCCTTACCCAGAAAGCTGCAAAGATCAGCACCTGATGGGGCAACATTTACAAGGCACCTCAGGACGTTACTTCCTGGCTCATAACAAGAAAACACTGGTTCTCTTTGCCTTCTGGTCTATAGAGCTTTCCACCACCCCCACTAGGTGTTTCTTCCTAGATGGTGCAATGAATGACAGAGAGCAGTAGCAGAGCAGTAACAAAAAGGTCACAGGAAGAAATATGTGGCAGGAGGATTCAGACTCTAATGAGACCTACCTCCTAGAATCTGTCTAGTACAATTGAACCTGCCACCAACCCACCCACCCCCGAGTTCATGTTATCAAAGAACCCCCAACAGGACCGTGTTGCTGCTGCTGCCATGCCCCAGGGGTCTCCAGTCAGAACTCTGGGGTCCTCAGAGGAGAAGTTCTGAGGGGCCCTACCTGGAATGTCAGCATGGATGAAGGCCGGAGCATGCCTGGCTGGAGAGTGGACCAGGGCCGCAGTGATGCAGTGAGCGCTGGCCACCTGCAGAGTCTCGTCTCTCGAGAGAAGCAGCTGGAGAAACAGGCAGCCAAGAAGTGCCAAGCCACACCACTGACAGGACCAGAGGGAAGTAGCCCGGGTGCCTCAGGACGGGATCCCCGTTTGCTCTGCATTCTCCTAAGCTACACATTGCAAGGATGGTGCTGAGGGAGAGCAGGTAGGGAGTATGGAGAGCGGTCTCTGAACAGCAGCAGGTGAAGAGTGCAGAAGAGCTAAGGGAGCAGGCCTGTGTGTCATCTTCAGAAGTCTGCCTGCAGGGCTGACCACTGACTGGGTTGGAGAGGTTGGGTTTTGGGAGGGTTCCTGCCACTCCCAGAACTGGTAGCGTGGCCGCTGTCACTGCACTGTATATATCTGCCACGTAGTTTCAGTTAAACACCTGCTCTCTTTCGGGGGAGGCTGGAATGTTAGTGTGTACCAGGCAGAGGGTGCCTATGTGACCAGCCAGCCCCAATAAAAACCCTGGGCACTGACACTGAGTTCTGAGACTAATGAGCTCCCTGCCTCACAACTCACTGCCAGAGGAGTAAGGGGCCTCCTGCGCAACTCTGCTGGGAGGGGCTCTGGAAAGCATGAGCCTTGCTTCTCTGGGCTCAGGCCATACCTTGTCCTTTACTAATTTGCTTTACATTCATTCACCATTCACCACAGCCACCGGTATGACGAAACACCTAGTCCTGTGGGTCCTCCTAGAAAATCACTGAGCCTGGGGGTGGTCCTGAGGGAGCCTCAACACACACACACACACACAAGGGAAGGAATTAAAGCCCATGGAGGTTAAGTTACTCCAGGCCACAGAGCTAATAAGTAGCAAAGTTAAGGCAGAAACCCAGGTCAGCCAAGTCCAAACCTAGGTGTCTTCCCAAAACGAAGATGCCTTCCCCAACCAAATTTTTGATCAGGTTACACCTTACTCAAAACATTTCAATGTATTTCCACTGTTTTAGGAAAAACATTCAAACTCCTACTGGACTCCACAGCTATTAGGAGTCCTTATAGCACCTTCAGGAAACAAGAAAGAGTTCACTGAAACCACAGATTTTAAGTGTGGTAGAAACTGACTTTTTGGGGAAAATGCCCAGTAGAATAATTATCACCGGAAAAAGGAAAGTGTGTCTGGTTTTAAAGCTTCAAAGGTAAAGAAGCAAGTCACACCCATTGTCTGGTATGGGTATGCACCTGAGAACTGTAAGCTTAACGTCACCTCAGCCATATTAGCTGACACACAGACAGCCTTTCTGTTAACATTTAAAAGAGCTTTTAGATATATTACTCTTTGCCATCTCTTTTAGAAAAGAAATGACATAGTGTATTTCAAGATGCTATTGGTGTCAGGAAAACCATTATTTCATGTACCACTAAAAAACAAAGAATTAAGAACAACAATACATCAATGACGGTAAGATGTCTCCCAATTTCAGACCTGTTACACATGAAAAAAAGTGCCTTAGAAAAATATATTTAACCACTAAGCAAAAACAGTGATTCTTGGTTTAAAATGCATATTCCTTACACTGTTGAGAAACATTTCACCTCTCTTCTCCCATCAGAAGCAAAATTAATTATAAAAATATCTATTAGGGCCTCCCTGGTGGTGCAAGGGGTTAAGCACCGCACTATGAAGCAATCCGCAGCCTCTGCAGCACGAGCTCGATCCCCGGGCAGTCAGGGAGCAGCCCACAGGGCGCAGCAGACCTCTCCTGTCTCGTCCGCTGCTCCCTCAGCAGTGTGCTTCAGTTGGTCTGCCTGTTCTGTCCCCCACTCTGTCTCTGGTGAATCCTCTCACCCCCCGCATCTCTGGCATCTACCCCAGCTCTTGTATGCATAAATAAATAAATCTTTTTTAAAAATCTATTAAAAATTCTAATACACTATTTAATTTCTAGTCTCATTTTAGGCCACTTTCCTTCACCTCCCACCCACCCTCCAGTACCTTTAGTTTCCATCTGTTTCTGGAACATACAAGCATTTCCCTAACTCTAATCTTTACTTACTGTTCCCTGTGCCTAAGATGTTCTACTGCCCTCTCCTCATCTCACTTGCTTGTTTGCTTGATTTATTTTCAGCTTTATTTAAACTGAACGATCACTGCTTATTACCGGCTTCTCCAAGTACAAGCTTAAATAGCAGCCCTTCAGAGAAGTCTGCCTGACCACTCAGCCTGGGGTTGGCTTCCTCCCCATCTCATCTCCTCGTTATTTCCTTTGTAGCACTTAGCACAATCTAGACTTACTTTGCTTTTCCATTTATTTATTATCTGTCTTCCCTCTCTAGACAAGAAACGCGTCTGCTTACACACCATGATACTCCCAGCGCCCAACACTGTAACATGTCACATTGTGCCAGTAAACAAATCAATACTGTAACAGCAAGAACACAAACACTGAAAATATATTCTAAGGGACCTGAAATTTGGGAGAATAAGTTGATCATTAGCCAAAATCAGGAATAACATTAGAGTCTGGCAGTTATAAAAATGCCTGGATGGAAATACAAGGACATAGGCTGATCTTATCTTTATTTGACATTTTGTTCATCGTGGATTTTTTATATTTTTTAATTGCATAAACATATTGTTTATTTTGATAGCAAAATTTTTAGCATTCCCTTAAATCTGCACCTAAGGCAAGTGCCCCACTCACCTCATTCCAGGCCCAACTTTGCTGGTTACCATAATTAAAAAAAAAAAAAACCTCATCATCCAAAATCACCAGTGGAAGAACAGTCCTCATATGGATGGGAGCAGGGCTTCTAAGCCAAGATTTCTGTTCTGCAAAAGTCCTCTCCCCCAGGAAGCACTCTCTAACCTCTCTCCCTGTTCCCATCATGCTGCCTGGCGAGCTGTGAGGACTTGTGATTCTGTGCCCCTGCTGAGTGAAGGATGGAATTTCTAAATATACCCTACCATGGCAGCAGAGAAACAAACATAGAAAGAAACTTGAATGAGAGTTTCTGGTTCTGAGACTCAGAGCTCAATCTTCAGATTTCATACCCCCAGAGTAGAACATTCCAGAGGCATCCCAGGGAAACAAGGAGGAGTAGCTTGCTCTGGCTCTTTAATACCTACTTTGCCTATCCCCAATTGTGCCCTTCCCATTCATGAGCAGGCTCCTCCTTCCACCAGAAGGACCCCCACAACCTGGGCTGTCAATCCCGCCAACAGATGAGGATAAGTAACTCTGCCCAGCCCTGTACTGAACACTGAGGAGACTCAGGTGTTGCCCTAAAGAAGCTCCCAGTTTATCACCCACAATATGGTGAGGTAAGCATTGACAGCGGGGCATGTCTACCCAAAGGACCCAGGGTGCCAGGGAGCCCTACAGTCCTTGAAGGCTGACTCAGTTCAACAGACAAAGGAGAAGGGAAAGGCTCTGCAGGTAAAGGGGAAGAGCATTTGCACGGCACAAAGACAGACGACCCAGCATATGCAGGACCAGGGAGAAGCTACATATGGCTAAAGCAGAGTTATGGGGTGCAAGAGACTTGTGAGGCTGAAGGGATAAGCAGGGTCAAGATAAAGAGAGTACTAGGTACCAAGCTGAGAAGCTTGAATTTTAACCCTAAAATAATGAGGCAGCTTTCTTTCTGTTGCTGCATGTAATCTCCATGCTCAGATGTGAAGGAGTGATGGATGAGGACAAGTGATGGATGAGGAGTGATGGATGAGGCACTCGGGTGCCCCTGTTACTGGACCTGAAAACCAGGAATCACAATAAAACTACCTTTTTGAGCACCAAGGGCAGTGAGGTCTCTCCTGGTGGCCCCTCCACACCGTCAGCACTCTCCACCTGCACAGCCCTGTCCATGATCATGGACACAAAGAGATCATACTTCAGCAGCTGCCTCAGCAAACCTAGGAAACAAAGAGGTTAGGAAGCCAGATAAGAGAACAGACACCAGAGTGTGCCCAGGGTCCCACTCAGACATCCTCTAGAAATTTGTTTTTTTCAGTACAATGCAATTTTTTTATAAATGAACACAAATAATCTCAGAAGTTAAAAAGGTGATACTAACAGTACCGAATACAGTTTTTTTGTTTCTCTTCCAACTCGGGGTTTTTGTTTTAATTACAAAGATGAGAAGTCACTTTTATAACTTAAAAACAATTATTAAAACTATACTAGTACTTTCATAAACAATACCAAAAAATGAGACAACCATGTGCACTGATAGACCTGCATGTCAGTTATGCCAGATCCCACTACAGGGAATTCCCAGCACGACCTCACTCATCTGTGAGGACACAGAGCATTTCTTGTTTAGACAGCACATTCATCTGCTCGTCCGGCATGGTCAGCCTCCACTCCTTGACAGCTTGCTTCTGCTGGATTGTGCATGTCCAGCTGTCTGCTTTTTAGAGCAGACATTTACCTTCTTCAGCCACCGGCCACTGGAGGAGGACTAGGGTCATGGAGATGACTAATTCTACCCATTCTTTGGCAGGTGGGGCGGTGGGGGGGGGGGGCTCGTGGTGGCCCTCTTCCATAACCACAGCTGCAATCAGATGAGTTTCCATAGCCTCTCCTCATTTTGACATCTTGCTGAAGCAGAATTTTGAAAAATAAAATCATAAACTCAGCTATTCCCCAGAAGAAATGTTATCAAAGATAATTTCCATAGGAATTGGCACCAGCTGTCCAACACTGTCCATTTGTTTCTCATTCCCCACCTCTTTAGAAACTTCTTGTCTTCACAGATATTTCCAAGTATTTATTCTCAGGGACTATTTCCTTAATCTTTTTTTCAGATAGCTGGTTGTTAGTCTATAGAAATAATACTAATTTTGTATCCTGTAACTTCATTGAATTCATTTATTAAGTTTTTGATGGAGTCTTTAAGGTTTTTTATAACTAACCTGATGGCATCTGCAAAGAAAATTTTACTTCTTCCATCCTGATTTTCATGACTTTTCTTTCTTCTTCTTGCCTAACTGTTCCAGCTAGGACTTCCAGAACTTTGTAGAAAAGAATCCCACCCTTTTCTGTGAGACGTCCACAGCATTTACCACCCTAGACTCTAACTGTCCACATCTGCCTCCCACACTGGTGTATGAACTCCCCTAGAATACAGCTCGGTTTGATCATCCTCATGATGCCAGAGTCCAGCACAAGGCTTGGTCCAAAACAAACAGTCACTGCACGTTGCTGAATTGTTCATAAGAGCGCTCTTGGCCCAAACTGTGAAAAGAAGCTGTTGTCACCACAGACTATACTTTTCCCTGCAGCTCCTGCTGTGGAACAGGCCCACTTACTCCATGCAAATACAGTCACCCAGTCACCAATCACAGGGCCCACTTGCTCCATGCAAATACAAAAGCTCCCTGCTCAGAAGCATGATGGATCTTGTATACTTACATAGAGATATCGCAGAAGAGACTGAGAGGGGGCACCGGGACTGCTAAGGTACTTCAAACAATGAGCGTAGAAACCTGGATATTACCCTGGTGGCTGGACGGAACCATAGATGATTTTCCAAGTAGGAAAACTGACAGGATGTAGTGTACGTGTGGGGGGGGATTAACTTGGCAGCAAGTACAGGAGGCACCCGGAGAGGCAGCAAAGCCTGGAGGCGGGAAAGTGCCACCCCAATCTATCACCTCTTCTTCCAAAGGCAACATTCATAAGATGCCATACCAACTCCAGGCATGTGTCATATAATCTGTGCATCTTGTCTCCCAAACCCACGGCCTCTATCCTGGACAAAGAAGCACACTTCCTCACCATTACAGCAGCCAATATCTCAAGTCCTCGTAACATGATCTCCACTCCACAAAATCTCTACAAAATCCCATAGGCTCTCTCTTCCTCTCTTCTCTAAAGCTGCATATCTTACCCAAGCAGTTGATCTGTAGCTCCTTTGTCTGGGCACCATCCAGGGTAGAAAGAAAGAGGGAACACAGCTTCTCCCGAAAATGGCCCGAAAGCATCTCAGCTGCCACTGGTGAGGAGTACAGTTTCCCATAGAGGTAACAGGCAGAAGCTTGCACTCCCTCATTGGGGTATACTAAACCCCTCAACAGATGCTCCATCAGGTCACCTGTCCGGAAAACAACCAAAGGGCCAGGGGAAAATGTCAACTGCTGTATGAAACTCCAAACTATCACTTCAATGGGGTATTATATCCTACTATAATCCCCACAATACATGCTTCCTGGACATTTAACCAGAAGGTTTAAAAAAGTTAAGTGAGATATTTATTTGCATTTTACTGGTTTTTTTTTTTTTAAAAAGATGTTTCCATTCCAGAATTAATTTATTTCACCCAAAAGGAAGATTTAGAGTAGGTACTTAATTAGTTTGTGTTAAAAGAACTAATAGAAATAGCCCAAGACCAGAGTCAAGAAACTAAACTTTAAAAAAAAAAAAAAAAGAAACTAAACTTTTCCAAACTGGGCAACAGAAAGCACATTCTGCAGCTGGGGAAGCTAAAGCCCAGAGAAGGAAGCAATGACTCCCTGGTATGCACAGTGAGCGAACCACCCAGTGGCAGTGTGACAAACAGGTGAAAGGGCAGTGGCAGCTCACTCACCGTGCTCCATTACAAGCTTGTCTGCCAGAGCAGGGATGGCATCCACCAGCTTGCCAAGAAGGGTCAGGGTGGCCAGGCTGCCTCGCATAGAGGGCATGTTGCACAGCTACAGAGAGCGAACACACTCCACTCTATAAATCAGGTAGGGAGATCGCCCACCAAAATTCATCTTGCTGTAATCACATCAACACCTGCATTGTGCATGTCTCACCACAACCCATAGTCAGCCTCTTTAGCTCAGCATCCAATACCCCCGCTGGACTGAAATCCTAGGGGAAAGGACTGAGTCAATTCATCTCACAATCCATATCTCGGAATATGTCAAACTGAACTGAAATTAGCATATATGGCCTCCTATAGAGTCAGAAACTGATGGTGGTGAGGGTGGAGGATGAAAGTTCGAAATGTCATGAAGACAGAATGCTGGCTCGGGGCAAACATATACATATAAGTATTTATCATTATCGTTACTGTTACTATTAAACATTTTACCAGACACCAGTATCTAATTCGCAAACTAGCTGTAGTACTTTAGGCAAGACTCTTAACTATTCGGATGGGAAACAACAGTGCCATCCTCATAGCACAGGGTGGTTGGGAGGACTGAATGAGTTATTCATGCAAAACACCTAACAGAGTGCTTATCATATAAAGGGCTCAATAAGAGTTAAGTAGTACCATCATAATGATAAATATTGATATATATATATAAATTCAATCTGATAAATAACATGCAGAGTCATTATAACAAATATAATTTATAATCGCTATAATCATATAAACATATAATTATAATCCTAAATATTAAACATACTACAATATTAAAAATACTACTGTTTAATTGATCTCTTTCACTACACCGAAGACAAACAAAACATACCTACTCAGTGCTTACCTTAGATGCTGACAAAAGCAAATGACCTCAGTACAAAATAATGTGCACAATTCAAAACCAAATAAAAACACCAAACCAAGACACATAAATTACTCAACAGAAATGTGTACTGAGTGTAGGAGTACATAGAAAATAGGCCAAGCACAACAATGGCAAGAAGCTGGAACCTCATCACGGGGGGGGGGGGGGGCGGTGGGCACGCTTAGGCAAACAAAAAAGAGAAGGAAAGAAGCAGCAAAGCCAACTGGGCAGGATCAGAAGACCCGAACCAAACCAGGTGCTGCGATCAAGACTCTGACCTCAAATAAATCCCTTTTCTCTCTGGATTTCAATCTCCTCATCTTTTCGAAGAGTTAGCCCAGCTCTGGCATCTGAGGACTCTGGTGGGTACTCAAGAAGGCACCGCGACTTACTGACCTCTTTGTGGCACTCGTCCAGCAGGCAGTGGATGGTCTGCTCCAGCTTCAGCTGAGTTGTAAGCTGGACAAGGACTGAGCAGACACAAGAGCATTACTAACTAGAAGACAACCGCAGCCCAGAGACCACTTTCATGGCCCCTCTGCTCAGCCAGCAAAGAGCAGGGGTTGCTTGTGTTAGCTGGCATCAGTCTTCTGTCTCCCATTCAACTGTGTGCCCGTGCGAAAGAAAGAATTTTTGGCTTCTTCATTTTTTTACATCAGGTGTTCTCGACTAGGCTACACAACAGAATCACATAGGAAGCTTTAAAAATATACTAATACCCAAGTCCCACCCCCAGACCAATTAAATCAGAATCTCTAGAGAAGGCGCTGAAGCATCTGGGTATTTTAAAGTTCCCCCAAGTGGGCCTCCCCGGTGGCGCAGCGGTTGAGCGCTGGGTTGCGAAGCTGCCCGCGGCCTCTGCAGCGCCGGTTCGATCCCCGGCTGCTCCCCGGCCACCAGAGGAGGGTCCCACATGGCGCGCAGACCCCTCCTGCCACCCGCTGCTCCTCTCAGCAGTGTACTTCGGTCCCTCTGCCTGCTCTGCTCCCCGCTCTGGCTCTGGTGAATTCTCTCACCCTCCCGCGCTTCTGACTGTACCCAGTGCGTGTATAAACAAAAACAAACAAACAAACACATAAATAAAAACATGCCTCTATTAAAAAAAAAAAAAATTCAAAAAAAAAAATAAAGTTCCCCCAAGTAGTTCTGTTGTGAAGCCAAGGGTGAAAATTACTATTTTATCTCATCTCTACTCTTCCCTTGCCCAGTTTGTTATGTAGTCTTCATATGGGGGACAGAATTATGAGTGAGTTCCTATGAAATAATTGCCAGCATTACCTCTCCACCCGCACTCCACTACAATCATTTGTGATGCTTCTGCTGGTGTCTCTGAGAAGGGGTGGAGAGAGGCTCGCTCTAAAAGTGCTGAAAAAGCTGCAAGCTTGATTCAACTGCTGCAGCAGGAAGTTGCTGCCACTTCCAGGATAAAAAAGGAATTTTAGGAAGCAGAAAGGAAACAATGAGAAAGGAGCCTTGCAATCTCCGTCCAGGGCCCACCACCTCAGTGATGTTGGGGTCTGCTAAGGGTTCTGCAAGCTGTGCTGGCACCAAGAGGTAGATGGCTTTGGGATTACAGCCCCGCTTGAGGGGCCTGAAGAAAATGGACATCTCCCCATTCCTACCAGTGGTCACAACCTCAAGTAATACATTTATTCACCCAGATCACCAAGGCTGAGAGGTGGTCGGATATACACGCAGATCACGTTGACATGTGATATGACCTGTCACAGCTGCTAACACTTACTGCTCCTAACTGTGGCTGGATGTCATGACTTGGAGAGACAGAACGGGAAGGCTACTGACAGTCTTAGGGAAGAGGTATGTGGATGCACCTATCAGAACGGGCACACAGTGCCTCCAGAACATCTACTGTGTTGAAGGTTCTCAAGGTTCTCTGGCCCCACGCCCATGAACTTCACTGATCTTGCTCCACATTTCATTACCCAGAAGCAACGGGCCTAACAACAAAACACAGAATGGCCCATAAAGACTCAGTTATGGCACCCGCTGAAGGACACCATTCTGAGGACAGGGATCTTACTTTTCTGTAGTAATTTTCAAATCAATGACAAATGAACACAGTGCTGTCTTTCTCACCGTCAGAATACCAATTCAGGACACTGAAGGAAAAGTGGGAGTTATTCTTCTCACCACTACACTTAATAACCCACTTTTTAAAATTCTATCCCTACAATTTTGACCTTCTGGCTTAACAGTTTCAGTTGCCAAGGGAAGAACACTTCCGGGAGAGGACATAGTCAGTCTCATTCAATTAGAAACTGGGACTACCATTATGAACTCTTTATGCCATTGAACCAACAGGCAAAGAAAGAACATGAGTCTACTGCCTGGAGAGACTGATGTCAATAACAAGGGAGAAAGTAGCTGCTGCTAACAGAGCAAGGACTGTGTCTGGGCCCAGGGGTTCTCTAAAGCTCCTCTTATGAACCCCATGTCCAACGGTAAAAGGGGAAATTACAGTAAACAAGAAAAGGCAGCATCAGGCCTCCCTGGTGGCTCAAGGGGTTAACACCACGCTATGAAGCAGTCCACAGCCTCTGCAGCACAAGTTCAATCCCCAGCCGGCCAAGGAGCAACCCACATGGCACAGCAGACCTCTCCTTCCTCACCTGCTGCTCCCCTCAGCAGTGTATTTCAGTCTGCCTGTTCTGTTCCCCACTCTGTCTCTGGTGAATCTTCTCACCCCCCTGCATCTCTGGCCTGTACCCAAGGTCTTGTATACATAAATAAATAAATCTTTAAAAAAAAAAAAAAAGTAGAAGAAAAAAAAAAGAAAAGGCAACATCACTGAAGGTCCAGACCCTTCAGGAATGAAGACTAGGTCACACCATCAGGCAAAATCCCCAACCAGTTGACATAGTGGCTGAAGGCAAAGAATACAAAGAATGGGCAGTACAAGAAGGAAACTAAATATTAACCACAACTGTGTGACCAGCTAAAGAAATAAAGATTGTAATGAGAACGTCTGGGTTTATATATATTAATTCCTTTCTTCTCTTTTATTATTTGTATGAGTTTTGTTGGATATTACCTTTAAATTTTAGTCTTCCAGTACAGAATATTCAGATGGAGCTACAAATGAATCTAAAAATTAATTATCATGGCCCAGAGACGGACCAGTATGCCTGTGTCTCAAAGTGGATACAGTGAATATTGAACGCTGCATCTCCTTGATTGGCGACAGGGGACAGCTTTAGTTGTATGAAGGACACTGCATCTTGTGAGGCAAAAACAAAGCTGTTTTGTTGTTGGGTAGGAGTTCAAATATGTGTGGGCAAAAGGGGGTGTGTGGATATCGACCAGACAAAGGGGTGAAAAGCTAGTTATTACCCTACTGTCTCAGCTCCAAACTGATCTTTCTGTACTTTATGCAGGATGCTAGGGCTGAAACTCTACAAACCACATTTCTGATCTGCTAGCTGGCCCCCATTAGGCTCTGCCAATTATAGGCAAAAAAGAGACGGCAAAGGGCCTCCCTGGTGGCGCAAGGGGTTAAGACAGGGCCTCCCTGATGGCGCAGGGGGTTGAGCGCAGCGCTGTGAAACTGTCTGCAGCCTCTTCAGTGCAGGTTTGATCCCTGGCCAGCCAGGGAGATACTCACATGGCGCAGCAGACCTCTCCTATCTCGCCCGCTGCTCCCCTCAGCAGTGTTTTCTGTCAGTCTACCTGTTGTGCTCTCCACTCTGTCTCTGGTGAATCCTCTCACCCTTCACACCTCTGGCCTGTACCCTAGCTCTTGTATGCATAAATAAATCTTTAAAAAAAAAAGGGGGGGGTTAAGACGCAACCTATGAAGCTATCCACAGCCACTGCAGCACAAGTTTGATCCCCAGCCAGGGAGCTACCCACATGGCACGGCAGACCTCTTCTGATTCGCCCACTGCTCCCCTCAGCAGTGTATTTCAATCTGCCTGTTCTGTTCCCCGCTGTCTCTGAGGAATCCTCTCACCCTTCACACCTCTGGCCTGTACCCCAGTTCTTGTATGCATAAATAATAAATAAATCTTTTTTTAAAAAAGAGACAGCAAGGCTGTAGAAAGAAGGGACTTACTTGCTCCTTCCTATAGCCTATGGGCTTCCTGTTTATCTCCTGTCTGTCCAGTTCCTACACAGATCCATAAACTTTAATAGGGGTAGCGCCTCCCAAAACAGCAGCTGGATTCAGATTGCCATTTTCCAGAACCAGTCTCATTGCAGCTCTCCTCCCGAAACTCCAGCATCATCTGGGCAGTGCCCCTCCTCAGAGATGAGGGTCCCAGCACCGCAGGGTTTCTCCTCTGAGAGACTCAGGCTCAGAGACCCACTGGCAGCCAGGCAGCATCCTCCCCTCAGAAATCTCAGTCTCTCATACTGAGTTCCTCCTCCAGGAACCTGTAAGCTTTAATCATTCCAATGTCTTCCCCAACCCGAGGGGTGGGAACTCCTCTTTTTTTTAAAAAAAAAAAGAGCTGAATTTTTTTTTTTTAAGATTTATTTATTTATGCACACAAGAGCTGAAGTACAGGCCAGAGGTGCAGGGGGTAAGAGGATTCACCAGAGACAGAGTGGGGAGCAGAACAGGCAGACTGACTGAAATACACTGCTGAGGGGAGCAGCGGGCAAGACAGGAAAGGTCTGCTGCTCCATGTAGGTTGCTCCCTGGCCGGCCAGTGATCGAACCCATGCTGCAGAGGCTGCGAATTGCTTCACAGTGTGGTGCTTAACCCCTTGCACCACCTATTTAAAGTTTCTTTTCTATTCAAATAGCTTGTGTGGTTTCTGCTTCCTGACTGGATCTGAACTGACACAATTGTTGTTCCTTCTGCAAAAATCCTCCCATCCCAATGTCCTTGTCTTTATTCTCACCCCCTTCATACACACCTGCACAGCGTTAACCACCACCTACAGCAGGGAACTTTCAACCAACCGATATGGATATAAAAACGAAGTTTTGGGGTCTCCTTCGTGGCGCAGAGGTTGAGCGCTGGGTTGGGAAGCTGCCCGCAGCCACTGCAGCGCCAGTTCGATCCCTGGCCACCAGTGAGGGTCCCACATGGCGCGACAGACCTCTCCTGTCTCGCCCACTGCTCCCCTCAGCAGTGTATTTTGTCAGTCTGACTGTTCTGCTCCCCACTCTGTCTCTGGTGAATCCTCTCACCCTCCCGCGCTTCTGACTGTACCCAGTGCTTGTATAAATAAATAAATAAATCTTTAAAAAAAAAAAAAAAACAAAGTTTTGTATGTGCATTTGTGACAGCACTCATTAGCTTTTATTTACCAGTCAACCTCTTCTCTAAATTGCAAGCCCTTAGAGAGCAGGCACTATGTCTCATCCATCTCTCCCTCCCTAGTGTCTGATACAGTACCTGGCACAGGGCAGGTAACCAAGAAAGAAATGCAAAATTAATGACTGACAACTTATTGATTTCTCTTTATGTCTCCGAAGTGGCACATTTCAACAAGGTCTCAAATAGTCAAAGCTACAGTTCAGGCTAACATTACCAGCTTCAAATGCAAGGTACACATAATTTCACCTTACCTTCAATACAGAGGTCTGTGACACTCCCATCTTCTGCATTGCATAACAGTCCTTGGAGCAATGGGAGGTAAAAGGCAGATGATTAACAGTTAAAAAAGAAACAAACCCACAAAGGCACACCATGAAGTCTAAGACTAATAGCAGCTTTAAGTATGTCCCAGCTGATTTCAATCCTCAGCACCAAATACCTCGATTTTCAGTGATCCATTCTGCCTTTAAAAGGATATAAACAGTGCAGCACAGAATAAAAACTGTGCACTCTGAAGTCTGCAATAGACGTGGGGTAAAATTCCACTTCTGCCAGTTGTGAACTATGACCTCTCTGAGCCTTGGGGACTATTCTCTTTCCCTTAAAGTACTGTCTTGGTAGTGAAAAGCCTGAAGAGCTTGTGCAGAGAAAAATGCACAATGCGAGCTAGGCCCAAAAGAGCTCATTCCATGGAACGTTACAATTGCTTTAAAGAAGAAGCCTATTAATTCATCTCATTTTATACAGGAAGAAACTAAGGCACAGAAGAAAGGACATGACTAGGGCCTCCCCGGTGGCGCAGCGGTTGAGCGCTGGGTTGCGAAGCTGCCCACAGCCTCTGCAGCGCCGGTTCGATCCCCGGCTGCTCCCCGGCCACCAGAGGAGGGTCCCACATCGTGCGCAGACCTCTCCTGCCGCCTGCTGCTCCCCTCAGCAGTGTACTTCGGTCCTTCTGCCTGCTCTGCTCCCCGCTCTGGCTCTGGTGAATTCTCTCACCCTCCCGCGCTTCTGACTGTACTAGGTGCTTGTATAAATAATAAATAAATAAATCTTTAAAAAAGAAAAAAAAGAAAGGACTTGACTGAGCCAGGGTCACACCCAGGCAGCTGACACCAGTTTGGACCTTCTGATTCTGTTCAAAGGTCATGCAGACTGGATTCTTTGAAAAATCATACATTTTCCATAATTACCTTCACGTTTTCACCAACCGCTTAGCTGTCATAAAGCATATTATCAAACACCAAATCATGTATCTCAGAAAGAGGAATCATTTCATCATTATGACAAAATAATCTGCCAGTAAATTAAACTGCAGCACTGAAAAAAGTCTAAATTATAAGACCATTTCTCCAAGCCTCAAAAGCAAATATACATGCTCTACGTGCAAAGTTCAGGGCAAGATTCCCTTTTATTTATTTATTTATTTGTTTGTTTATTTATACAAGCACTAGGTATAGTCAGAAGCGCGGGAGGGTGAGAGAATTCACCAGAGCCAGAGTGGGGAGCAGAACAGGCAGACTGATGAAAAACACTGCTGAGGGGAGCAGTGGGCGAGACAGGAGAGGTCTGTCGCGCCATGTGGGACCCTCGCCGGTGGCTGGGGATCGAACTGGTGCTGCAGAGGCTGTGGGCAGCTTCGCAGCCCAGCGCTCAACCGCTGCGCCACCAGGGGAGGCCCAAGATTCCCTTTTAAGCTCACCAAAAAGCATGCTTATGAAGTGGGTACAGAGTCTCTGGTCCTGAGCCACCAGCTGCACGACCAAGGAGGTGTGCCTCAGGAGGGCGTCTCGGAAGCAGGACAGCAAATGCTTCTTGCGCACCAACTTGGGACAGATGAAGAAAAATATTCAGTAGCAATCAACGGCAACCCAAGCAGCTGTAATTTTCCAGTGTAACTACAAGATGATACTGGAGGGAGCATCTAAACTATGGTAAGATCCATAGGGTTTGCAAAACGGCATCATCTACACACAAAAACCCTTGCACTCAGCGAGGGCTATACCTGAGCCAAGGTTCCTAACAGCCTGTATTTACATAGCACTTTACTGTTCCCAAATCACTCCTTTATTTATTTTTGTTGTTTATGCACACGAGAACTGGGGTGTGGGTCAAGGGTGCAGGAGGGAGGAGGGCGGTGGGAAGATTCATCAGAGACAGATTGGGGAACAGAACAGGCAGACTGACTGAAATACACTGCTGAGGGGAGCAGCGGGGAGTCAGGAGGGGTCTGCTGCGCCATAGGGGTCAGCACCCTGGCCAGGGATCGGGCTCCGGTCGCAGAGGCTGGTGATAGCTTGATAGGGCTGAGACTAACTCCTGCTCCACCAGGGAAGCCCAACCCAAATCTCTCCTTTATTAACTCATTTAAGCCTAACAATGTGGTAAAACAAGCAAAAACACGGAACATTAATTATCACCATTTGGAAACATGAAAACCGAGGCTCCAGACACTTTCCCAAGGACTCAAATCTGAGGCTCCCACAGCCCAGAGCGCTTCCACCGCAACAGCCCGAGCGCCCCGCCCCACAGCCGCCTTAGGCATGAATTTGTGAGAAAAAGTGTCCCCGCGCACTGCCCGGTACCTCCGCGGGCGCAGGCAGAGGTGGGGTGGCATGGAGGACCCAGGCAGCCCCTCTCAGTCAGCTCTGCACCCCACTTCCGCCTGACTGGAACATCACCCTCGTTTTCCTGCCTGGACACCTCCGAATACGCCCCCATCGCGAGGCCAAGTCCCGAACAGCAGGCAGAAATGGGGGAGGGGGCGGACTGGGGTGCAGAGAGGGGAAGGTGGAGACACCCGCCAGTCAGGCGAGGCGAGGGGGGCCCACGGGGTGCTCAGACAATGCGGACAGGGCGAAGGGCTGCCTGAAAGCGCCGACGGGGTGCGGGGCAAGGGCCGGCGTCCGGGCCCGGGCAAGGGAGGCGGCTGGGGCGGGAGAAAGCAGGCCTGTCTGGGGAGGTCGCTTCAGTTTCGGCGGGTGAGCCGGGCCCGGGCGGCCTGGCCGGGGCGACCCCGTGAGGGAAGCGGCGGCCCGGTTCGCACCGACGCGCAGGGCTCCGACAGCAGCTCCAGCGCGCAGGCCAGGCAGAGGCGCGGGGACACGGGCAGCAGCCAGCGCGGGTCGTGGCGGTAATGGGCCTTCTCCAGGAGCAGCGCCGCCTCCTCGTCCCTCCCGGGGCCGAGCGGGCCTGGCGCCGACGCCCTCGCCGCCATCCCGCCGCGCACGCCGCGCTTTTCCCGCGCAATTGGCGCGCAGGCGCACTCGGGGCGAGCCCCGCGGCGGACGGGCGGACGGGCGCTAGTGCGCCTGCGCGGGCGGGGCGGGCGGGGCGGCCGGCGCGGGGGACGCCGCCCAGCCCCGAGGGGTTTGCCGGAGTTTGTCTTCACCGCGCCCGGGCTGAAAAGCGCTTATAACAGAGCTGTATTGTTGTGGACTGGAAGACGCTCAGTGGTTACTAGATGGGATGCGGCCCCGATTCAAGCACCTCTCATGACCTCTTCGTTCTCCATATGATTTTTGTGTGTGTTTTTTTTTAAAGATTGATTTATTTATGCATACAAGAGCTGGGGTACAGGCCAGAGATGCGGGGGGGGGGGTGAGAGGATTCACCAGAGACAAAGTGGGGAGCAGAACAGCTAGCCTGACTGAAACACACTGCTGAGGGGAGCAGCGGGGAGACAGGAAAGGTCTGCCGCGCCATGGGGGTTGCTCCCTGGCTGGGGATCGAACTCGTGTTGCAGAGGCTGTGGACAGCTTCACAGCGCTGCGCTCAATTGCCTGCGCCACCAGGGAGGGCCCTGATTTTTGTTTTTTAACAGACCTTAATCCCCAGAATTTATAAATATTGACTTATTTGGAGAAAGGATCTCTGAAGTTGTGATTAAGTTAAAGATCTTTAGTGGATCATCCTGACGCATAGGCCCTAAATCCAATGATGGATGTCCTGAAAGACACACAAAGGGGCCCTCCCTGGTGGTACAAGGGGTTAAGTCTCGGGACTATGAATCAGTCCACAGCCACCAAGAGTTCAATCCCCGGCCAGGGAGCTGACCCATATGGCACAGCAGACCTCTCCTGTCTCCCCGCTGCTCCCCTCAGCAGTGTATTTTAGTGTATTTCTGTCTGTTCTGTTCCCCAGTCTGTCTCTGGTGAATCCTCTCACCCTCACACCTCTGGCTTACACCCCAGCTCTTGTACGCATAAATTAATAAATATTTTTAAAATAAATAAAATAAAAATAGGAAAACTAAGTGAAAGCCAGAATGGAAGATAAAGGAGAGAGGAGAAAACCTGAATCAATCTCCATGCTCCAGCACTGCGAATCATTGTTCTGGGCTCTGTGAATCTCCTTTCACCAGCAGAAGCTGTCTGTAGACATGCCATAAGACATTAAGTGCTTTGACTCTGAAGGTTCAGATAGATTCAAACAAATAGTTGGCTATAGGTGTCCCATCATGGGCCAGGCAAAGCAACAAGGAGTCATCATGGTTCAACAGGGTTTGAGAATTGAAGAGGTGGCGATGGTTCACGGCCATGGAATCTCAGATGCCCACTGATCAGCTTCCTTTCTTGTGACCAAAAGAACTTGAGTGTCGAGTGCAGAGGACACCCCTTGCCCCAAGCAGCTGAGGCTGTCTGAGGCTCCTCCCTCAATCAGAAGTAGCTTGGAATGGGGCAGGACAGATCCACGATGGACACTGGGCAGGGGGAGTGTCTCAGACGTCACACTGGGCAACACAGTCCCTAAGCCTACAAAACCACAGAATAGTGGTCTCTACTTCCCCCCACAAATTATCCTAACCCCACAAGGGAACACTTGGAAAATATGTGCCAAAGGGCCACACAACCAATTTTATTAGAGGCTTTGGGGGTAAACAGGCCACTCTCATGCCTTCTCTGACTTGTTCTGAGGACTCTGGGCCCACAGTCTACTTTCTGAAGCCATGCTGATGCAGAAAACACCTAACATGCTTCACAAAACCAAACCTACGGGGAGCTGATGGATTCTGTGGGACCCCATTTGGATTCTCAGGAGCCCCTTGGCCCTGGGGACCCTCTGTCTTGGGAAGAGCAGCACCAGCACAGCAGGGATCTGAAGGGTGAGGGTCCGTCTTCAAAGTGTGGACTCTCACACTGTCTGCTCCTACATGTGAGTCACCCGCTTTGGGCAGCGACGCACGACCAGGATCCCTCAGACTCAGACTGGGGGCTGAGTGCTGGGGCCTGGCCAGATGAGGGCTCCCCGCGATCTTGTTCAGCAAGGTCCTGCCCACCCCAGCTGCAGCGGAGTAGAGACTCCCTTTGAAGCTGTCAGTGGTGGAGGAACAGGTGCAAGGCTGCTGCCCATTTCCTCTGCTCCCCACACGCTCCAGGCTGCCTCTTCTCCCAAGTCGGGAAGGCTTCAAGGGCTTTGGGGGCCGGCACGCGCCCTCCTGGGAGTCACGGCATGTCCTGCAGTATGAAGCCCTCACTCTGCTGGGAGCCTGCTCTGCCAAGTGGGAGGTGCCTGGCCTGAACAGTTTCCTGCCCCTGCGGTTCTCACTGGAGAGCTCTCGGGCCCTTTCTGGTACTCTGCAGCTCCTAGATTCAGGGGGATCCTGGAGCCAGGCCCTAGGGGGAGCCTCTGCCTGGGCATCCTGTGGTTCTCTGGGGCCCCCTGGTGGCTGCGATCTCCTGGGCTTTTCAGGGCACATGGAGATGCCATTGGACTGGGACCTGTGTGGCCCACACATCTCAGGAGTTCTGACTGGAGTCGGAAGTTTTGAGTTTTTTCTTACTGGGGGCGGAGGCCTCTGGGGCTTCTCTGGACCTGGCCTGGAACCCTGGGCCCCCTGCTGCCCTGGGAGCTCCCTGCCCTCTCCTACAGGGAGCTTCATCCCTGCAAGGGGCAGTGAGTGGAGTCCTTTGAAGTCAGAGAGCAAATGAGACGTCAGGATCCGCTGCGGGAGGCCCCAGTGCAGGTGCGCCATCTTCCGCCGCATGAGGGACTCCAGCAGCAGTCGTTGGCTCTTCTTGAGGACTGGCCACTTCTTGGACAGTACAGTGGGGGCAGGGGGAACACCCACCAGAGCTGTGGCAGCTTGGGGGGCTTGGTCACATGAGACAGAGGGGCAGGCAGAGGGCAGGCCTAGGGGAGCAGCCAGAGACTGTGGGTTCTGGAGCTGCCCCATCGGACTGGAGGCCTCCGCTGGGTCCACCTCTTTGTCCCTTTGTCGCCTTCTCTGGGGTTTGGGTCGGGCCTGCCGGGAGGCTGCAGGGACCTCCACTCCAGGAAGGGAGGGGGCCAAGCTCTGGCTGGCCAGATGCTCTTGCTCCCCATTGGCGAGTGGGATGACTGCCTCCTGGCTGGGAAGAGGCTTTATCTCAGGACAGGAAGCAGAGGCCACTGCCTCTTCCTGTACCATCACCTTGTGTCCAGAGTCAGAAAGAGCGGGGGTTCCCTTACCCCCAGGACTGTCAACTTGAAGATTGGTTCTAGCAGCCTCTGTTCCTCTGCTCTGGTCTTTGTTCCCTCCCCTTCCTCCAGCATCCTCAGATCTGCACATTCTCTGGCCCTCTACATCCGGGAGTTTTGCAGCATCCTCATATCCATCGTTGTTCTGGTTTCCTTGTCCTTGTGTCTGCATCTCTGCATCAGTTTCACTTCTTAACTGTTTCTGCTCATCTTCCCCGGGAGCCTGGGTCTCACTGCCGCCACCACCTCTGGTCCCACTTTGGCTTCTGTCTCCTTGTGCTGGAATCTCTGCATCATCCTCACCTCCCTTCTGCTCCTGGTTCTGCCACTCTGACGAACAGGTATTTCCATTAACCTTATTTTGTAACAGCCTCTGGCTCACTCCTCTAAGTTTCTGGATGTTTCTACCATCCTCACTGCCAACCTCTCTCTCATTTGTCTTCTCTGATGTTTGGTTTTCTGCAACGTTGTTGTGTCCAGTCTGCTCCCAGTGCCTCCTCCCTGGTGAAAGACTCGCCCCAGTTTTACCACCTGACTGTCTCTGGTTCTCTCTCCCAAGTCTCCGAGTCTCCACATCATCCCCATCTCCAAGTTCTCTCCAGTTTCTCTTCTCTGGTGCCTCAATTTCTGCGCCATTCTCACCTCCCATCTGCTCCCGGTTCCCGCATTCTGACAAGCGGGTCTTCCCATCGATATCACCTCTCAACTGACTCTGCTTTCCTTCCCCAGCTGCGCAGGGCCCTGTGTCCTCCTCGCCTCCGCCTTCTCTCCGCCGGCCCTTCCCCGGAGCTTGAATTTCTGCACCATCCTCACCTCCAGCCTGCTCCTCTTTCTTCCACTCCATCACATGAGTTCCTCCATTGATTTCACTTAGTACTTTTCCCCAGTTCTCCGCCTCAGACGCCCGGGTATCAGCACCATCTTGGCTACTTCTGCATCCGTGCTTCTGCCGCTTCGGTGTGTAAACAACTCCACTAACTTCACCGCCCCACTGCCCCTGCTTTCCTTCCCCAGGTCCCCGGGCGTCCTCGCTGTCTCCACCTCTGAGCCCTCCCGGCTTCCTCTGTCCCGATGCTTCAGTGTCTGTGCTACTCTCATTTTCAAGCTGCTCCTTTTCGAGCCGTTCACGGGGCCTCCTGCCTGGCGGAGGGGTCTCGACGTGCTGTCCCTGCCTCCCTGCCTCTGGGGCCAGGGTGTTTGTGCGGCTCCCGCTCCCGTCTCCCTTCTGGGCCCCCTTCCCCGGCACCTGAATGTCTGCCCTGTGTTCACCTCCACTCCGGCCGCTCTTCCCCCGCGGCGGTGTCTCAAATTCCCTGACAATCTCATTTATGACCGGTCTCTGGTCTCCCCACCACAGCACCTCCATCACCACCCAGTCCTCCTGCCTTACCTCCCTGAGCGGCTTCCTTGCAGGTGTCTGGGTTTCCCCAGCACCCTCGCCTCTTCGCGGGCTGTGGGCTCCCCACCCCACCTGAACTGCATGACTTAGTTGTTTCTGGATCTCTCCCCCAGAGGGTCGGGTCTCCCCAGGGTTCTCACGTCCATCTTGACCCTGCTTCTCCCACCCTGTTGTCGGAATCTCTGCAAGAGCCTCACCTCCAACACAGTCCTGTTCTCCCCACCCCAGGGCCTGGGTCTCTTTATCCCCCTCTTCTTTCACTTCTTCCAGGTCCTCCCTCTCAGATGCCTGGATTTGCTTCACACTTTCACCTCCAGCCTGGTCCTGGGCGCTCCTCTCTGCCCGAGCGTCTGCACTGCTGTCACCTCTGATCTGGTCTTGTTTTGCCCATCCTGGCACCCGGGTCTCCTCACCGCTCTCACTGCCTGTCTGACCCTGGCTCCCCGATCCTCGGGCCTGGGTCTCTCCCTCGTCCTCCCCTCTGTCCTCGTTCTTATTCTTCCCTAATGCCAGGGGCTCAACAGCATCCCCACTACTGCTCTTGTCCAGGTTCCCCCACGCCGGTGTTTGGGTCACTGCATCAGTTTTACATCTGAACTGTTCCTGGTCCTCGCCTCTGGAAGCCTGGGTTTCGGAAAGATTCTCTCCCACAGCCTCCCTCTGGTTTCCCTCCCCTAGTTCCTGAAGGTTGGCTCTACTCGCGACCCCCATCGGGCCTTGCTTCTCCTGTCCCGGTATCAGGTTCCCTGCATCAGTTTGGCTTATCGCTGGTCTCCTATTTCCCACCTCCAGGGCTGTGGTCTCTGCATCATCCTTCATTCCAAAGTCTATCGGGAGCTGCCATCCAGATGCCTGGACCGCCCAGGCCTTCGCTTCTCTGTTGTCTCTCTGCCTCGCCCACCCTAGAGCCCAGGTGGGTCTGTTATCTTCTCTTCTTCGTGTCTGACTTTCCCTCCCTGATGCCCAGACCTCTTGGGGACAGCGCCAGCGCACTCTGGTGGGCATTCCCTTCTGTCGGGCTGAAGGAACAAGCAGTAGCTTTCTGGAACAGAACTGCAGCCTCCGAGTGGAAGGGAGTTTTGGCAAGGAGGTGGCTGAAGTCACAGAGACAGGGTGGGGCTGCAGACTGACAGCAGGCCCCACTGACACTGGCTCTTCCTGGGAGTGGACAAACAGCTGCTGCAGCCCTTGGTGCTTGTCCGGCTTGCTAATCTGATCATTATGGCGACACCAGGGTATCTGCCATGCTTCCCAAGAACTATCCTGATGGAGCATACAGGTGCTTGAAAAGGAGGAAAAAGAGGTGGACTCAGCAGCACTGAGGACATCCCAAGACAGTCCCTGCCGTGGGTGCTGCCAAGACAGCAGGTATTGGGTCCATGATTGCTGGAGGCGCCTCTGGTTGTCCCATCTCTTCTTCTGTGTGCATGGCTGGACATGAGCATTCGGGCCCCTGAGCTTGCCAGGACTAAGGAGGAATTCAGGGGTCAGCTCCAAACAAGGGTTACATCCCATGGAGGGCTTGGCCCACTTCTGCGGTGGCACCTGTAGGTGAGAACACAGGATTGTGGCCTTTTCACACACAGTGTCTCATGTAACCCTCACAGATCAGAAGTATCCTCTCCATTATCCTGGTGAGGACACTGGGGCTCAGGAAAGGGGAGTCACTCCCCTTAGGCAATCAGCTTTCAGTCATTCAAGAAAGCACGGCTATTACTGCACACCCTCACTAATGCTGCTGGGGTAGCATTTGGTTCCATCTTGTAGACACAGAAGACATGATAACCAAGTGTATACCAACATGTTCAGTGTTCAAAAAGTGTTCTGATGGAAATAAAAGCAGAGTGGGGTGGGGTAGTTCCTTTAGACAGACAGAAAAAGCCCCATGGAGGAGGTGACACCTGACCAGAGACTGGAATGAACGGAGGGGCAAACCAACTGACATCTGAAGGAAGAGCACTGTAGGCCGAGAACACATCAGTGCAAGGCCCTAAGGCGGGAACAAGATCACAGGTACAAGAACAGCAAGGAAGCCTGAGGCCACAGCAGAAAGAGTGAAGAGGAAAGTGCTAAGAGATGAGGTCAGACAAGCACAGGACAGACCGTGCTGACCTGGGGGGTGGAGTTGACGTTAGGAGTTTGGCTTTTACTCTAAGTTTGCCAGGGAGTGTATCCACGAGGGCCACTGCAAGATTTTGAGTGCAAAGCACCCGCGTGTTAGGGTGAAGCCAGGTGAAAAGAGCCCTTGCTGTGTGATTGCATAAAGGCCAAATGAGTCTATGCCACTAAGAGTCAGCGTAGTTGTGACTGCAACTTCTGGGCTGCTGGCCATTGTGCCACATGTGGATGTGTTCAGTTTGTGAAACTGCACTGATCTATGTCACTTACAATCTGTGTACAGAAATCATCTTTGGATTAAGAATGTTTAAAAAAAAAAGGGAGAGAGAGGAGCACAGTTGTGTGGAGCACAGTTGAGTGGTTGAGAGGGAGAGGCAAGTGGAACCAAGCAGAAGGCAGTTTCTATGGTCCAGTTGTTTCTACAGTTTCCACAGTCTAGTTGAGGGGGCATCTGCCCAGGATTGCTGTGAGGCTAGAGGAAGTACACTTGGGATATGAGTGATCAAGTATGAGAAACTGTAAGAGGGGCAGCCTCCAAGCCAGTGGGTGGTGCCAGTGGCCAACTGGATGGGAAATGTGGAGCTTTCTACTCCCCTAGTTCTCAGGACAGCTCAGATGGGCCCCTGGTTCCTAGCCATCCCCATAGCGAGTAGAGCCGAAAGCACCACCTTCTCATCAGGCTGGTCCTCAGAGTTACATGCTGGCTGGGAGGTTGCATCTCTTACAATCTGGTTTGCAAGTACAGCCCTATAGTAGATGGACTGTGGAACCAGGGAGACAGGAGTCCAGGGTGATCCAGGGCTTGGAACCTGATGACATTCTCCTTGGCCAGCCTGAGTTCCCCGATGTGATTTCAGGTTCAGATAAAAGAATCTTGTAACAAGTGGTTCAGACAGTCATGGAAGGAGATATGTGGGGTCCCCTCACCTTTATGGTCTTCTTCATTCTTGGATGGGTCCAATAGTGCCAATAGTGCCGGACTTGCCAGATCACAAAGAGGAAGAGGACGAGCAGGTTGCCACAGCACCGAGGGTCCCTGCAGCTGCGGTGCTCAGACAGCAGGGCCCTCACTGGCTCCCACTCAGCGCCCTGGAATGGCCCCACCAAGGCACAGGCACCCAGCAATGGCAGCAGCATGACAAATCTTAGGTCAGGCTGGTGGTGTTGGGGAGTTGGAAGACAGGACTGGTATGGCTGGCCCAGCCAGTGTAGGGTGGGGCAGCCCCTGCCTCATACCACCCCTGTCACTAAGGCCACCTCACAAAGGAGTCTGATGCCCCGGCCTTAGTTCCTCTTGAACCGGGCCTCAAGGCCAGCTTGCATACCCTCGGACTGATATGTACAGAGTTGGGGAACGTCCCATCAGGAACTAAGGGGAAAAATTGTTTTAAACATACCTGTCTTCTGCAGTGAAGAGATTGAGCTGCCCCCGTGTACAATGGGGTGATGGTAGCTGCCATCTGCTTGATCTCTTTCTTCCTATTAGGTACTTCCGCTCATGTGTCTGTCTATCCAATAGCAAACATTTAGTGAGGGCTGCATTGAACCTATGTCTGGCGACCCAGCACCCCTTCCTCTTTGCTCACTGTATCCTGATTTTCTGTTAGGGAGTGACTTTTGCCATCTCAGGATCAGTAATGGTGGGAAAACAAATTGCCACCCGGAAAACTATCTTCCACCCAAAGGTTATATTCAAAACACTGAAGGCTGGAACAGGTAGGCTTAGTCCCTAATCAGAAATGGGCCAGGCCTCCGAAGCCCCAAGGGTCAGCAAAATGATGAGACAGAAATACTTAGAATAAGAAAAGATACAAGTAGTATGGAACAAATAACAAAGGGACAAGACCCCTAACAAAAACTTAATAATAAATGTAAATACCCAGGCCTCTCTGGTGGCGCAGGGGATTAAGCACTGCACTATGAAGCAATCCACAGCCTCTGCAGCACGGGTTCCATCCCCAGCCGGCCAGGGAGCTACCCACATGGCGCAGCAGACCTCTCCTGTCTTACCCGCTGCTCCCCTCAGCAGTGTGTTTCAGTCAGTCTGCCTGTTCTGCTCCCCACTCTGTCACTGGTGAATCCTCTCACCCCGCTGCACCTCTGGCCTGTACCCCAGCTCTTGTATGCATAAAAATAAATAAATCTTTTAAAAAAAGTAAATACCCTATAAAGGAAATTTTGAAATATTTTTACTGAAAAACATAAATGCAGTTTTGAATACTAGGAAAAATAGTTATGTTGGAAGTTTCAGCATCCTCAGATGATTTTGAAAGCACAAGACTGTGCTCAGAAATAAACTGGCTCTGGAACGGTGACACCATTGAAACCGTCGGTTCGGCTGTGTTATTTTTTGGAACGTTTAACCCCACTTTGCATCACCAATTCATAGAAACCGCAGACTCCGCGCCCAGCGAAGAGGCCGGTCCCCGCCAGGCCACCGTAGGGGCGTGGCCTCCGCTTCCGGTGACGCCACTTCCGCCTCCGGACGCGCGCGCGCCATTTCTACTCCTCGTCCGCGCGACTTTCCGGCAGAGGCGGCCGCGCTCCCGCCCGGCCTCCGGCAGTGCCCCTCCAGGAGCGGCGAGTCCGCGGCACCGCAGCCATGGTGAGTGGGCGCCTGGCCGCAGGGCCGGGGGGCGGGGACTCGGCTTGGGGGCCCCCCCACTGGCCTGGGACCGGGGGATCCGCGCCGTCGCCTGTGCCCGGCCTGGGGAAGAGCTCGGGGTGCCGCGCAGCCCGCTGCCCGACCCCGAGTTCGAACTCCCGCAGCCCGGGGTCCCCACACTGGTCCGAGGTTGCCACTCGGGAATCCTTGGGCTCCAGCTGCTGCGATCGGGGGTGAGGGGCTCTGCGCGTGTGGCTGAAGGCCTGGGGTGGGCGGAGGGGCAGGGCCCGGCCTGGGGGAGACACCCACGTGGCAGAGAATAGAAAGTTGAAAGAGCAAACTTCGCTCCACCTTTTTTCTGGGATCGCTGGAGCTGGTCCACCCCCCCCCCCCCAACCCATGACTGATGTTCGGGGGAGAAGATCTCCATGGTCTGTGCCTGTTCCCATCCCGAGCCCCACGTGCCAGGGAGCTTTAGGCGTTTGGGGACTGTGGGGTGACCCCGAACTCTGGCCTGGAGCGCAGAAAGGCTTCATCTGCGAAACGTAGCCTCAGAAATGAGAAGCCACGTGCGATTTCTCTAAACTCTTGGTGGTCTCTAATTTTTAATCAAATCGTTTGTCTAGTTTTGGTTGACACTTGGTGAGGGAAGAGTTTGCAAAGCACTTTCACATCATAGTGGGTTTAATCCTTTCCACAGAGCTTGGATCTGGGCGGGTGCCTCCCTCCCCTCTGCACTCCGCACCCCACTCTTTTGAAGCTGATAGGTGACCAAGTCCAGAACGTGCAGCTTCTAAAGCAGTCCCATCTTAGGCTGCTCCGTGAAAGTTTTGGAATTTGATGGTCTCGAGTTGCATTTACTTGGATGCAGGATGCATGGGGATTAAATTAAACATGATAATGCATATTGAACACCTAGCCCTGATGCTTGGTGCTGGGTGAGTACACAGTGTTTGTTAAATCAGAACTTTACAGATTTTGATTGTCTAGAGTATGGGGAGGATAAACAAACCTAGCTGCCTAGCGGTATTTTTTCCTGCATTTTTTTCTGTGAACACCGTGAAAAAAAATTAAGGTGAATAAATGCACACCAGGCAAATTTCAGGGCTGTTTGTAAGCTAGATAGTTTGAGCCAACCTTTTTGTCATTGTCAACTGGTACTAGAAGGGTGAAGTGACGACTCCTGATGATTCTTCCTGCCCCTGCAGTCTTCCCCTTGGGTACATTTGAAATTTATTAGGAGTTGAGAATCCTAATTTCCAGAGATGGGTTGTTGGAAACCGCAGTAGAAATACCTGACATTTAAAAAGGGGGGGAGCAGACTGGAATTACAGTGTTGAGTCTTTCGTTGTTTGATAAGTTAATGGCCTTAAGTTGTGAATTATCAGATAGCCACCAAAAGACAAATACCAAACCAGTAGAGGGGATAATAATGAAAAAATAATTGGAAACCCAAAAGACGAAAAGCAAGAAAAAGAAGCGGGACAGATGGGACAAACAGAAGGCACAAAAGAAGGGAGATTTAAACCAATATACCAATACTTACGCGTGGCATTCCATAGTGCGGACAGGCCACATCTTGATCCAGTCTTCCATGAGGGCAGGGTAGATAAGTTTAAATGGATTCTGTATCCTAAAGAACCGAAATTTAGGTTATATCAAACGTCATATTGTCTCAGCAAGCTTTGCTGTGACCCTTGAAGGCTTATTCTGAACTGTGCAGAGGAGAGCAGAGAAATGATGAGGCCTTTCGGGGCCTCCCTGGTGGTGCAAAGGTTGGGGGCCTCCCTGGTGGTGCAAAGGTTGGGATGCAGCCTATGAAACGGTCCGCAGCCACTGCAGTCAGCACGAGTTCGATTCCCGGCCAGCCAGGGAGCAGCCCACACGGCGCGGCAGACCTCTCTTGACTCACCCGCTGCTCCCCTCAGCAGTGTACTTCGGTCTGTCTGCCTGTTCTGTTCCCCACTCTGTCTCTGGTGGGTCCTCTCACCCATACACCTCTGGCCTGTGCCCCAGCTCTTGTATGCATGAATAAATAAATCTTTAAAAAAAAATGAGGAGGCCTGGAACTCCTCCAGCCCATACCTAATTCTCCATCACCCAGGGTCCTTGATACATTCACCCAGGGCGAGACTGGGGGACCAGGGCTCTTGATGCAGTCTGGCCTTTAATGTCACCTTCACAGGTATCAGGCAACCCCAGACGGGGAGTTCCCAGCCAGCAGTCACCCATGCATCGGACTATGTACTAGATGGAATAATGAACTGAGACACTGTTGAGTCATCAGCATGGCTTTGACTTTGGGACCATGTAGATGTTTTGTGTATTTGAAAAGTAAAATTTTAAAGATTTTATAGGAACCTTATGTATGTCAACTTGATAGCCACAAGAAAAAAAAAATTGTTTTGAATAACTTTTATTTTAATTTTTTTTAAGATTTATTTTATTTATACAAGAACTGGGGTACAGGTCAGAGGCGCGGGAGGGTGAGAGAATTTACCAAAGAGAGCAGGAGCAGAACAGGCAGACAGACTGAAAACACTGCTGAGGGGAGCAGTGGGTGAGACAGGAGAGGTCTGCCGTGCCATGTGGGTTTCTCCCTGGCTGGCCAGGAATCGAACTCGCATTGCAGAGGCTTACGGACAGCTTCACAGCATGGCGCTCAACCTGCTGCGCCACCTGGGAGGTCTATTTTGAATAACTTTTGAAGGTGGTGCTTGGCTGGATGACTTTAAGTTGTATACAGTCTAAAAATAAAGATATTTTTACTGTGGTAGGTGTGTTGTTGGTAAAGGTAGTGTTGGTATATCAATTCATTGTTACAGCATTTTGTATGTACTGTGGGGTTGAATAAATGAGAAAATACTTTGTTTGGGGGGACCAGGGTTCTTACTGGGGACAGAGGGAGAGCTGAGTATTGATTAGGAAGTGAAGCCAACTTTCTGCTGCATTTCTATGAATTACACCTTAATTTTGATTCAGTAAGTTTGGGGTGGATCATGGAAATCCAGATCTACACATCGACCCCTTGTGACTCAAGTGAACACCAAACTGTGTGACTGTTTTTGACCTGTTTGCTGCGGCATCCCTGAGTATTATGCTAAAGAGGCAAGTCAGAGTCAGCCTTTCAGTGTGCCTTGCAGCGCCGAGTCATTGCTGACTTTCTTTTTTTGATCCTAATTCTGTATTTCATTTTCTTAAGGGGAAGTGGGCAGGCCGGTGTCAGCTGAGGGTGTATGTTTTGGGAGCGGGCAGCAGAGGAGCTGACGACTGTGTCTCAGTTGTGGATTCAAGTCTTTTATAACTTGTCTGGGGTGACTTCGGGTTCAGGCTGACTGAGGCTGTGCTTCCCCCGCAGACCGAGGCTGATGTAAACCCGAAGGCCTACCCCCTTGCTGATGCCCACCTCACCAAGAAACTACTGGATCTTGTCCAGCAGTCATGTAACTACAAGCAGCTTCGGAAAGGAGCCAACGAGGGTAAGGCAGCGGGAACACTCCGGGAAGGGGGTTAAACGCCCTGCTCTGACCTAGCTCTCCAGTTTGGAGGGGGCTTCTCCTGACTGGGACTCATGGGGAGCCGTGAGCAGCATTTTGGGATTAGGTGCTAAAGGTTAATGAACTAGGAATTTTTGAGATCCAACAGATGTTAACTTTTTGCCACATGTACCTAATGAGAATGAGGCAGGCTGGACTTGGGCGGTGTGGCTCTTGAACCAGCTCTGATCTGGGCTTCCAGTTAATGCAGACATGGTCCTGGAAGCACTGGGCCCAGAGGTCAGCAGGTGAGATAAGCTCGACAAAGCACCTTGTTTCGTAGCGTTTGTCAAATATATAAAGTGAAAAAGAAAAAGCACCTTGTGGACAGTGCTATAGGCATTGAGCTGCGTGGTGTGGGTTTCCCAGAAGCGTTGATCACGGCAGGCTGGCGGGGAAAGCCCTGCACCTCGATCCCGGAGAGCTTGGGAAGTGCTGCAAAGCGCCCGCAAAGGAGACAGTGGTGCTTGGACAAGGGTAATAATAGCAGAGGAGAGGGGCGTGGTCTGGCTCATGGCGGGTTTTGGCAGAACTGATGGGTTGATGCAGCCTTTGAGACACGGAATGCTGGTGTCTTGGGGGTTACCCAGTCTTTCTTGCACCTGCTTCTTCTCCTTGGAGACTGCTGTGCTCAGCTGCCCATCCCCAGTCCCGCATCACCTGTGGCCCTCTGTGCTCTCCACAGCCACCAAAACGCTCAACCGAGGCATCTCTGAGTTCATTGTGATGGCTGCAGACGCTGAGCCCCTGGAGATTATCCTGCACCTCCCGCTGCTGTGTGAAGACAAGAATGTGCCCTACGTGTTCGTGCGCTCCAAGCAGGCTCTGGGGCGGGCCTGTGGGGTCTCCAGGCCCGTCATCGCCTGCTCTGTCACCATCAAAGAGGGCTCACAGCTGAAGCAGCAGATCCAGTCCATTCAGCAGTCCATTGAAAGGCTCTTAGTCTAAACCGGTGGCCCCTGACTCCTCCCCTGAGTTGTGTATCATATTGTCTGTGTTAGCATGTGGTGTTTTCTGCTACCTTCTATTGTTATAAAATATTGTAGTACTGAATCCTGTTTTTGCATTTTTGTATTGTTTTCAGGTCTCTTCTCCCTCCCCACCCCCCCACCCCCTCCTAACCCCCTTTCCACCAGAACTAATGCCAGAACAGGTGGAAGCAGAGTGATGACACCAGTGACAGGCAGGAAGAGCCAGGAGATCTGGGCCCTAGCTTTCAGGCCCTAGCTGCCTACTGTGTGCGGGCCGCGATGGGAGTAGATAAATGACCGGGGAGGTTACGACTCGCCTGGGAAGAAGTATGTGTTCTGTGAGGTTGTTTGTGTATGTCCCTGTGTCATTTGCTAATGGCCCCCCCCCGCTGTGTGGTGTTGATGTAGGATATTGTGTCCCGTCCTGTCTCCTGCCTTCCCACTCCCAGCCCCGCCCCCGAGGGTGGCAGGACAGCAGCAGAGTTGCAGAGGTGGCCGGGGCGAGTGGGACACGGGGCAGTTGACCGAGGTCTTAGGTGTCAAAAGGAATGAGAGCAAAGAGTCAGCTGGTGCTAGAAGGAAGGATTCTGGGCACGTCATGGAGACCTGTGTGGAAGCCACAGCAGAGGTGATGGAATCCAAGGGAATGTCCTCTTTGGTGAATGGTTTCCTCAGTGGACACTTGGTGCCAGCACTGAGAGCCCTCCCCGTGTCCTCCACCATGTGGGTCACCGCAGACGGACAGTGCCACTGTGTCATTATGAGAGTCCTAATAAAGAAATATATTCATACTTCACTGTGAAAGACGTGTGGTTCTTGTCAGCATCCAGCCAGTACCTGAAGGAAGAAATGCTTGGTGTAGGATGGTTGTATCCACTCAAACTTGGAGGCTTTTGAAGGGCAGGGCATCAGTTTCTTCAACTGAAAAAGTCCCACGGCTCTTCCCCTGCCCCTCAGGCCGCTCAGCCGTCCTCCACCAGGCTCTAGCTTTGCTCAGTGTTTCCGTTTCGTTTCTTGAACAGTCCAAGCCTGTTTCCTTCTCTTCTGTGTCCTTGGCATTCCTCCACTGCACCAGGGGCTCTCTCCTCGTGCTCGTCTTTTTTCTCTACACCAAGGAAGTGACTCAAATACCATTTCTTAGGGCTCTTCCTAGCTGCCCAATCCAACACCATCCACGCTCAGGGGTATGCACATGTTGACATTTGCGTGGGCTACACTGTGCTCGTGGCCAAAGCATTCTTTTAATTTGTCCTTAACTAACAGCTGAGCATTCTGTGAGTGGTGCCCTCATGCAGATGCTCCACAGATGCTGCCAGAAGCCTAGACGTGTGAACAAGAAGGAAAACAAGTCGCTCCTCCCCGGGCACCTGTGAAGCAGGCTGCAAAATCTGGCACGTTGACATTTACCTTCGAGACTCTCTGGCTTACATCAGGCCTCAGAGGCTTCTCTGACCCCAAACAAGCACTGGTTAGGGACTTCAGTTTTAGGATAAGTTTCCTGAAACCTTTTCCCCACAACATAGGGTTAAGGAATATTTTGATGTTTACCATAATGACCTTAAAGATGCTTTGCAGAACGGTTCGGTGTGAAACTGCAGTTCCATTATCCCCAGCAAAATAATGGTTAATACAACCAGCCTGCAAGCACCAATCAACCTATCCGCTCCCAGCTCCCAAATTCCTTACACACGGAAATGTGAGAAGAATATCTTGGTTTTAAACCAAGTTTTTGAGGGTAATTTGTTATGCTGCAATAGTTAACTAAGGCTGGGGGGCTGGGCAGCTAAGTGCAAAGACTTGTCAAAGTAGCAGCAATATAGAGAATACTGGAAGCGGGCAGGGCCCACAGAGGAGGTGTTCTGAGCCAGCCATGTCATGCCTGGAAGTAAGGAGTAGGACTTGCCATCAAGCCTGATGCGTCAGCTGCAGTGAGAATTCCACATGCAGGGGCAGCTCAGGCTCAAACCAGAAAAGCTGGACAATCACAGCTCCTGATCAACTATAATGTGTTTTTTTCCCAGGGTGGATTTGAGGGAATTTCTGGATGAAGGATTTTTAAAGATTTATTTTATGTATTTAGTATTTATTATGGGTGTAGGCCAGAGATTGGGGGCAGGGGGGTGTTAGAAGATTCAAGGGTAGCAGAACAAGCACATCTACTGAAATCCACTGCTGAGGGGAGCAGCGGGGAGACAGCAGAGGTCTGCCGCTCCATGTGGGTTGCTCCCTGGCCGGGGATCAAACTCACACAGCAGTGGCTGATGATAGCTTGATAGTGCTGAGACGTTAACCTTTGCACCACCAGGGAGGCCCCCACAGTGGATTCCTAAGCACGTTTCCCACGTAGCTGGCAGTCTTCTTGGCATAACTGTTGCATGTTCGGCATAGATCACACAGGTTGGTGCTTTTAAAAAGCCAACCAGGGCCTCCCTGAGTCTGCAAAAGCAAATGTTTTTTTTTTTTATTTTTTTTTTATAGAGGCATTTTTTTTTAACTTTATTTATTTATTTGTTTGTTTTTTGTTTATACAAGCACTGGGAGGGTGAGAGAACTCACCAGAGCCAGAGCGGGGAGCAGGGCAGGCAGAAGGACCAAAGTACACTGCTGAGGGGAGCAGCGGGCGGCAGGAGAGGTCTGCGCGGGGAGCAGCCGGGGATCGAACCGGCGCCGCAGAGGCCGCAGGCAGCTTCGCAACCCAGCGCTCAACCGCTGCGCCACCGGGGAGGCCCAAAAGCAAATGTTTTGAAGTCCTGAACAATTCCCCGCTAGCGGGGCAGTTTGCGCATCAGAGTTTCGGGGGATTTTGGGGGCGCCTCACCCTTCCAGGAGGGGGCGCCCTCTCACCAGGGCTGGGGTGGCCACCTCCTCCCTGGGCGCTTTACCACTCGTGGGCTTCAACAGTCGGTTTTGTACGTAGAGACCCTCCTACTTACCCCTTCTCCTTCGGCGGGGGCTCGGCCAGCCAGAGGCGGCCCCGGGGCTGGGGCGCGAGTCGGTAGCTCGGGGCGGTGGCCGCGCGGCTCTCTCCGGCCCGGGCCGCCTGCGCGCAGCCCTGCTGCGCGTGCGCGGGCCGCGTCTCCCCCCCCCCCCGCCCCGGCGCGCGCTCCTCACCGCCTCCTGCTCGTCACCGCCACCTGGCGGCTGGAAGCGTGTCTGCAGCCGGGGCGCCTGGAAGGCGAGGCGCGGGGTCTGTGGTCTCACCGCTCACCAGCCGGTGTTAGGCTTACGAGGAGATGGAGGAGATGGGGGACATGGGGGACATGGGGGAGCCGAGCCTCGAAAATGCCGGGTAGCTTGCTCAAGGGCACTTGCATTTTTGTGGTGGAGCCACGATACAAACAACTAGATCTGACTTGTGAGCTCACGAAGCCTAACTCAGCTCCCCTCCGGCGTGGTGGTCCTGCCCGGAGACCCCATAGCAGAGGCGGCGACATTCCTTGCAGGGGAGACGGACCTCGCGACCGCCATTTATCACCGACGAGGGCTCGTTTCTAACATGGCTCAGGTTCCAGATGGTTATTTACTGCTGGGTGTTTGTTGCTTGCCTTTGTAGTCGTTTTCTTTTTATAAATATGAAAAGAAAGGGAAGTAACCTAGGCTTGGGGAAGGCCACTCAAGAGGACACAGAAAAGCCTGGCAGTCACCCAGGCTTCTCTTCCTAGGCTGGAACGCCAGGGTTGAAAACCAAGGTCCAGCGATGGTCTCTTCTTACCCTCCTACATACCTGCCTGCCTGAATCTTCCTTTGTAGAATTAGTCACTCCCTTTAGAAGCCAGTTTCCAGCAGGCCTCACTTAAGAGGCATGAATTAATTTCTCAACAGGAACGAGCACGTACTATAGTAAATGGCTTTGCATTATCGTGTGGTATCCTCAAAAGCATCTCTATTGGAAAATTAATCTAAACCAATAAAAGGAAAAACAGGTTAAAAAACAAAAACAAGGGCCTCCCCGGTGGCACAGTGGGTAGAGCGCCACGGTGTGAAGCTGTCCGCAGCCTCTGCAGCACGGGTTCGATTCCTGGCTGGCCAGGGAGAAACCCACATGGTGTGGCAGACCTCTCTCGCCTGCCTCGCCCACTGCCGCCCTCAGCAGTGTCGTCAGTCGGTCTGCCTGTTCTGCTCCCCACTCAGTCTCTGGTGAATTCGCTCACCCTCCTGTGCCTCTGACCTGTACCCCAGTTTTTGTATAACTAAACAAAATTAAAAAAAAAAAAACCCATAAAGCTCAGAGCACGAATCCAAAGCTGAAAATCTGACAGGAGTGATTTGACCCTCTATACTCCCCTCGTGCTGTGCTCATCCTACTCCTACAAGACACAGGACCTGCAAGCCCTGCATCTCAAGTCATCCCTGGAGTATGGAAAGGGACAGGGAGGCTGGATGGGAAAGGAAGAAAAAGGGAGGCACTCCCCCCTCCTCTGACTCCTGGTATTAAGCCCTCTCACCCTCAACATCTACAGCTCCCCTGAAAAGCAAGAATAACCACTGATGCCAAATTCCCAGTGCACTAGAAAACATGGCTTTAATTACTTGAAGTCACATTAAGAGAAAATGCACCATGAGGGGGTTGCTATTTACTCATAAAGCATACGGTACCAGAATTAGAAATGTTCTGTTCTTATTGCTTCTGAAATCTGGTCTTTAGATTTTTTTTTTTTTTTTAAGATTTATTTGTTTATACATGCACTGGGTACAGTCAGAAGCGCGGGAGGGTGAGAGAATTCACCTGAGCCAGAGCGGGGAGCAGAGCAGGCAGAAGGACCGAAGGACACTGCTGAGGGGAGCAGCGGGCGGCAGGAGAGGTCTGCGCGCCATGTGGGACCCTCCTCCGGTGGCCGGGGAGCAACTGGGGATGGAACTGGCGCTGCAGAGGCTGCGGGCAGCTTCGCAACCCAGCGCTCAACCGCTGCGCCACCGGGGAGGCCCTGGTCTTTAGATCTTAATAAGACAACGTTTAAAGGAAACAGGTGGGAGCAGAGGACCTCATCTTGCTAGGGCTGTCACTTCTGAGGAATGCTCACCATCCTTGATCATCACTCTCCCCACCCTCATTGTCTGTTTCTACTGTTTCCACTGATGGCGGTGTGTTTCCAGTGGGAGAGAAAGTTAAGCTAACGGTGAGTGGCAAGTGGTCTCTGGATGCAGGCAGACATCGTTCTCCTTCACACTAAAAAGCAGTACACAGGACAAAATTAGAGCTCTTTATTCAGACAGCAGAGGAAAGCACAGCAAAGGGGATGGGGGGCACGTCCTTGGCTTCTGTCAAGTGCGTGAGCGACGTTTTTTAACTGCTGGAGAACCAAACCAGGTGGCCAGCCATGGGGTCTCCGGTCAGTCTTGGAGGTGCTTGGTGAGCATGTCCAGCAGCTCCTGCTTCTTCAGCCCGCCCTTCAGCCCGAATGTCCTGCAGGCTTCCTTCAGCATGGGCACGGTGAGCTTGCCCAGGGTGCCCTTGTTGACGTGGGCCTTCAGCTCCTCTTCAGATAACTCCACCTTGGGCTTTTTGCTTCCAGGACTTTCACTGTCTGGGAAAAACAAGACCCAGAGGGTGTGAGGGAAATGCTCCCAGGGGTGCAAGGGCCCTCAGGTGGCCCGGGCTGTGGTGAGCCATTTTCTATCCATCTGGGCTGCCTCCCACACTGCCCAGGTAGGCAGGTGTCTAGGCAAGGCCGCTTCCCTGAAGCATAAAACGCAGAACGTAGCACTCTCGGGAGGGGTCGGAGCAATGTGAGCACTCCCCTCACTCTGGGTGAGCAAGTTCTTCCTCACTTCAGAAAGCAATTCCAGAGCACCCCACACAGTGGTGAAACGTGCAGGCCGAGTGGGCGAACACTAAATCCCTGGGCCGTGCACAGGTGACGCTCTGTGCCAGGGCTCAGGAGACTGAGGCGGCGCTCAGGACTGGAAGGGGAGAAAGCACAGCATCGCCTGCCCCCCAACCCCCACTGCACCGGCGGCTCACAGATCTTCAAAGAATTTCAGGCCCAAATTCAGTCTGTCTTAACCAGATTCAGCCAAAAGGGTTATGACCTAAACCAGAAGTGGGGTGAGAGACCCCAACATGCTGTCCAGACAAATGTCACGGTCACGGTAAAGGGAGTATCGGGTTTAGGGGTAAGAAAAGACCCACTCGGGCCTCCCCGAGGCGCAAGGGGTTAAGATGCAAGCTATGAAGCTGTCCACAGCCTCTGCAGCATGGATTCGATTCCTGGCTGGCCAGGAAGCAACCCACATGGCGCAGCAGACCTCCCCTGGCTCGCCTGCTGCTCCCCTCAGCAGTGTATTTCAGTCGATCTGCCTGCTCTGCTCCCCACTCTGTCTCTGGTGAATCCTCTCACCCTCCAGTGCCTCTGGCCTGCACCCCGATTACTGTGTAAGTAAATCTTTAAAAAAAATAAAATAAAAGGGAAATTCCTGGGGGCTTAGTTGCTGCTGGCTTGTGGGCCCAGTCCCCCGATTCAGCATTAAAGACGTGCTAGATACAGCGAAAGCGCCAAGTTCTCCTTTCATCTGCTCGAATCAACAATGAACCTGCCCGGCGTGGGATGGCTGCCCAACAGGCACTAACCAGAAGTTCACAGGAAAAAAGAAATCCAATAAATTATATTTTACTCATGAGAGACAATTACAAATCAAACAGCATAGTTTTCCCTCTTTTGGGAAAACTTTTTTTTGTGAAAAAATTTTTTCCCAATTGTTCATTGAGGTGAGGTTGGTTTACGTCACTGCATTTCTTTTAGGGATCATAGGTTCAAACCTGTACAAATGTACGTTTTCACACCACACCCGTCACCAAAGCCCTAACAATCCTTCTCCATGTTTCAAAGGACCCTCGCTGCCACTCTCCCCTCCTGGTTGCCTCAGTTTTGTAGAGAGATGTCAGGGCTTGTTGCTGGTTTGCTTTGATCTGACCCTCTGCTTTGTTTCTCTATATTCCACATGTAAGTGACACCATCTGGGAACTTTTTTTAAGTATATGAAGTCCAGGGCCGGTGAGAGTGTAGGGAAGCATACCCACCCCTTCTTAGCCAGGGTACCACTTTCTCTGAGGCACGTGGCACTGGCACTGACACTCTGGCTGGATGCACTGGGTCCCTCTATCCATTGCCTTAATCTTAAAAAATGAGGTGGGGGGTCTCCCTGGTGGCATAAGGGGTTAAGACGCAACCTATGAAGCTCTCCGCAGCCTCTGCAGCACGAGTTCCATCCCCGGCTGGCCAGGGAGCTACCCACATGGCGCAGCAGATCTCTCCTGCCTAGCCCGCTGCTCCCCTCAGCAGTGTATTTCAGTCAATGTGCCTGTTGTGTTCCCCACTCTGTCTCTGGTGAATCCTCTCACCCTCCACACCTCTGGCCTGTACCCCAGTTCTTGTATGCATAAATAAATAAATCTTTAAAAATAAATAAAATGAGGTGGGTAATGTTATGATGCAATGTTACTTCAACAAAAAAATTTTTAGGGCCTCCCAGGTGGCGCAGCGGTTGAGCGCTGGGTTGCGAAGCTGCCCACAACCTCTGCAGCACCGGTTCGATCCCCGGCCACCGGGCGAGGGTCCCACATGGCGCGCAGACCTCTCCTGCCGCCCGCTGCTCCCCTCAGCAGTGTACTTCGGTCCTTCTGCCTGCTCTGCTCCCTGCTCTGGTGAATTCTCTCACCCTCCCGCGCTTCTGACTGTACCCAGTGCTTGTATAAACAAACAAACAAACAAATAAATAAAACATGCCTCTATTAAAAAAAAAAAAAAACCTATAAAAAAAAAGTTAAAAAAAAAAAGTTACTAGACCTTTAAAAAAAAAAAATTGTTTTTAGATGAGGCAGTTATGTAATTGTGGATATAAGTAACTGTCCAACAAACACTGCTAAGTAACAAAATAGCAAACTCGAAAAAGAACTAGTTTTTTGTGCTGAAATATGTATGTTTGTATAAGTAAGCATGTAGGTATGTATAGAAACTTCTGAAGAGAAATTGTCTTCTGTGTTTGGACCCTAAAGACAATTTAAAAAATAACCCACAGGATATACGCACCCACTCCTCACCTTGTTTCCGCTTGGCAACCTTGCCCTCGGGGTCGTAACCTGGTGGATAGACAAGTTCCTTGAACTCTTTCACCAGGGAGCCCAGTCTTTTATCCATGGCCTCAACTTTGGGTACTAGAAAATCCAAACACAAGAAGAGTGGCTTGGTGGGTTGTAAGTCTGGGTTTCCTGTCCGATTACAGCTCTGCAAGGACCAGGAGAAGCACCTAACCCTGGAGGAAGGGTCCCCAAGAAGGCAATGGACCTGGCCCGAAAGCATCCCCCAAAGTCTGCCTAACGTGTACCCCACACCTTTGGAGCTACAGGGGATGAGTACTTCTGCCAGAAGGTCCTCTCCTATATGCTTTAGAGTTTTCAATCTAAGGAACTTAAACCTGATTCCAGCTTTACGGAGAAAAGCAGAGAGGTTAAATGTCTTGCCCAAGGTCCAATAGCTGGGACGTGGGAGCACTGAGAACCAGCTTCGGAAGAGACTAGGGCAGGGCCTCGTGCGGGGGCAGAGTGCGTCACCACGGGGGGGGGGGGGGCGGAGGTCACCAGTGGGGGGTTCTCAGGCACAGCCCAGTCTGGAGAGGCTCAAGGCAAGGGCTCTGGGCCACTCACAGGTTCTAAGTCTAGACCCACCAGTTACACCTGTGCTTTGGGCAAGTCACGCCCTCCCGAGCTGAAACGAGGATGCCTGCCCAGTTGTGGGGACGAAGCGAGTGGACGCGGGGCGGCAGGGGCAGGCACACTGCGAGCACTCAGCAAACGGCAGAGATTGTTCGTTGACCTTGACCGACATGTAGTCCGGGGGTGGCCTAGTTCGGAGGCAGGTCTCAGAAGCCTCGCTCCTCCTCTCACCACGGAACCATTCCCAACTGGGGCACTAAACTGGGCTAGAAATCTCGCGGAGAGTCTGGACAGTGAGAGTAAGCCTTTTAAGCAGGCTAGGAAATGTACCCACATTACTGGTCCAGAGTGGAATGGACCAAAAAGCCTCCCATGAAAAGACCGTCTCAGCCGAGCCAGCGCCTGCTTACAGGTCAGGTCTTCCGCCTGTTCGGGCTCCATCAAATCCAAAGCCAAGGCCTCCAGGTTCCTGAAGTGCTGCTGCAGTACTGGGTTCTCAAAGCTGTCGCTTCTGGTAAGACAGTAACAACCACATGCATACGCTAAGAAATAAAAACATGAACATTTTTTCATAAAATAAAAAAAATTAAGCCCAACTCAGGAAGCACAGGTCCAAGGCCAGCCGTGAAAAAACACTCCAAGACAAGAACTGGGAAACTGGTCTCTTGCTGGAATCGACTCTCCAGTTTTCAATCTATCCTCTGATGCTAGAGAGCCAAGAGCTGATTTAAAAGCAAACGCGGCCTGCCCCTGGGTCTGTCCCCGGCAGCCATGGGCAGAGAGAGGAATGGAGGCGGCAGGCCAGAGTCCAGAGAAAAGATGAGGCCAGACGGTGGCGGAGGGGAGATGAGGAGGCCGCGCAGCAGCCGCAGCACGCGAGCAGAGACCGCAGGGCCGGCAAGGCCTACTTCCGGCGGGGGAGGTCCGCAAGGCTGCCTCACTCTCCCAAGCCTCTTCTTCCCCCATAGGGGGCATAAGACCCAGCTTTTCAGACAAGGTTAGAGTTGTATCTAGAGCAGTGCTGGCACACGGGAGACTCTTAATAATGCTTCCCTTTGCCCAATAAAGGACATCACGAGCAGGCGACATTTGGAGGGGGCTAGTATTACTTTGCCCAGAGGTAGGCAAAGGCAGGGAAGGAGCCCAGAGACAACGGAGGGAAAGCGGAAGAAAATTACACCTGGGGTCACATCGTGTGGGTTCTGAGAGGGCCCAAGTGCATGTGGGAGGGGCAGATGAGAACCAGATGATCAGCCTTTTAATCCCCCCACAATTCACACACTAACTCCCACTCACTGTGGGAGAGACAGCAACCGTGGAGAAGGCCAGCTAGCAGTCTTCTTGCTGCTGCTTCCAAGAACCTGCCCAATGAGCAGCTCTGGCTCTCTAAGCACAAGTTGAGCAGCTGTGAGCGTTCAGCACCATTCCAGAGTCTTTGATATGGAAGACTCTCTGGCTCTGAAAAGGCCAGCTCCTATCAGCTAAGTGGAAAGAATAAAATCATGTTCTCTTGCTCTATGCACAACTGGAATTTCCAGTAAGACTTTCAACTCAGGAGGCAGTTCCAGAAGAAAAGCTTAAACTGGACCCTCCACTTACCGGTACTTGAAGCGGAGCTTCTGAACAATGGCCTTCATCTTGTCTACCTGCTCCGGGTTTGCAAGGACTTTTTCAGTAAAGGGCACCTTCCGTTTATCGTCGGCATAGGGTAGGAAGACAAGCTGGAAGCCTGGAGAAGGGAGGTGAGTTTTCTGAGACTTGACCTAACAAAAGGTTTCAGTTACTGAGTTGTCAAACGTCGCTCAGCTCCAACTCCACCCTTCTATCTCCTCTGAAGCTGGGGCTGGGGCCCCACAAGTCCCATTTCTCCTTATCAGCTGATTCCTGCTGGATGCTGCATGGAGCGTCCAGAGGGAGTAGGGAAGGCAGATGCCCTGTTGGTGCTGCCTGGCAAAGGCTCCTTCTGGGCAGCAGCAGCAGCTGGCCGTACCATTCTGTCCAGAGCCAGCTGGACTATGCCCCCTTCTTAGCAGGCTAAGTCTCAGCTCCATCTAGTCCTCCTCTGAGTGTCAGTCTGCGTCCTGTTCCCTCCCTTTACCGCACGCGCGCTAGATGGGAAGAGGAGAGGGTTGTCAAGTTGATCTTGTTCCGGTTACTGGCTGGTTCTACAGAAATGAAAAATCTGGACTGGAACCAGCTGCTGCCGCCAGGTGAAGGGCCCTTCCTGGCACACTGACTGCACTGACCACAAGGAAGGAGTGAGCCCCTTCGCTCTCCCCTGCCCTAATATCTCCCTGTAGCACCTACTATTGACAGAGCTTCACCCAAGGCCAGCAAGCAAAGGAGAGTCTCAGCTTCAGCAGCACAGAGTGAAAGGGTGGAACTGGAGCTGAGAGACAAGAGCTGGAAAACCAACATGCAAAGTTACTCCCAAGAATTCTGATGGTCAGGGCTAGAAATGTCTCATGCCGGAAGAGTTTCTTTCTCAAGTTCATGGGCATCAGCGAGGCTAAATGAGAGGGAAGACTGCCACCTGCTGGCTACTTTGTGCTAATACACTTACTAACAGATTTCAAATGTGAAACCACCTTGAGAAAAAGGTATTCCAGAATTCTCTTTGCAGATAAGGAACAAAAACAGAAAGTGTAAATTATCTGCCCAAGTTGGCCAGGTAACAAGTGGCAGAGGTGGCCTGATGCAAAGAAAAGCCGCTTCCCAACATGTAAGACTATCGTATCTGACCATGGAACCCTGGTCTTCGCACTGTGCCTCGCTGCTTTAGCACAGGTAAACCACACACCCAATGCTGCCAGGGTGCCAAAATGGCTTCTGACAAGGGGCGGTGCCAGCAGTGAGGTCTCGTGACTGTGTCAGTGATGTGCACGCAGGCCCGTGTGGTCGGGCCACCCCCGGTGTGCGGGGGTGCACTGCATGACCACATTTGCAGCCTTCCCTACCTGTGCACCAAACTCACTGCAGACCTTAAAAACGCATTTCCCAGGCCCTGTTCCCAGGGGCTCTGGCTCCCAGGTCTGAGCTGGGACCCCAGGAGTGATTCTGAAGCCCGAGAAAGGTTGAGAAGCGTGGAAAATCTCTTCCACTTACCTGGGGGAGTCACCTGAACTTTCTGGTCATCCAGCTCCTCTTCCTGTGGCATCAAGGCCACAAAATGAGGGGGGACATTCTGGCGGGGGGTGTATCTGCACAGTGCCACGACTTCCTTCTCCAGACACTTGGTGAGCAGAGCACTGAACAGGGTCGAGCTCCCTGGAAAGCAACCGTCACCGAGTGTACTCCAGAGGCGCCCCCTCCTCTTCCCTCTGAGCCCGTGACCAGCCCACAACTTGGCATCCACTTTCTTTTATGCCTCTGGAGGGTTATGATGCTCCAAAAGATAAGGGGTGATGGGCCCAAAGCTGAGGGGAAAAGGGGGCAGCAAAGGCATCTTCTAGAGGCAGAAGCCTGGACACCTCAAACACTCCACTTTTGAGTGTGGACGGTTAATGTCAGCTCCCTCTTACTGACATTAGATTAAGGACAGACGCCCTAGTTGTTCATGAAAACCAGTCAGGTCACATGGGGCGGCGGGCCTGGCCACAGAGGCTCGGAGGAAGGCGGGCGGCGCAGGCACTACTATCAACACGAGGGAAGAGGCTGATCCTTTTGTTTTTATTTCCAACTCTCTGAAGCCGTAGGTTTCTAAAATGCTAATCATTGCCCCTCCTGGGTATCAGCAAAGCACACAAGCATATCAGAGGCCCCCAAAAAATCTGTCATTTGTTTAGCCCCACATTTCCAAAATGGATTTGCCCATGGAAGACTTTTAAAAGACCCCGTTAAAGCCTGCCCTGCGGTTTCCAGCATGAGGAGACTGCTCAGGGGGACCACCGTCAGTCTCCCCAGCTCACCCGCTGGGCTCCACCACTTACCATTCACCTGGGACTCCTCGGGGTACACAAACAGGGAGGGCCTCAGGTATTGGTGCTGCTTCAGCATTACCAAGGGCTTGAACCCGATGAGAAGCAAACCTGGTTCGTAAAACCGTCTCAGCTGTTCTGTTTCTTCTTTCTCAAGCACAATCTGCCGGTTCCCATAGATCTAAAGTAGGAGGACAGGAGGACAGGAGTGAGGTGTAGAGGTTCCATGGAGATGCAGTGCAAGTTGCCACAAGACACCAGCAAGTTCTCCCGAGCAGGCCCAGCAGGGGTCTCCCCTACCACTGGAGGGAGCACTTCCCAAGAGCCTGGCAGGCAAGTCACATCTGTCACATCTGTCACCGGATCTATATTTGGTAACAACCCTCCCAGGTTGAGGTTAAAAACTGTTTTACAAATAAACTGAGGTTCATCTGGTTGGTCACCTGTTCCAAGGGGACAGTGGAAAGGGACTGTAAGCCGGGTCTGGCTGGTGCCCTGCTCTTCGAGTGTGAGTCCCTCCCTCACTTTTTATTTTTTTTTAATATACTTTTTTTTTAATAGAGGCATGTTTTTATTTATTTATTTGTTTGTTTGTTTGTTCATTTATACATGCACTGGGTACAGTCAGAAGCGCGGGAGGGCGAGAGAACTCACCAGAGCCAGAGCGGGAGCAGAGCAGACAGAAGGACCGAAGTACACTGCTGAGGGGAGCAGCGGGCGGCAGGAGAGGTCTGCGCGCCATGCGGGACCCTCCTCTGGAGGCCGGGGAGCAGCCGGGGATCGAACCAGCGCTGCAGAGGCCGCGGGCAGCCTCGCAACCCAGCGTTCAACCGCTGCACCACCGCCCTCCCTCACTTAACACACCGAGCACTCAGCGTCAGCACTGACTCGGGGTGCTCCAACCACACCTCTTTATGACAGGTGCCCAGCTGGGTCAGAGTGGGAGGCAGATATGCCCAGGCATACTCATTACTTCCAAAGGTGAATGTTTACGTTTTGATCTTAGATATGCAATTTAGTAACAGAACTCAGTTAAGTCAAATTTGAGTTTTATGAACAAAAACAAAACCCTTTTAGGGACAAAAGGTCAAGAAAAATCTTCAGTGAATAGAGGAGGGTCTGCCTGTGAATAGCCAAGATGGAAAACTAGCTGCTTCCAAAATGGTAAAGGAAATTTCTGGTTTTCTCCTTGGGAAAGTAGGGCAAGACCCTGGCTTGAAATTGGCATTCCAAAACCATGTCATCCGGCGGAATCAAAATACTAATATCTTAATTTTAGTCACTTAGCTGATACTTCTAGGTCCTGAACTTGAGCAAAAATCTCTCCCACATTTTACATAATTTGAAAGGATGACTCATGGGATTTTAATTCTAGATATTCAGACCCTTCCAGAGGGAGCAATGCTGAGAGGACGAGGGGAGACTGCACTGGATGTCTCTGCGCCTTCAGTGAAGAAAGGCAGATCTGGATCATTTCAAAACACAGGAAACAATTGGTTGGAGTGGCCTAAAAATTCTTTCCTTAAAAACAAACCAAAAAAGGGCCTCCCCTGGTGGTGCAGCGGTTGAGCGCTGGGCTGCCAGGCTGCCCGCAGCCTCTGCAGCGCCGGTTCGTTCCCCGGCGAGGGTCCCACAAAAAAAAAAAAAAAGGGTGCACTTCACCCCTACCACACCTTCCCTGCTCCCTGCTCCCCACCTGACATCAAAGTATCTTCCCATCAAGGGGGATGCCTGCGAAGACTCCCAGCAGCACTTGCTCAGTGACCCAAGGCTGGTTTTCACCAACATCTGCTCTACCAGCCTAGCTCTCCAGGTATCACTGGTCTGATTCCAAGGAGCAGCAACTTTCTGTTTTACCAGCTTGTCTAGAAAGCTGTGCACGCGCAAGCTCCTTAAATCACGAGGCTGGTCCCCGTCTCCTGCCCGGTTAGCTCTTCAACGGGGCGAAATTCAGAGAGAAGGCCGACCCACCTGGGACCTCTTGGTGTCACTGGGCAGAAGCAAACTGCCTGTATTTACATTAAACGTTCGAGTCTTGGTTTTCACTGGTTCATTTGTCTCCCGATACAGCTTCACTGGAGGAGGTCTGAAAGCTTTCTGGACCATGTTGTAAATGCCAACAGTGAGTGCTATGTCTTTGTTGAGCTTCAGCTTCAACCTGAGAGAGAGAAAAATAAAAAATCATAATAAAAAGACTTAAAGATCATACTTTCCTATCTAAAATTCCCTCATGGCCCCCAAGCCTTCATTTCTTTTATTTTCTACAACTATCCCAAACAAGCCCTTAGGATGTAATTCTCACGCATTTTAACTACATATGGCGTTTGCTATAACATCATGTCAGAGGCTGGCTCCCAAAATGAGTTTGTGAATGTACTGCTGAATACTTAAAATGATAAAGAATGTGCCGTAACAAAGAAGACGGTGGGTGTTTTCACTGGGCCTAGCCCCACACCAACTGCCCCACTGATTACTCTCCACCCTGCCCCATTGGTCACCCTAACAACGGGTCTTGTGTGCAGCAGCTGCTATTTCTGCTTGTCTAGTATCCTTCCCTTGCTTTTAATAATGAAATCCCAATTTTTCTTTGGGAAACACCCTACCACACTGAGGTTTTGGGGGAATATTAAGGTGCTATGGCCTCCCCTAGCCAAGTGGGACCAACTGACGCAGGCTCAGGCCCATGCTCTGAGAGGCGAGGTCTAAAGCAATGACCAGAGAAGAATATGACTGAGGTGACGCCTTCTACTATCATGAGTCCTTGGAACCCCGATCCTGGAGCCACCACTTCCCATACTATCCGCGCTTCTCAGGATTTTGTTTGAATATGAGGAAACCAGTCAAAGTCCATTTCAGGCACCTGCCACAGAACCTTATTATTGTCCTCTGTATAGATGCAAACACTGAGACTCAGAGATGGTAGCTACCTTGTCCAAGCAGACATCCAATAACTAGGAAAGTCTGATTCAGAAGTCATGCACTTTGCCGTTACGACACATTATTGCTCCACAATATTTATGTCAATCTCAAAACAAGCTGTTGGATATGTTTCACTTCATCTGAAATGGTTTCAGGTTAATAAATGGCACTAGTAGATGACAACCTACCTTAAAGGGTTGTCATGAAGATTATGAATTCATTAGTACGCTAACAAAAAAACTCAGACAATGCCTGGCACATAGTAATGGTGCAATAAAATAATGTTATTACTTGGTTATAGCAAGAACAAGTTTGATAATCTTCTAGGCCTTGGGCACTGAGTTCTCAAACAGCTTCAGTTTTATTATTGATGTCAAATATCCTTGCTATGACTCTTTGAACAACCCGCCCACAAAATAGTAAGAAAAGGCGAAGCGTATTAAGTAACCACACCATGCTGGGCGTTGTGCCTGCGTCTTCCCACTTAATCATCACCGCAGTCCAATATGGAAGCACCTTTGCTGCTCCTATTTTACTGAGCTCAGAGAAGTTGCAGGACTTGGCCCAGGTCACACAGCAGAGGGGCCAGGACTGGAAACCCAGCCAATCTAACATTGAGTTGCTCTTCTATCCTCCCTGCCATTGCACCCCCCCCACACATATATGCAAGAGCTTCCCAACATCCCATCACTTGCAGGAGGAGGCGAAGGAGAGGGGACAGGGAACTTGCCTGAGGAGAAGCAGTTGCTAAGGGGAAAGGAGAACAGTGACAAAGCTACAACCACAGCCATGAACTGGTACCAGGGTCCCTTGATTTCATGGATTTTCTAGCAGAAAAATCAGTAAACTTGGAAACTGCTCAAAATGACCAATGGTCATAGTCCTTTTATTGAGGAAACTCATGTAAAGTGGAAGCCTGGGGATCTTCAGGTAGAAGCGACGAGGAGCCCTAGGGTTCCACTGTTACAGCTCTCTAAACACGATCTAACAACCCGGTTCCTATTGCTCTCCAAGCATGTTGTTGCTCTGTATTAGTCTTCGAAGGGCTTCTCATTTAATCCTCACAATAATATCCTAATGAGGCAGGCACTACTGTTATCACCAATTTACAGAGAAGAAATAAACTGGTGCGTGCACCTGAGGATTTGTTAGCCCACAGCTGTCTACCCAAAGAAGCGGGCAAACAGCACACCAGCTCTTTGCAGAGCAAGAGAAGCAAGGAGCTTGTGCGATCCTGAAACAAAGCAAGATTTGGCAGAGAAGCCCAGAGAGGGAGTAGCACCAACCAGAGTTAAGTGGCCAAGGAATGCATTGCTGATGCGTTTGTCACGGGTCTCGTGGGCACCTGACCCAGGCCGAGCCGCACCTGCAGAGCACGCGCTTCCTGGTCTCCTTAGAGCGAACCTTCCTTAGCAGGTCCTCCAGCCTGGCCGATTCCTCAAAGTGAACCCCAAGGTCCTCATCCTCTGCCATGCTGATGATATCTCTGTAGAACAAGGAGATGTCAAAGCCCCCATCTTTCTTCAGGTGCATCAAGTCAAGGCAGATACCTATACAAAGGCAAAAGGCAGGGGAACCAAGTTTCAGCAAAAAAAAAAAAAAAAAAGTTTGTTTTTTTTTTTTTTTTTTCAATTAAGCTCAAATATGTTTTTAAAAGCTCCCAAAGAACCAGACTGAGCTCCTCCCTGGTGGCACAGGGGTTAAAGTCTCAGTGCTATCAAGCTATCAGCAGCCACTGCAATACGAGTTCGACCCCGCCAGGGAGCTACCCACATGGCGCAGCAGACCTCTCCTGTCTTGCCTGATGCTCCCTTCAACAGTGTATTTCAGCAGATCCAGCTGTTCTGCTCCCCACTGTCTCTGATGAATCCTCTGACCCCCCACACCTCCGGCCTACACTCCAGCTCTTGTATGCATGAAAATAAAAATAAATCTCAAAAAAAGAAAAAAAAAGAACCAGATTATTAACATTTCCAGAACTTGAACAAAGTGGTTAAGGAAATTAACTGCTACAGTGACTTCTAAGAACTCAATCAAATAACCACTAGTCATGGTGGCGTGAAAGTCAAGAGAATTTTCCCCTGGTCAAGTCTGCAGACAGCTAACGGTGTGGCCACGTTCAGTGGGAACATCACCCAGATATCCCCCCACCCCTACCCGATTCATCAGACTCTTTCACTTTACTCTGAATGCTTGACGGCAGCTATAGAGAGGCAATAAAATTAAGTGCCCAGTTAAGAGAACAGGAGGGATGCCACCTGTGTCTCGGAGATCCCCGGCCTTGGTCCTGGCCCGGCTGGCTTTGGCACTGTCACTGCCGTGGGGGTCGTCCTCGTTGGTGAACAGCATGATCCGCTTGTGGCTCATCTTGAACTGGACATTGCTAAAGAGGTTGGCACAGACCCACAGCACCTCACTCAGTGAATAGTCGGATCCATGGCCAAGTAGCTTTTGGAAATGCTTTTTTCCCTGCTGCCCCTTAAACTGGTCAAGCTCTAGCACTCGCTTAGCACCTATCAGAGAAGGGAAGGGGGTCAAATGGGCAGAGATCAGAACAGTGTCGCTGGCCACCCTAACAGGCTAACAGAGGGCCTCGCGTCCCTTTCTCACCCCGAGGTTGTTTATCCCTTCTAGCAAGAGTCTCCACTCCAGCAAGAACCCCCCTGTGCAAGAAAGCACACAGGCACAACTTGTCCCATGTCTGGGCTTTCCTGCACCTCGGCAGATGCTGCGTTGAAGGTGTGTGCTGTGGCAGGCCTACACAAGTCTACGGGGCTATTCTGCCAACAGCGTGGCTCACTTCGAGTCTACATCACATTTAATTAAGGTGGGTACATTGTTTTTTAAGACGTGATGCTACTGCACACTTAAATGCAGTATTTCAGTGCAATGTGATCATCACTTTTATATGTACCGGGAAACCAAAACATGTGTGTGGCTCACTATATGTGGTGCTTGCTTTACTGCGGTGTTCTGGAACTGAACCTGACCTATCTTCAGGTGCACCTGAACCCCTAAGCCAAGATGGCACCCACTGCCTTCCCAGCATCCCTCTTTGCTCAGGGTGGTGGCCTTCAAATCTAAGGAAGAAATTGATCTTAGATTACTACTGACCTGGAACGTCCAACTCCTGCAAGACATAAATATTTTTGAAATTCACAGAATTTTTGTCCTTCTCGGTACCATAGAACACCACTGCCAAGAGATCTCGATCACTGCTTATGATCTTATTGGTGTACACGTTCTGGATACACTGGAAAAATAAAAATTTAGTTCATATTTAGTTCATATTTAATGACTTACTACCGAACTTTCTCTTGATTTTATAAATTAAAGCCATCCTAGTGGGTGTGAGGTAGTATCTCATTATGGTCTTGATTTGCATTTCTCTAATGACTAAAGGTGTTGAGCATCTCTGCATATGCTTGTTGGCCATATGCATATCTTTAAAGACATGTCTATTCAAGTCCCATGCTCATTTTAAAATTAGGTTGCCTTTTTGTTGTAATTCTCTTTCAGCCAACTTCAAAGTATCACCTGCAAAAACGACTTACTTCCGTACCATAATTGCAGATACTTCCTTTCCTCCTTGACACCCCCATCTCTATAGAAGGAAGAGTATATTTCTAGTGCCAGGGTTAATTAACACAGAAGGTGGGAAAAGTGTATTTACCAAGGGTTCAAGTTCACACCAAGAACAAAATGAGCTTATTCTCTAACACTGCTGCTCTTTTTCAGCTGCAACTACAGGTACTGCTTATCATTCACACACATACTTATCAGAGTCCATATTTATTAAAGTGGTATTAATATTTTTGGGGGAGGGATGTTTGTTCTTTTTCTTTTTTTTAAAGATTTATTTATTTATACACACAAGAACTGGGGTACAGGCCAGAGTTGTGGGGGGGGGTGAGAGGATTCACCAGAGACAGAGTGGGGAACAGAACAGACAAATCAACTGAAATCCACTGCTGAGGGGAGAAGCGGGCAAGGCAGGAGAGGTCTGCTGCACCATGTGGGTAGCTCTCTGGCCGGGAATCAAACTCGTGCTACAGTGGCTGCAGCAAACTTCATAGGTTGTGTCTTAACCCCTTGTGCCACCAGGGAGGCCCTCTTTTTAAAGATTCATTTTATTTATTTATACATAATAGAACTGGGGTACAGGGTCAGAGGTACAGGGAGTAAGAGGATTCACCAGGGACAGAGTGAGGAGCAGAACAGGTGGATCTACTGAAATACACTGCTGAGGGGAGCAGCAGATGAGACAGCAGAGGTCTGCCATGCCATGTGGGTCAGGTCCCTGACTGGGGATCGAACTCATTCCGCAATGGTTGGCAACAGCCTGATAGCAGAGACGTAAACCCCTGCGCCACCAGGGAGGCCCTCTTTGTTCTTTTTAATTAGATAAAAAGGTAGTCTTACCTGGATGCTCATGTCAAAAGGAGTCAATTCATTTTCACCCTGAGAGTCAAACATAGCCCTTGAAGCATCAACCAAAAAAATCAAGCTATCTCTTCCTGAGAATTTATAGTCTCCTGCAGCGGAAAAAAAAAAAAAATTTTTTTTTTGCCTTTTTGGTCATATTTGTCATGTTGATCATTCACCTAAAACAGAGAAAAGTATAATCTAATGAATTATAAGATGATTATCCTTAAAACCACCACCTACATCAGGAAATCGAATCTTGCTGCATCCCCCACCTAAGTCCTCCTTATGTTCCCTGGAAATGACATCCTCACACTCCCCTGAAGAGGAACCAGGATCCTGCCTTTTGGAAATCACTTATTTGTCTTTATAGGTTTATCATCCAAGTGAACATTCCTAACACTAGCTTTGACTTAAAAAATGTTTTTGGGGCCTCCCCGGTGGTGCAGCGGTTGAGCGCTGGGTTGCGAAGCTGCCCGCAGCCTCTGCGACGCCGGTTCAATCCCCGGCTGCTCCCCGGCCCCCGGAGGAGGGTCCCACATGGCGCGCAGACCTCTCCTGCCGCCCGCTGCTCCCCTCAGCAGTGTACTTCGGTCCTTCTGCCTGCTCTGCTCCCCGCTCTGGCTCTGGTGAATTCTCTCACCCTCCCGCGCTTCTGACTATACCCAGTGCATGTATGAACAAAACAAACAAACAAACAAATAAATAAATAAACATGCCTCTATAAAAAAAAATTTAAAAAAAAAAAAAAATGTTTTTGAAGCCTCTAAATTGAGAGATATCCCTTCTGTCTTTTTGCCTCTTGTGATTTATCTGTTGAGGAACTAGATGTGTTATATAGTTACCCAGCTTCTGCATTTTGCTGGCTACATTCTTTATTTATTTATTTATTTATTTATTTTTTAATTTATTGATTGACTGATTGATACATACAAGCACTGGGCACAGTCAGAAGCGCGGGAGGGTGACAGAATTCACCAGAGCCAGAGCGGGGAGCAGAGCAGGCAGAAGAACCGAGGTACACTGCTGAGGGGAGCAGCGGGTGGCAGGAGAGGTCTGCACGCCATGTGGGACCCTCCTCCGGTGACCGGGGAGCAGCTGGGGATCGAACCGGCGCTGCAGAGGCTGCGGGCAGCCTCGCAACCCAGCACTCAACCGCTGCGCCAACGGGGAGGCCCTGGCTACATTCTTTAGATGAACATGAACATAGTCTTTCCTAGTCAGAACTTAGAGAGGCTTTACCAGATTCAGATTTTTTCTGGCATGACTACATCCTAGATTGACTACACACAGGCAGAGAAATCAACTACTGTACAAAAATAAAATAACAATGTAAGAAAAAAAGTTTTTTTGATTAAAAAAATTACACCCGGGGTGATGTGTTTTTCACAAAAGGCATATGATGTGCTGAGACTTAACCTTCTGCACCACCGGGAAGGCCCATGTTTCTCAATTTTAATGAAAACATTTAAAAAATTTTCTACCCAGAATTGAAATTGACCAGTATGCAGTCTTATTTGTTACTGTGTTGCCTGAACATACACTTCCAATCCTGGAGGCAATGGTGAGGGAATGAAATCTTGCAACTATGTGGCTGAGGTTTACTCTAGTGGCTGCACTGGGTGAAGGAATTTTTAAACCAACCTCCTAGAATGAATAAACCTACCTTCCTGCCTGAGGGAGAGTCTTACCTGGGCCACGAAAGGTGATAAAGCATACCTAAGTTCAGAGATACATATGGGCAGTCAATAGCTGCCAATTTACCAGTATCCTGCAGAAGTTCAAGACTAGAAATGTCCCATAGACTAGATAGGACCTAAATAAGAGCCTTTGATGGCTTCACAAAGCTCAAAGGAGAAAGGTAGTTAAGATTCGCTGGAGCTCAAAGAGAAACAGGCAGGGAGAGTTCACACTGAAAGACACACGTCAAAGTTCCTCACCACCTGCTTCGAGGCCCTCCTCTTGTTCTTCTTCTTCGTCATCGTCCTCGTTTTTGTAATAAGACTCCCACCCAGACATGTTGGTTACTGCTCAGTAGGTGAAAGAAAGTTAAAATCAGCAAGTTTAAACCTCAAAGATTTTGACTTCTAGGCCCCTTTGAGCTCTGTCCTCTGCGCTTGGGGTTACTCCTGAGGAATGTGGGTGATGGACTGTGCTGCCTGCAGAGTTCTCCACAGCTGTAGCGCAGAGGCACACGGGCTTAGGGGATCAGCCCAGCAGCAGCCTCGCCCTAGCTATTCCCACGGTTGCTTCAGGGTCGATGGTGACCCGGGGTGGCCACTGCGCTGTACGGGTGGGGACGCCCAGCCTGGAGGTCCCCTCCGCGCCATCTGCCCTGTGAGGGATCCCCGCTCCCAGGCACCCGGGCCTTCAGCGGGCCCAGCTGTCCTCATTCCTCCCAAAACGCTGCCCCAGCTCCTCAGCCCGCCACGCCCAGCGCGGCCTCAAGGGGGCCACGGCTGGGGGCCGCCTCCGCCGGGAGGAAGGGACGGGGACCAGACGCCGACTAGACCCTTCGGCCCGCACCCTGCGGAGGGGGACGCGCGCGCCCGAGGGGACGCAGCCGGACAGGCGGCCCCGGGCCTCAGCAACGTACACACCAGACAGCCACGTCCCGCCGACCTGGGGTGCAGCGAACACTTCCGCCGAGACAGGGCGCGGGGCGCCGGCACGCGCGCCGCCAGTTCTCTGGCCAATCAACGCCCGTTGCGTCATCACGCCCCGAGCGCACGTTTCCCCGGCGCGGCGCCGCGGCCGCCCCCACCCGCGGTCGGCTCGCTTCCCTGACCGCGCCGCGCCGCCGCGAAAGCCCCGCCCCCGGCGAAGCCCCGCCCCGCCGCCCGGCCGGCCGGCGCGCACATGCGCGCGAGCGCGCCCCCGCCCCTTCCCGCGCGGGCCCGGCCCGGCCCTGCTCTGTCACCTCACAGTGGTCGTTGCCGGCGGCGGGCGCGGGGCGCGAGCAGCGCTGGGCGGCCTCTCCCCGCCCCTCAGGCCGGGCCCGGGCTCGGTCCCCGCTCCCTCCGCTCCCCACCCCGTCGAGTGCGGGGCGGCCCACGCCTCCGCCGGGTCCAGAGGGCGTCGTGGCCGCGCCGCCGCGGGCCCCGATGGAGCCGCCGAACCTCTTCCCGGTGAAGCTCTACGTGTACGACCTGTCCAAGGGCCTGGCGCGGCGCCTCAGCCCCATCATGCTGGGTGAGGGCGGGCGGCGGCGGGCCGGCCGGCGGGGCGGAGGCCCGGGCACGGCGCGGCGGGACGCGCGGCCCCGGGCGGGCGCGGGCGGGGGTCCGCGGCGGGGCCCCGCGCCCGCCCTCGCGTCCTCTCGCCCGACCCGGGGGCAGGGGCGGGTCGCGCCCTCTCCTCGCGGGGGCGCGGGCGGCGCCGGAGCCCGGCGGGCCCCGGGCCTGGCCGGGGGGCCCTCTGCACCCCTCGCCGCGCGGCGTGGGGCTGGTGGGGCTGCGGGGCGCGCGAGGCCCCTCGCGGCGAAAGGGACACTGCGGCGGCGGCCCTCGGAGCCTCCCCCGGCCAGAGGAAACCCGCCGCAGTCTGCGGGTGCAGGGGAGAGCAGCGCCCCCCGCGCCCCCGGCGCCCCCCCCCGCCCGCCCGGGAGCAGGGGCGTCGGGCCCCGCAGCCTGAGCTCCGGAACTCCCCGGGGTCGGCCAGACGAGGCGGCTGCTCACGAGTTTCTCAGCGACCCGCCCCTGCCCAGACGGGTGCTTGAGACCCGAAGGGGCGCGCGCGGCGAGGGCGGCGGGGGCCGCGCGCCGCGGGGTCAGTGAGCGAGGCCGGGCGCCCCTCCGGGCAGCCCTGGACGGCCCGAAGGGAAACGCCAGCCCTAGTTCTGCAGAGGCGGCCTCACTCGAAGCCAAATACCAAAATATCTCCTGGAACGTAAAAATTTGCCCAGGGTGTGAGTTCAGGTGAGACCGGGCAGGAAACGATTCCCAGAATTGAACATTTTAACAACTTTAGAACATCCATTTGAATAACTAGTTTCCCCCCGAAGAATAGAGACTCTGTTCGTTCTTCTGGGTGAGACGAGAGGGCAGAGGTCAGGGGTGCGAGGCCGCTTTTGAGGGCATCTTTTCGGTGCCTTAGTTTCTAAGATGTTCTGGGAGTTGAACTTGATGGCTTCACCCCAGGCCTCCCTCGAGGATCACCTGGGTGTACTTGTTAAATGTACAGATACCTTTATTTTCAACACTTACTGTTAAATGATAATAGGAAAAGCAAAACACTTTTTTTAAAAGATTCATTATATTTGTTTATGCATACAAGAGCCGGGGTGTAGGCTTGAGATGTGAGGGCGGGCAGTGAGGATTCACCAGAGACAGAGCGGGGAACAGAACAGGCAGACTGACTGAAGTACACTGCTGAGGAGAGCAGCTGGCGAGACAGGAGAGGTCTGCTGCACCATGTCAGTCACCTCCCTGGCTGGGGATCGAACTCATGCTGCAGTGGCTGCTGATAGCTTCATAATGCTGAGACTTAAACCCTTGTGCCATCATGGAGGCCCCCACAAACAGTTTTTTAAAGATACAAGTGTGTGTTTAAAACAAAGATAGTTAAATAGTTAAATGCTTGCTTGGGCAGTTAATTATCTGGAAGAATACATAAGAAATTGGTAACAGTGGTAGTTTATGGCAAGGAGAACTTGATGCCAGGAGATAGGAGTGGAAGGGAGATTTTTTTTTTTAGATTTTTTTTATTATTTATTTTTATACAAGAGCTGGGGTACAGGCCAGAGGTGTGAGAGGGTGAGCGGATTCACCAGAGACAGAGTGGGGAACAGAACAGGCAGATTGACTGAAATACACTGCTGAGGGGAGCAGCGGGTGCGACAGGAGAGGTCTGCTGTGCCATGTGGGATTCTCACTGGCTGGCCAGGGTCGAACCCACACTGCAGAGGCTAAGGATAGCTGCACAGCGCGGTGCTTAACCCGCTGTGCCACTGGGGAGGCCCAGAGGGAGATTTTGATGTAAACTTTTTGTACCTTTTGAAGTGTGTACAATATATATTATCTATTCAAAATGAGCAAAGTTTTAAATGGATGGATTCTAAAACCCCATTACACAGGTACTAAATAAGAATCACCTGGAGGGCCTCCCCAGTTGCACAGCAGTTGAGCACTGGGTTGCGAAGCTGTCCGCGGCCTCTGCAGCGCCAGTTCAATCCCCGGCCACCGGGCAAGGGTCCCACATGGCGCACAGACCTCTCCTGCCGCCCGCTGCTCCCCTCAGCAGTGTATTTTGTCAGTCTGCCTGCCTGCTCTGTTCCCCGCTCTGGCTCTGGTGAATTTTTTCACCCTCTCGCGCTTCTGACTGTACCCGGTGCTTGTATAAATAAATAAATAAATCTTTGGAAAAAAAAAAGAATCACCTGGAGTTTTGATCCAAAAATTTGTATTTTTAATAAGCTCCACAACTCATTCTTATGTATCCAATGCATTATTGGCCAGAATGACCTAAATCATCAACTGTTAAAATGAGTAAGGCAAATGTGAAAGCAAAACTTACAAAGTCATTGTTTGGGGGAGGTGTTAATCACTGATGTATTACAACAGTGAAGTCCTAACTACACTTCTTGGAATGGAGCCACGTATTGGTTAGTTTGATCATACGTGAGATGTCACTTAGTTATTTCCTGACCCACAAATGAAAATCTTCCCCTGTACACACACTACTTTTTGTTCTGTTATCTAATAGTTACTGATTTGAGCTGAAAGGGGCCTTACAGATCATTACTTCATGATTCATTCAACAGATACTTATTTTCTACTATGTGCTACTCATGTGTTAAGCATAACCAAAGATGATACAATGAACCAAGATGGTCTCTGCCATCTTGAACAAGTGCTGGGCTTTGCAGGAAGCAAACTGGGTACTGAAGCAGAGAATGAGAGACCTACTTTAAATAAAGGCACAGGGGTGGTGATTTTTATTTATTTTTTTATTTTTTGTGGGACCTTCGCCAGCAGCCGGGGAACGAACCGGCGCTGCAGAGGCTGCAGGCAGCCTCGCAGCCCAGCGCTCAACCTCTGCGCCACCAGGGGAGGCCCAGGGGTGGTGATTTTTAAGCTGGGAATTTAAGGATGAGGGTTGAAGTTGTCCTAGGGAGGGTAGTGAGGAAGTTATGGGATCCAAGCAGAAGGAGGATCAAACTGCCATAGCCGCAAGACAAGAAAGAGCCTGGCCTGATTCTAGAACTTAAAGCCCTGGTGGAATTCTTTAGGTGAAGGAGAAAGTGAAATAGCTGGAGATGGGGTGCTGGGCTTGCCCCCAAGCCCCTTTTTATTTTTTTTTAAAGATTTACTTATGCATACAAGAGCTGGGCTACAGGCCAGAGATGTGCGGAGGTGAGAGGATTCACCAAAAACAGTGGGGAACAGAACAGGCAGACTGACTGAAACACACTGCTGAGGGGAGCAGCGGGCTAGGCAGGAGAGGTCTGCTGCGCCATGTGGGTAGCTCCCTGGCTGGCCAGAGATCGAACTCATTGCTTCATAGTGCTGTGCTTAACCCTTTGCGCCACCAGGGAGACCCCACAAACCCCTTTGTAAATGGCTGTGAAATCCTAAAAGATTTTTGCCAAAATGGGAACTTTACCAATTTGGCATTACTGATTGCTATGATATTTCTATACCTTGCCTATAAATCTAAGTCTTCTCTATTTCCTTCTCACATACTGCTTTTATGCCTATTGCAGAACTAATGAAGAACTGATATTTCCCAGTTCTTTGAGTAGCTGTATATATTGATTTCTCATTCCTAAGTATATTTGAACCTTCAAAAAATCAATGTTGCTTGAATTTTGCAATGATTTCTAGAAGCGCATTAATAGTTGGCATATTTTGAGAGCTTACTTTGCGTCAGGCCTTTTTTTTTTCGTGTTACTTCACCACAATTTTGTAAGATAGGACCTGTTATTACCTCCACATTTCAATTGAAAAACCTGAGGCACAGGGCCTTAAGAAACTGACCCCAGGTCTCACAGCTAGCAAGTGACAGATCTAGTCATACATATGTGTATCCCCTTATAAATGATATAAAATAGGTACCTCGTTCAAGTTTATAAAGACATCTTTGGTCAACTGAAGTTTGGATGAGAAAAAAGTCTGAGTTCATGGTCTTTGTGCCATTTGTGATCTGTAGATTCATCACCATAACTCTGGGCCTTCGTTTTCCCAAACTAAATTAGTGAGACCCACTAATTCATCAGTAACAACAGTTCTCATTATAAGACCCCATTTAGCTCTATACCGGTCATGCTTAGACAAGATAAAACCCAGTGTAATTATCTTCTCCCCTGAAACCGTGTAGATGCCACTGCCACTCCACGGTCGCAGTCTCCTAGAGTTGCTTCCCCGGAAGGTATTCCTGTCTCACTGTCCTTCACTCACCATGAGAAGGGTCCCTGAATTATCTCTAGTATTCTAACAGAGCACAGCCTGGCTGCACCTTTTTTTTTTTCCCCATAGTCACTATTTGCCTCAAATAATTAGCTATTATAATTGTCCTTCAGTTCCTCTTAATAATCTTGACCTCTTTCTATACTCTAAAGTGCGTAGAGATAAATGCAGATTTTTTTTCAGTTGTGGTTGATTGTCTTCCGCATCTCCACGTTTATGTGCATGCATGTATCCCAAGATCACATTTATTTTTCTTTCCAAGAGGATCTCAAAACTGTCCTCAGATTTCATGACGTGGGGATATAGAATATAATCTCTATATTTTTTGGCAGAATGCAATCTAATGATTAGCTGAGATCTGACCCTATGCTCAGTTCCTTGCTTAAGTCTGTAGTGCAAATATCAATGAAATAAAAGACATGAACTTTGTCTTCTGGGGGTTCCACTAAAAATAACGTATGTACACATGCAACATTAGACAACAGCATAGGAGACATTATGATTAGATGCCAAATGAGTGACTGGTGAAGCAATTATTTTAGGCCTTGCAAGAAAGGAGAGGCTACGGTGATGGTTATGTCCGAAGGACTTCAGCACAGTCCTGAGCATCTAAAGGGCAGGGGTTCTGTCTCACTCCCCTGTGTGTCCCCAGCGACCCCATCAAAGCAGGTGCTGCGTAAATATTGAGTCAAAGAATGATTAAAACTTGAACTCAAGCTTGAAGATTAAGTAGAATTGATTTGAATCTGAGGGGCTTTTTTTAATATTTTGCTGCCATCTGTTGTGCTTTGTTTTAAACTTGTATTGTTCATTGTGTGAACTGCTTTATATCTAATGAGTTTAGTAAGCATGCAATTTCTTTATGGCAAAACGAAAACTAATGTAGCTCACCAGGTCCTCTGTGATCCTGCTCACGCTCCACCTCACCTGTCTCCACACGGGAACACAGTGAGCAGGAGACTGTCTCAGCCAGGTCCCAGGGGAGATGCCTGGAGTGGCTGTTTTCTCCCAGGAGTTAACTAGGGGCTGAGGGGCTTCATTCACGTGCAGAGGCCCACTGGAGAAGGCCTGCAGTACACCACATCAGGACCAAACCGCGCAGCTCTTTTTCACCCCTAGGCCTTTCCAAGATTGTGCCCTCTGCCAGGGATATGTTCTCAGCCTGGCTACCTTCTGCTCCCCCCTGAGGTCTCACTTAAATTGTCATTTCCTCCTGAAAACTTTCACTGACCCCCACTCCCCAAATCAGACACGGGTCTTATTCCGTGCTGATGATATCCTGTTCTCCTTGAATAGCACTCACCATTTTATTTTAGAATTTTGTTCTCATCATTGTTCACACCCCCTCCCCTAACTGGGCTGGAGGATTTGTTGGGGGCAAGAACTCTTGTTCTCCTCTGTCCAGAGTCCAGCGCAGAGCTTGACAGTCAGCAGCCACGAGCTGCGTGAGTGGTGAGGCGGTACAGGCCTACCTCAGAGCATCGCTGTGGGCCCTACTAATCAAAACAAGCTGACTAAGAGGGCACTGTACTGAGGAGAGAAATCGCAAGTCGGTTATTTTTATGCTTGGAAAGAATCCTGTCCTGGCTCCAGAGACTCCTAGAGCTAGATTATTAAGCAGTTTTAAACCTACTTTGAGGATTAAAATATCCTCTAGGTTTTTAACCATGTCTTGCATTTGGTTTTGTGTAACCTTTCTCTACCCAAAGGAGGAGGAGGCCCCCACTGCCTGTGGGCATGTTTTATAACATTGACACCGGGGCCACTCTGTTATACAAATGTTTTCTTTTACCTTGCCCACCTAGATTCAAGATTCATCCAGGGCACCCAGAGAAGAGTAATCTGATTTTTTAAATTAACATTAACCCCTTCACATTGCTGGTAATCTGACGAATGACCAGACCAACCAAGAGCTTAAAACACTGCAGCCTGAAAACACTTTGGCACAGGGGTGTGGGGATGGGGAGCAAGAGTGACATTGGATTTATAGTGTTTGACTTAATGATGCCCGCACAGAGGACCCTGCCCTGGAACCTTTCCACCATCATCCACTTTGTGCTTATTAATAGACAAATATTTATTTGGCACCAGCTGTATACCAGGTGCTGATCTTGATCATGTCCTACAGCCAGCATGCATGTCTTATATGCACAAGTTATAACTATCTGTTATAACTGATGAGGCAGTAGATGGAATTTTTCCTTGGCTTTTTTTTTCTTTTTTTTTTTTTTTTTTTTTGTACTCTTAAAGTCTGTCTGATACGGGCCTCACTCCACATTCTTTGTGATTCATAATGGAAAACGGGGCTCACCCATGTCTTCCATTTGTTTTCCCGTGCATGCTTCATTGGCCTCCAAATCAATGCAAAGTATATGCCAGCAGGCTTGAAAATAGGTAGCCATCTGACCTTTTGGGCACCCTGCGGAACAACTAGTAGGAAATAATCTCCAATCTATTGTGTGCTAATATCCACTGAGCCTAATTCATGTCCCAAAATAGCCTTGTACCCTAATTCAGTTGCAAACTATTCCCACCTACCCCCCACCCCAGTGTAGCCCAAAACACTGACAAACTGCATTTGGTCCTACCTTCCATGCCTGTTGCCCTTCCCATGCCTGTCTGCAGCCTGGCCCTGGTATTCTTTCTCGAGAGTAAGTTGCCAAGCAGCTATGCTGGTGTTTCTACCTGAGCTCTGTGACAGGTGCCTCCTCAGATTGTGCTTTCTCTTTGCTCTGTGCTGAACAAACTGCGTGGTCATATGCCCATTTGTAAAATGACATTAGCAAATATTTGTGCTATAATCACTTAAAGATGTAGGAATAAGGGTAGACTATTAGCAATTTAAGAAGGGATGCAAGGGCCTCCCCTGGTAGCGCAGGCAGTTGAGCGCAGCGCTGTGAAGCTGTCCACAGCCTCTGCAGCACCAGTCCAGCCAGCGGGGGTCCCACATGGCGCTGCAGACCTCCTCCTGTCGAACCCGCTGCTCCCCTCAGCAGTGAATTTCGCCAGTCTGCCTGTTCTGTTCCCCGCTCTGTCTCTGCTGAATCCTCTCACCCTCCCACAAATCTGGCCTGTATCCCGGTTCTTGTATAAATAAATAAATAAATCTTTAAAAAAGAAGAAGAAGAAGAAGGGATGCAAACCCTGGCTCCAAGGATTTTGGCAGAGAGGGACAAGTAAACGAAAAAAATGATTAAATAAAAGGATCTCTCTTCTATAGTCCCTATCACAGCCTATGGATGGATGAGATCTATACAAAGAATATCCAGGAATTTGTATCTGCAACTTTCCATTTTCTTTTTTCTTCTTTTTTTTAAAATATATTTAAAGAGCAGGTTTGTTAGAAAAGGGATAGGTTGGTAAAAGACACTTGCATAAAAGACACTTGTAAAAGACACAAGCAGGCAGGAAGAGTTGTCCCGAAAGGGACAGGTTTGCTGAGAGAGGCCTGTATAGTTGCAGGTGGCAGCCTTGAGGAGGGCTGCCTCTGCTGAGGGAGGTGAGTGAAGGGAAGCCCTGGCAGGTTACTGTCAGGGCAGGCAGGAAGCTGCTGTACTGCAGAGGGAGGGAGCTGGTGAAAGGAAGCACCTGCAATAGTCACAGATGGGCAGAGGGAGTGCTGTTGCAGCTTGCCATTTTAGAAATGTTATTTTTTTAACAGAATAGGAAACTGGGGCCTCCCTGGTGGCGCAAGGGGTTAAGTCTAAGCACTATGAAACGACTATGAAACGATCCACAGTCACTGCAGCATGAGTTTGATCCCCAGCCAGATAGCTGACCCACATGGTGCAGCAGACCTCTCCTGTCTCCCCGCTGCTCCCCTCAGCAGAGTATTTCAGTCAGTCTGCCTGTTCTGTTCCCCGCTCTGTCTCTGGTGAATTCTCTCATCCCCCGCTCCTCTGGCCTATCAGTTCTTGTATGCATAAATAAATAAATCTTAAAAAAAAGAATAGGAAACTAAGTCATAAACAGCACTGTCCAGTGGGGATGGAAATGTTCTAGAACTGCACTGTCCCATCAGTAATCTCTATCCACATGTGGCTCTTGAATCCTGGAAACGTAGTCACTGCAACCGAGGAACAGAATGTGTGCATTTATTCTTGTTAAATAGCCACATGTGGCCCGTGGCTACTGTGTTGGACTTCCACACTGCTCTCTGATCTGGCCCTCATGGCCTCTGTTCTCCATCACATCTACTTTCCTCCTCGCCCAGCCACTCTAATCACACTGGCCTTGGTAATGTCCTTCCTGCATGGGGCATGTTCCACCTCCGTGAGGCTCCTCCCTTGTCACTTACAGACATCACCTTCTTAAAGAGCCGCACCCTGCCCAACTCCCAATTTTCCTTACCCTACTCTTATTTTTCTGTTTTGCTCATTATTGCTAACATGTTATGATTTATTGTGTTCATTACTATTATTTAGTGACTGTCCCCTCCCGCCCCCGTATATAAGTGCCACAAAGTAGTTTTTCTTGGGTCTCCTCTGTTTATTGATGTATGCCTAGTGGCAAGAATGGAGCCAAAATATAGTAGTCACTCAATAAACATTAGTTTACTGGTTGAACTGGCAGGATTCAGACCCCGCCTGTCCACACCAGAACCTGGGTTCTTATCCACGACACTAGGTTTCCTCCCAGAGGAGGAAACAGAACAAGAGAAAGAACCTCTGATCTGCCCCGTTTCACTGCATTATTCCCTGTCTTCAAGGACATAAACGACCACTTGCTGCCATTTAGACCAGGAGGGCACATCACCTCTTTAGAATGCAGCATCCATCTCCCTGTTTTGCACATAGTAAAGAGTTTTTCAGTTCTGCTGTCTTAACTGTGGTCTTCGTAGATGACACAAAGAAATGAAAAAGCAAAGTTGAATTGACCGCAACGTGGGGAAAAGGCACATTTGGGGTCCATCTATACCAGTTTGTGTTTGGCATTCTGACGAGGGGCGCTGATTGTTTTCTAGCTCACCACGACCTGTGTCACAGCCTACACATCTTATTGGAGAGGTTCAGCCCTAGGAAGTCCCCTAAGGAGCTGATATTGGGCTGTTCTGGCTTTGGGTGATGTTCTGAATTAACTCAGGCTGGGAGGCTATTTAGTATAGTCCCAAGTAGCTAAATCTCTTCTTTTTTCCACAGGGAAACAACTGGAAGGCATCTGGTAAGTTGGGTGGAACATCTTACACTGACTGGTTTATGCAACAAAGCAGTATCTGCATTCCAGGTTCGAGTCTGGGGCTTCCAGCTTGCAACATAGCTCTGTCATAAACCATCAAGTTCGTTATCAACTGTCCTTCTCCCATGGGGACATGTGGCAGTGCCTGGAGACATTTTCAGTGGGCGGTGGAGGCCAAGGATGCACCTGTAAACTTCCAGTAATGCACAGGACATCCTCCACAACCAACTATCATCCTGCCCTAGATAAGGCAAAATGATTCGTGCCCACCCCAACCAAGCCTTGCAACTACATTTCTGTCTTAAAACACATGTCCTTTGGCCTCCCAGTGCTGGCCCCAGCCCATCAGACTCCTGGATGGTGGTCGAGCTCTCAACTCTGTATATGAGGAAACTGCAGGTCGTTGCTCTGTCTGGACTCCTAGAGCCTGCTGCATTTGGGTTGACCAGAAAGACCCTTTAACTTTTTTTGATTCGAATCAGGAAGTACTATAAGCACCTTCACAATTAACAACATATGGTGTTCCCCTCAGTATGAACCAGGTTAACTGCTTCTCTCAACCCTGAGACGGCCTCATCGTTCACTGCTGTGCTGGTCCGCAGCATGTTACTATTAAAAGTCTGGGAACAGGGCCTCCCCTGGTGGCGCAGCAGTTGAGCACTGGGCTGCGAGGCTGCCCACAGCCTCTGCAGTGCCGGTTTGTTCCCCGGCTGCCGGCGAGGGTCCCCCAAAAAAAAAAAAAAAGTCTGGGAACACACCCTGGTCTGAGAGCTTGCTTTCGTAAACTATTTGTTAATATCAGGGTGAATTTAGCCACTCCCCCCTGCTCACATTCATCTGCTGCCGCGCTGCCACCGCGCTGGGAGACATTTGACCATGTCAGTTGCCACAACTGAGGTAGGGGGTTGCTGCTGGCATCCAGTGGTCAGAGGCCAGGGTACCGCCAGACATACTAGAATCTAGCCCAGGACGGCCCTACGACAAGAAACAGTCCAGTCCCAGATGTCAGGGGCGCTGAAGCTGACAGCCCCTAATCTCTGGCGTTTATCTCACTTGTGCCTTTGGTTAATTCTATAAGGCTGTGACCATGATCATGTCCTTGGGCAGAAATTACTCTCCCTGCAGTGTGGCCTTGTCTTTCTCCCAGACCAGTCTCAAGTGTCCTGTTTACCCTGTCTGCTCTGCATTTGCAGGCATACCTCCATAGTCGTGCACAAGGATGAGTTCTTCTTCGGCAGTGGCGGTATCTCTAGCTGCCCCCCGGTGAGTGTCTTCTCCCTCCCCTGTCCTGCACACCGGGTTCCCGGGGTTCCTGTCACAGTAGTGCCTACCGTGTCTGTTCTGGCTTCTGGCTCAGTGTCTGTAGGCCTCTGGCTGGTTCCTCACAACCATCTTCAGAACTGACTCAAGGAAACCCTTTGCACACACTCCAGCTAGTTACCCGACACTCTGTTCCCATAGCCCACAGGGGTCCCTTTGGGTCACATGTCACATGTTAACAGGGAAGTCTCCTTGTAGCTGAGACCATGTCTTACTCCTCTGTCCCCTTCACCAGTTCAGGGCCTGGCTCACGCTGGCCCCCACCTCCTGTAATAAGCCCTTCATTCAAGCCCCATCAATTCTACCTTGTAAATGTTTCTTAAACCAGTCTGTCTTCATCACCTTCCACTTCTCCTTAATCTAGGCCACCCTTGTGTTCCAGTAATGCATCTGCTCCTCTCAGCCAGTTCTCAGCATGGGTGGCAAAGTGATTTTTTCCAAAATGAAAATCTAGTCATAGCATTCACCTGCTTAAGCCAGAATTCTCCCGACTGCCCTGGGAGTAAAACCCAGAAAGTTCAGCCTGGCCTCCGAGGCCCTCTCTGACAGGGTGAGCCCTTCCCCTCCCTGGTCTTTCTCATTTCTTGAACACGTCTTGGGCATTTATACCCTGGTTTTTCACACGGGTATGCCTCTGCGGCCTTCAGATTTCTAGGCAAATTTTCCCAGAAAGGGAAAGTCCCCTGTCGTTTTCTGTAGCATTTACAGCTTGTTTTACACATTGTATTCCTTTATTGGAGTACAGTACTGGCTTTAATCTGCCTTCCCTGCTAGACGGATAAACTCCATGAGGGCAAGAATCTCATCTGCTTTGTCCACACAGTATACCCTCAGTGCCGAGCATAAAGCCCAGCGTATAGTCCGTTCTCAACACGCGTTTGTATGCGAGTGAATAATAGGTGGTCAAACAGTGACCTTTTAAGTCTCTTGCAATTCTGGGATAATCACTGACTTCCTTAATAATCCCGCTTGCCATGCTTTTCCCAGCACCTCAAACAGTGTCAGACACATAGCAGGTGCTCCACAGCTATCGTGTGAATTAGTTTCAGGGAGTTCTCCCTTTCCAGCACTTCTCAGAAACTGTCCTCCTCAGGGAGCCTGTTGCTTCTCCTTTTGCTGGTCTCTGCCCCCTCCCACCACCACCACCACCCTCCCCCCCAGGGACCATCTTTCCTCTGGTCAGATAAGTCACTCTCTGTATCCATGGCCGAGCGTTTTCAGCTTTCTGGGTGCCCTGTTGCCATCCTTGCATTAGCCTCGCCATCAAATGGAAAACTTAACTGTGGACATGTTTGCCAACCTGTCCCCCATCTCAGTCCACATTTTCCCATTGTTTTAAGGGCTCTTGAGTGTGTCACAGGGAAAACTGGCTGCAGACACTATGGAATAGGCATGGAGGGGACCTGTCACATGTGAGCCATCTCTAGTCATTCTGTCCTCCTGGCCAGGACGCTGGGGACAAGGGAGATGCTGGGGTTCTATCTTTTTATCAGCTGACGAACGGACTTCCGCTTGCAGAGCCCTGCCAGCAGCAAGACGTTCCCTCCTCAGCCCTGTTGCTTACATGTCACAGTGGAAAGTCACTGGGGAGCTCTAAGCCGTTGTCACCCTGCTACAGACGGGAAGTGACTCTCGTCATCCGCCCTGGGTGTGCTCAAGTCAAAAATGAAATTGCTGGAACTGAGTGTGGTTTTCATGGGAAGCCACTTTCAAAAGTCAGTGGGAACTGTGATTTAATGACTTTCTTTGGGTTGGCTCTTTTAGGGAGGGACATTGCTTGGGCCCCCAGACTCTGTGGTTGATGTGGGGAGCACAGAAGTCACAGAAGAAATCTTTCTGGAGTACCTGTCCTCCCTGGGGGAGTCTCTGTTCCGGTGAGTGGAGACAGGGGTGGTGGTTAGCTGTGTCTGTCTCCCCTGCTAAAGCTGGCCTCCAGAGGCAGCCGCTACGGCACACCCTTAAGAGCCCCCTGTCTAGGCCTGGCCCCACATCTGCCGATGGCCAACCCCCTGCCACAAACAGAGCATGGCGCTCCCACGCAGCCAACGCTCCAGCCCAGCGTCCGTCCTCCTGCAGGTTTAGAAGAAGGGAGAGGCTGTTAACGCCTGCTGGTTAAAACAGCTGCTGCCGTTTCTGCACACGCTGCTCTCGACCCAAACTTGCCGAGTGTTTGGTCCTGAAAATCAAACATAGAGTCGGTAGGGACGTTGGGATGAAACATCTGCACAGATGTTCTCTTCAAGAAGCTTTAGCTAGCTTGTGTTAATAGTCTCCTGAAACTCTAGCGAAGCCAGGGGTTTTTATTTCATCCTTCCCTTAAAAATCTGTTGCAATGGTTCCAAGTGGCACATCCACATCAAACGGTCCTTTTCCTGTGTGAGCAGGGAAACCTGTGCTCGCGTGCAGCTGTGCTCACGCTCCATCTCCTGGTTTGAGCTAGTTCACGGCGGCACCTCTGACTCACATCTGTTCTCCCATGTGCAGAGGGGAGGCCTACAACCTCTTTGAACACAACTGTAACACCTTCAGCAACGAAGTGGCGCAGTTCCTGACCGGGCGCAAGATCCCTTCTTACATCACTGACCTTCCCTCTGAAGTTCTCTCCACGTAAGCGGCCTCCCCACCCTGCCTGGCCACCCTCAATGTCCCCGTGCACTGGCAGCCACCCGCCATGATGCTCGCCTGTGTCCCCTTCCCGGCCCGGACCAGCTCCACCCGGTCTGAGGGCCACCGCAAAGCTTAGACGCCCACTTGAGCCTGGCTGCAGCATTCCCCCGGGATCTCCGTGTCTGAAGCTACTCTCCAGACGCGCCACCTCAAACCGAAAGCTTAGCAGACGGGCAGAGCGGCCGGGGAACGAGGGGTGGCTAGTTTTGTAACCGTTTGTTGGTCTTTTTCTCTGCCATGAGCTCTTTGATGCCCTCAGAGACAACTTCTGCTTGCTCTTGTGCCTTGTAGCCCTCAGCCAGCCCTCGGATTTTTCTTCAAGAACACTCTGGAGCCCATCCCATGCTGGTGTGCTCCAAGCCTTGCTGGGCCACCATCCAGGCCAGGTCCTCTGAAAGGACACGCACCCCCAAAGCCATCTTACCCCTCCCTCCCTCTGCTGTTGAGTGCCCTCACACTGCCTCCATCCCTTCCATGACCATGTTCATTTGTTGATTCTGACTCAGTTTCTCCTGAACAAGGCCCCTGCCCAACAGGGATCCTGGCAGGTTTAGCAGGCTCGGCAGGGTGAACTGTTGTTCACACCTGCATAGGAAACAGGTGTAGTGAACAGGACTGCATGTGGGGCGACCTGGTGGGTGAGGACAGCCGCGTCCCAGCTCACCCCACCTTCGCCTGCCTTGGGGTGTGTTCAACCCCCACAGCCTCGCTGAAGAATCTAGGTTATAGAGCATGGAGCAAACTAGGTAGCTAGAATGTTCCTGCTGTTCCTCTCTTGACAGGTGGAGTTCTGTGTTTGTCTGAATCAAGCTGATAGGTCTTGGTTCGATATACCTGATTCCCTTTGAGCTTGGGGGTCACCTTCAAAAATGGCAGTATCTGCCCGAGAAAAAGCAAGCTGGTGGCTGATGCGATGAGGGCCTCCTGGCTTGAGGGTGTGCTCCCTGGAATGTCTCTAAAACAACAGCTTTCGCATGATTTTTCCATTTGTGCTATTATGAGAGCAAACGGGGCTCTCTAGAAAGTGGCGCTGGCAGCGTCTGACCCCTGCAGTTGCCATTTTTCCTGAGTCCTCCCTGACTCCCTAGGAGACCTCAGACCCCAGGGCCTCCCCTGGTGGCGCAGCTGTTGAGCGCTGGGCTGCGAGGCTGCCCGTAGCCTCTGCAGCGCCGGTTCATTCCCGGCCGCGGCGAGGGTCCCACAAAAAAAAAAAAACAAAACCTCAGACCCCAGAGAAAACCTGTTGTCTACCATCCTCATTCCTGGCTTATCTTTTGCATATCCTTTTCCTTTTGCCTCAGCTTCCTCACTTAGACTTTGTCCTTATCTGCTCCCATGAGAAAGAAGCAGTACAGAAAGAAGGGTGAGCTTTAGTTCCCTGGGTGCCGCCAGCCTGCTCAGGCCCCAGCTAACCAGGATTGAGACTAGTAAGGGAGTAAGGGGGTAGCGTCACCGAGGAGGGGACCCCAGGGGGACACATGCAGAGCAGGCGAGTAAGAAGGCGAATCCCTCTCTGAAAAACGATGTGTGAGGCGGGTGAGAAAGTGGAATGAGGTCCCGGTGGGGGCTGACGCGCGGCCCCTGGGGGCCGGCCTGTGGTTTCCACCGAGGGCCCACCCAGCCCACCTCAGCTCCGGCCTCTGCTCTCTCCACAGGCCCTTCGGACAGGCCCTGCGGCCCCTCATAGACAACATCCCGATCCAGCCCCCCGGGGGGAGCACCGTGGGCCGACCCAACGGCCAGAGCTAACAGGACTGCCTGGACCGCCCTGCCTCCCCAGGGCTTTTCCTTTTTAAACAAAACAAACCCTACCAGATTTCTATTTTATAATTTTACATCAGAGCTAACAACCAGGGGACGGCTTTTTAAAATTCCCAGGGAAGGAGATCATCAGGCTGCATGTAGGTCAATGCTGCTAAGAACCAGAACGGAATGCCATCCCCTCTAATGGTATTATACTAATTTATTAAGGCTGTCTTGTCTGTGAGTTCACTTTTGACGCTGCTTCCTGAGCGTCCTCACTGGAGAGAGGGAGGGGGCTTGCTCAAGCAGAAAAGCAAGAGGCACGATTTGGGGGCGCCCCAGCCTAGACCCTCTTTCCAGACAACACCCACGTTCCACCCAGGTTGCCACTCGCTGTGGGACCCTAGTGAGTTTTACAACATCCATGACCCAGAAGCAGACGCTCGCTAGCGTTGAACGAACCAAAGGATTCGGTGCACGTGGAACCAGTTTCGGGATGACTGACCCAACCTAAGCAAGCTCTTTAGCTACAGACCTCTCTCCTCTCCCTCCCCACCCCAGCAGAGCCATGGGGCCAGGGCTGCAGTGACCAGAGCCTCAGGACCAAGGGAGAGGGACGGCACGTGTCAGGCCAGAGCAAACAGGATAAAGCCATTCCTCCCTCCACCTAGACTGGCCGCCACAAGCCTCTGACGTCAGCTTTGGACCTACTTGGGGCTTGCAGGCTGCTCTTCCGCAGCACAGCCAACCCATCCGGGTAATGAAGGCTCGAACTGGAGATTCAGAGCCCCGGGCCGCGTCCGCGAACAGTATCGTAGGTTCTCTGTGGTCACTAAACCCACCCACCCACCCGATCCGTGTGCAGTATCCCGCTGGGGACCAAGGGGAAGGATCCCCTGCTGGGGAGCAGCCCTGGTGAAGAAAGAGTAATGATGCAGAATTCAAGGCGGCAAGGGAATTTCAAGTGGCTTCAGATAGGGATTTCACTGTCCTTCCAGGCCTCGCTTCCAGTGTCATCCTGACTTTCAGGAGGCAGCTTGGGGCGCGAGTGGGCATTTGCCCAGTGAGTGCTGCTCGGAGCTGATAGGAAGAGAACAATCTGAAAGTTCTTATCTGGAGAGATTTTCAGCTTCCCTTGCTTCCCACAGCCTCCCCAAGTTAGTATCCTGGGGACGCAAGTGTGGAGAAGGGACTCCGCTGCCAGGGACTGCGTCCCAGCTCCGGCATCCGAGGCTCAGATTTGAATTACGTTCCCTTCACGGGGTATGGCCCGCAGCAGGTGCCTTTCCTCCAAAAACTGCTGCTCCTCTCCTAGCTCCGCTATTACCCAGGGCAGTGGGCGCCACAGGGTCTGTGCTGGCAGGAAGGACGTCATTCCGCCTCAGTGTTTGCTGCTTTGACCTGGCGGAACTGGGCCCGCGGAGGTTTCTCCGGGAGAAACCTTGGTCTCGGCCACCGCTCTGCTTCCCACGGGGTTTCTGTCCCTTTCCAGCTTGCCTTGGCCAGCGCGCGTGCCTTCAGGCTCCTGCTCCAGGCCTCTGGCCCCAAGAACTCCACTCTACCCGGGGGTGCTGGGCCTCGTGCTCCTCTCCCCTTCCCCTCCCCAGACCCTCTCCAGAGGTTTCACTCCTCCCAGCGTCACCTCCAGACCAGGGCTGTCCTACCAAAGTAGCCCCCGGGGCTCCCCTAGAGAATCTGAGTCACCTGGCTCACTGAAAGGCCCATCAACCATTTGTGCCAATGTCTGTGCCCAGGATTGAGAGGTGAGGGCAGTAAGCAGTCTTCTTGGAGCTCCTCCACCCAACCCGAGTCACTCACTTGGGACATCTGGGCTCAGGCTAGGACCGGCAGCCAACACATTTCTCTGCCCCAGAACCTCGAGCACACCCATGGTGACCAGCCGGCCCCACATGGGCACGCACAGGCCAGGGGGGTGGGAGGTGAGCCGCAGGGGCCATAGTACCACACGGTGGGCACCACCACGGAGGTTTAAAGGGACGGGAAGGAGGGAATAAAACTCGCCCCCTCCCAGGAATAAAGCTTGTACCTCTGACATTCCTTTCTGCCCTTGTAGTCAAACTACTAGCTGTGTCTGGTGTGGAGGTGTTTGCTGGTTTTCTTTTTTTTTTCTAATGCAATAAACTCATTTCTGCCTGCTTTTTGTGTGTGGGGTCGAAGGTCTGGGTGCGTGCCCACCGTGAAGCAACCCGGGCTCCCGTTCCACCCTCTGAGCTCACTTTGCTGAGTAAGCAGGTGCCTTTGCTTGGTGGGAAGCCTTAGTGGATCAGAAACAACTGACAGGGAAGACAGGTTTACAAAGTGGCACAGGGCCCGGAGAGGACATTATTTGCCCAAGGCCACCTTAATGCTGGCGTTGGGGTAAAACTCAAAAGCCTGGTCTGCTGGCCCTGCTTGGAAGATCTTCCCCGGGGGACCTGGGCCACTACAGGCCGTCGGCCTTGCCAACAAGTTTTCCGAGTGCCTGGGTCTGCCCACCTTGCAGCCTGACTCGCTGAGCGTGCGGCTGGGTAGGTGGACAGTGCTTGGCCCAGAAGCTTGGCCGCAAGTATCCGTGGGTACAGTCAGCCAGCAGTTGAGGGAGCGCCTTCCGTGGCCTGGCCTGGGTGGGGTGTTTTCACACAAAACAGACTTGAGATGGGGATACTGGTCCATTGGATGAGGAAACAGCAGAAAAACCAGCTGAGGGGCAGCAGTTGGCCGAACCCTGAAGTTCCATCATCCTAAGAAGCCACGGTTGACATTTTGTGACTTGCAATACATTTCTGGACTTGCAGCCACACGATACACATGCCTGTGGCCCTGCTTCTTTTCTCAATAGGTAGTGAAGATCGGTTTGGCCCCAGCAAGGTGGAAGCAGAGTCGTGGGGAGGGGTGGAGATGGGGTGCTGGTGTGGATAGAGGAAGCTATAAACATTCCAGCAAGGCTGAGTGCCATTAGGTAGAAGTCAGCTGCTCACCACGGGGTGGGTGTGAGGGCAGGGGGGGCGGGGGGGGGTACCTGCCTGCAGTGGGAAGGGGCAGAGAGAGATGGGGTGTCGGGACGCGTGCCCAGGTGGGATGGAAGGTTTGGACCATGAGGCCTCACACTCTGAGGGGCTCTGGACTAAGGGCAGATCACTGAATGTGAGCCCTTGACCTTGGAGCCTGGCTGCCTTGGAAGGGGCCAGAGACTAGTGCTGGGACTGAGCCGAAGCCCTGGCCAGATCTCTGTCCCACCTTTCCCAGCTGGGGAGCGCCGCAAGGCCATGCTGCAGTGAGAGCGATGGACACCAGGTGGCGCTGTGGGCTCGCACCCAGCCAGCACCAAACTCCACTCGTCTCTGCCACCCCAAGTTACATGAGCATGCCCTGCTCCCCACACACCTCAACCCCTCTGAGGTTCCCTAAGAACCCACGGGCAGCAACCAAGGGCCTTGTCAAGCTTGTCTGCAGATTTCTCCAACCCCCATATCCTGATGCAAGTGCAGAACCCCATTGTATGCACTTGCACAGCTCCCACCCGTGTTCACCTTTTGCGGAACCCGGACACCCCTTCCTCATCTCTCTTCATCTGTCCTGAGCCCCTGCTCAGGCTCTGCATCCACCTTCCAGCCATGAAGCCTCTCCCGGCACATTCTCCAAGGGCAGGCCTGTCTGAGGGCCCAGCACCCAGCACGGCCTGGCACAGGACAGCATCATCCAGGGGGTTGAGGCCCCAGCTCAGTCCTGGTTGGGTGGACATTGAGGGGGAGGGGTGCTTCATTTAAATCCCCGGACCTGGATTCAGACCAGCCTGGATGCAGCCTCTGCCCCAGAGACCTGGATGAGGCCATCTCCTCTCTGGGCCTCGGTTTCTTCATGTTATAACGACAACAATGAACCAGAAAATCTCTACCCCACCCAGAGAAGTGAGGGGTGACTTGTCCAAGTTCTAAGTCCTCAAAACTGAGCCCCAATCTGCAGCGATCACCAATCTATGTCAAGGGTTGCTTCCCTGCATTTCACCCCCCCTCCCCAGGTGGGACAACACTGGGGCCTGGTCATTGCTGTCCCCACTGGCTTTGGCTGAGCAAGCCCCAAAGGGACTTGAGCCAACCCAGCAACAGCCTCCGCCCCCCTCACAAACACCAGCCCTGAGCATGCGCCCTTCAGCTTATTTCAATCCAATGGATCCCGTCCATTGTAAACACAATGTGTGCATTGCAGGCACCTTGACAAACGGAGGGAAGACAGGCAACATCCAGCTCTCCCCAGCCTCCCACTGCCCGATCAAGATGGAATCAGAACAGCAACCAGCTCTGGCCTGTTCTTCGCAGAGCCTCTCAGGCACCTCTCCTAGACCCTCACCTTCCCGACAGCCCCGTGGAGTTGGCAGTGGTGGCCCCATTTACACATGAGGAACAGGCTCAAGATTGGGAGGGACCAGCCCAGGATCAGCAGGCTGGGGAGGGGCAGCCCAGACCGGTCAGCCTGACACTACACCCACAGCTCCACGCAGCCCCTACGGTGGCACTGCCCCCTCAGGAGGCCACACCCTGGCAGGGAAAAAGAGGGTCCACAAGCCCCTAATCACTCAGCAACTTGTTGACACTTGGCCTTCAAGCAACAGCAAGGGAACAGGGAAAAGTGGGGGCGTCCCATGAAGCCTGACTGTACTGTGCGACCCTGGCAAAGCCACCTGACCTCTCTGGTGTCAGTACCTATCTCTGGAAGTTGAGATTAAGGGTACTCACCTCAGCGAGTTCTCAGGAAAAGTAAGCAAAGTGTCCAGGGCAGGAGCTACACTTTCCTGACCAACATGGACGACACTCACCTCCAGGCCTCAATCAGCTGATCCAGAAGAGCCCGGTGTTCCTTCCACAGCAGGAGCCTGCGAAGCCCGGGCTCAGGGGTGCTGCCTTCAGGCCTGGCTCCCTTGGTGCTTGAAAACACCCTCTGGCCAGTCCTCCCGGTCCCAGTTTCCCCAATCCTGCTCCTTGCCCTCCTCAGAGGCTCCCCAGGGCCCCATCTGGGCACCGTTGCCAGGGATGAGCCTCCCTCTTAAAGGGACATACAGGCGGCCACACACTGAGGTCTGTGCCTTGGCAATCCACCACCCCCTGGGGTTCTGTGAGCGGCCTCATCAGTGAAATGGGTTGTGGTGAGAATCCAGAGGCTGAAACAGCTCCCTGAAGGCCTGCAGCACTGGTGTGCAGCGCTTGGGAGCTTATCTCTGTTTGTCTTTGGAAAAGTGGACCCAGTGCAGAGAGAAAAACCTGTTCTGCCCCATGAACCCAGTCCTGCAGCTTCCCTAGCCGAGTGCCAGGGGCGGGCCTGGGTGCTGCATTTAATCACTTCCCAGGAATTCTTAAGCAAGGGTAAGGTCTCAGCTGTGAGGTGTTAGAGAGCAAGCTCCACAGCTGCAGCTCCACCCACAGGAGCCAGAACAGCTGAGTCCTGCAGGGTGTGGCCCCCCAGTGCCTGCTGTGAGCTCAGACCTGGATGAGGCACCAGGCATTGCCTACCATAGAAATGATTGTTTGCTGTCTGCATCCAACAGAAAACAAAAACTTCTTGAGGGTAGGGCCCCTGTTTTGCTCCCCACAGTGTTCCCTGGAGCCAGCAAGGTGACTGGCAAACAGCTGTTTAATGAAGGAACCAAACTCTGCCACATGCTCTGGAAGGAGGATTTTCCCTTTTGCTTCAGGCTCCAATATGGCTCCTCAGCAGGATGCAATTATCGATCCTGTCAATTTTTTTTGCATTTATTTTGATTTTTTTAAAGATTATTTATTTATTTTTATACAAGAACCGGAGTACAAGCCAGATGCACGGGAGGGTGAGAGGATTCACCAGAGCCAGAGCGGGGAGCAGAGCAGGCAGAAGGACCGAAGTACACTGCTGAGGGGAGCAGCGGGCGGCAGGAGAGGTCTGCGCGCCATGTGCGACCCTCGCCAGCCGGCCGGGATTGAATCTGCACTGCAGAGGCTGTGGACAGCTTCACAGTGCGGTGCTCAACCACCTGCGCCACCAGGGGAGGCCCTGTACCCCAATTCTTGTATAAAAATAAATAAATCTTTAAAAAAAATATATTCCACTAAAACAATATCTTGATTACTGAGCTTTTAAATTTTTTTAAAAGATTTATTTTTTATTTATACAAGAGCTGGGGTACAGACGAGAGTCATGGGAGGGTGAGAGGATTCACCAGAGCCAGAGCGGGGAGCAGAACAGGCAGATGGACCGAAATACACTGCTGAGGGGAGCAGCGGGCGGCAGGAGAGGTCTGCCTCACCACGTGGGATTCTCCCCGGCAGGCCAGGAATCAAACTGGCGCTGCGGGGGCTGCGGAAAGCTTCACAGCGCTGCACTCAACACACTGCGCCACCGGGGAGGCCCTGAGCTTTTAAATTTTGTGCCTGTGGCTCCTCACCCTCTTCACACTGGTCCCAGCCCTGCCGCCTGCCAGGGGCTCCCTTGGGCACGTCTCTCTCCCCTCTCGTCACCAAGTGATGACAAATAACACTTCCAAGAGTGTGAGAGGGAAGGATTTGTGGTCAAGTGTCCAACACAGTGGCTGGTGCACAGGAAGGAATCTCACTTTTGTTTGTTTGTTTGTTTGTTTATTTATTCATACAAGCACTGGGTACAGTCAGAAGCGCGGGAGGGTGAGAGAATTCACCAGAGCCAGAGCGGGGAGCAGGGCAGGCAGAAGGACCGAAGTACACTGCTGAGGGGAGCAGCGGGCGGCAGGAGAGGTCTGCGCGCCATGTGGGACCCTCCTCCGGTGGCCGGGGAGCAGCCGGGGATCGAACCGGCGCTGCAGAGGCCGCGGGCAGCTTCGCAACCCAGCGCTCAACCGCTGCGCCACCGGGGAGGCCCAGGAAGGAATCTCACTTTTGACAGTCCTGTCAGGTGGGGATTACATCCCCATTATATAGACAAAGACACTGAGGCCCAGTCAGGGAAGGAGGCCTGACCCAATCCTTGAGTCACCAGGATCAAATGTGGTTCCTCCTGATCCCAACATGGTGACCTTCCCAGGGCACTGCAGCCACCAAGACAGAAAAACAAAGAGGCCTATAAAAGCCCACACAGGCGCCACTCGCGGCGTGTGCACGGGTGTGTCTGTGCGACCCAGACCTCCACAGCTGACCATAGGCAGCAGGGCGAGGATGATGGGTGCTGCAAAAAATGCCCTCCAGGGGCCTCTCCGGTGGCGCAGGGGGTTGAGCACAGCACTGTAAAGCTATCTGAAGCCTCTAGAGCACGAGTTTCATCCCCGGGCAGCCAAGGAACTACACATGTGGCACAGCAGACCTCTCCTGTCTTCCTGCTGCAACCCCCAGCAGTGTATTTCAGTCTGCCTGTTCTGTTCCCCACTCTGTCTCTGGTGGATCCTCTCACCCCCTGCATCTCTGGCCTTTACCCCGGTTCTTTATGTATAAATAAATATTTTTAAAAATGCCCCCCAGGACAACCCCAGGCAGAGGGCCGTCTGGAGACTCCTGGAGAAGAGGAAGGTCAACTTATTCCCAAGGGGGAAACTTAAATTCACCCCATCGACAACCAGACAGCCTGCTACTGTCCCATCACAAAAATGGGATCTCGTTTTTCCATGTTTTTTTTTTTTTTTTTAAAGATTTATTTATTTATTTATTTATACAAGAACCAGGGTACAGGCCAGAGGCGTGGGAGGATGAGAGGATTCACCAGAGACAGAGCAGGGAACAGAACAGGCAGACTGATGAAATACACTGCTGAGGGGAGCAGTGGGGAGACAGGAGAGGTCTGCAGCGCCATGCGGGCCGGCTGGGATGGAACTGGCGCTGCAGAGGCTGCGGATAGCTTCACAGCGTGGAGCTCAACCGCCTGCGCCACCAGGGGAGGCACTTCCATGTTTTTTTTTAAAGATTTATTTATGCATGCAAGAGCTGGGGTGCAGGCCAGAGGTGCGGGGGTGGAGGTGTTGTGGTGGGTGTGAGAGAGGATTGCCAAGAGACAGAGTCAGGAGCAGAACAGGCAGACTGACTGAAATACACTGCTGAGGGGAGCAGCGGGGAGACAGGAGAGGTCTGCTGTGCCATGTGGGTAGCTCCTTGGCCTGGGATCCAACTCCTGCCACAGTGGCTGCTGACAGCTTCACAGTGTGGAGACTTAACCCCTTGCGCCACCAGGGAGGCCCCGCTTTTCCATGTTAACTAGATTTTTTTTTTAAGATTTATTTATTTATTTATACAAGCACTGGGTACAGTCAGAAGCGCGGGAGGGTGAGAGAATTCACCAGAGCCAGAGCGGGGAGCAGAGCAGGCAGAAGGACCGAAGGACACTGCTGAGGGGAGCAGCGGGCGGCAGGAGGGGTCTGCGCGCCATGTGGGACCCTCCTCCGGGGGCCGGGGAGCAGCCGGGGATCGAACCGGCGCTGCAGAGGCTGCGGCCAGCTTCGCAACCCGGCGCTCAACCGCTGCGCCACCGGGGAGGCCCCATGTTAACTAGCTTTTGATGGCTGCGGGCACTGCACCTTATGATGGACCACAGTGAATCCAAACAAGCCCGACCCCTCTTTCCTATTTTCTACACGTTGACCTGTTGGCCCCCAGGGTCACACATGCCGCCCGTGCCCGTTCAGCCGGTTCTCCCCTGGGTGGGCCATGCAGGCTCGTTCACGTGTCTTTCCCGAGCAGAGCAGCCCGGCCGCGCAGGGGCCTTTCCGCCTCACAGCGGCAGACGCCGGGCCGCTGGGGTGACGCGTCCACGCGGCGCGCCGGGAGGACGGCCTGGACCCGACTCCACAGTCACCCGCCGGCGAAACAGTCGCAAAGGGGACGCCGGAGGGCTTCCCGGAGGAGGCGGACAGACAGGCAGCAGCAGGAGCCGGCGTCGGGGAAGGTCATCTGCAGAGGTCGGAGGCTGAGCAAGGGCCGTCTCGAGATTTCTTAACCCTCCAGGCTTGTAGGGCAGAGGCTTGCAGGGCGAGACCGAGGGCGGACGAGGCGCACTGCGGGCAGGAGGCCCCGGCCCGGCCCCGCGCGGCCGCCAGCCGCGGGCAGGAGCCCACGCCGGCCCCGCCCCTGACCCGCCCCTCCACGGCCCCGCCCCTCCCTCAGGCTCCATCCCTCGCCACCTGCTCCCCCCCCCCCCCCCCCGGCCTAGGCCCCGGCCCCGCCCCTCCCTCCGGCTCATCCCTCGCCGCCCGCTCCCCAGGCCCAGGCCCCGCCCCCGTAGGGTTTGGAACGACCCCGGCCGCCACCAAGCCCCGCCCCCGCCGGCGGCTTTGCGCTCCGTCCTTCCGCGTCGCTTCAGGCCCCGCCCCACCCCTCCCGGCCCCCTGCGGAACGCGGCCCCGCCCCCGCCCCCCCTCCCCCGCCCGGCGCCCCGGCGGGCTGGCCCCGCCCCCGCCCCGCCCCGCCGGCCTCCTCGGGCGCGGCTCGGCGGCGCTGCGCCCGGGAGCTGCCGCCATGGCGGTCACCGCGGAGGGCCCCCGCCGGAGGGAGCGCGTCCTCTGCCTGTTTGACGTGGATGGGACCCTCACGCCGGCCCGCCAGGTAGGGCCCCGGCGCCAGCGCGGGCCCGCGCGCCGACCCCGGCCCGGCCGCGCGCGGACGCCGGTTCCCGCCCCCGACGCCCCGAGACCGCCCGCCGCGGGGGGCGACGCCCCGGGCCCCGCGTCACCGGCCCCGGCCGTCGCGCCCACGCTCTGCCCCGGGCGGCGGCGCTGGGGGGACTCTGGAAAGTGGGGGCCAGGGCAGGGCAGGGCCGGCGCCCCGTCACCCCGCCCGGGCTGCAGGCCTGGGTCCGAGCCTGGCGTCCCCACCCGCGCCCCGCTTGTCTCCCGGCCCGGGAGGGCTGTGGCTGGTCCCGGAGGGCCTCGTGGCGCGGGGAGGGCCGGAGAACAGTTTTCCTTCCAGAGGCACCTGGCCCGCGTGGCCCTCCACCCTCTGCTGCTCACCCAAGTTTTCTCCCTTCGGGTCTCACCCCGGATGAGCCCCTCACCCACTCTGGAGTGTGGACCTGCTGGATATGTGGAGAAGTAGGCCTTTTCTTGCCCACCCTCCAGTCCGGGGTGCAAGGACCCGCTGCGGGGTCTCCTAGAGCAGGGAGCCGGTAGCGATGGGGTAAGAAGGCAGAGGCTCTGGGAAACCGGGTCTTAGCTTCCCCTCTCAGCTCCTCACCCCTTATGGGAGGACCTAGCTGGCACCCTGGGAGGAATCAGGCCACCTTGCTTTCCAGCAGCTTCCAGAGTCCCCTGGGGTGGGAGGAGATAACCAGAGGGGTTATCTCCACTGACTTAACAGCCTGGACCAGGACAGGGTATCCATGGTGCCCACCCACCAGACCCTGTCCTTAGTGTTTTTTTTTTTTTTAAATATTTATTTTTAATGACATCTTTCTTTTTTTATTTTTATTTTTATTTATACAAGCACTGGGTACAGTCAGAAGCGCAGGAGGGTGAGAGAATTCGCCAGAGCGGGGAGCAGAGCAGGCAGAAGGACGGAAGTACACTGCTGAGGGGAGCAGCCGTGGCAGGAGAGGTCTGCACGCATGTGGGACCCTCGCCTGGTGGCAGGGGATCGAACCGGCACTGCAGAGGCTGCGGGCAGCTTTGCAGGCCCAGCGCTCAACCACTGTGCCACCGGAGAGGCCCCTTAGTGCTTTTTATTTTAAGATTTATCTATGCATACAAGAACTGGGGTTCAGGCCAGAGGCGTGGGGGGGTGAGAGGATTCACCAGAGTGGGGGAACAGAACAGGCAGATCAACTGAAATACACTGCTGAGGGGAGCAGTGGGCAAGTCAGGAGAGGTCTGCTGTGCCATGTGGGCCGCTCCCTGCCTGGCCAGGGATCGAACTCATGCTGCAGTGGCTGCAGATTGCTTCATAGGTTGCATCTTAACTCCTTGCGCCACCAGGGAGGCCCCTTAGTGGTTTTTAAACTATACTGTATATTCCTGAACATATTCTCCTTGGAAGGAATGAAAACAGAGAAGACTAAAGCCCTATCCAACCATGTCAGGATCCCAGGCCTAGTCCCCACCCCAAAGCCTTCCTTCCATACCCGGGTCTCTGTTAGCCCAGAGGAAATAGCATCTGTAAGCCTTTTTTTAAATAAGCGGGATCATGCTTCGTGGGTCTTCCTGCCACTTGTTTGACGATGGGCGCTCTGGCAGCGCTCTCTGGCGTCGGAGCACAGGCCAGCCTGTTCCGTGTGACCACAGCGCGGTGACTCGGAGCACATAGTGCCATTGTCCGACTGACAAGCACGTACATTGTTTTTCACTGTTTTGAACCTTACCCCAGTGGACCTGCAGCCACACCTGGGCAAGAGAGGTGGACATTCTGGGTGGCAGGGCACATGCCTTGTTTGAACAGACCTTGCCAGTCGCCCTCCTCAGTGGCTGGCCCAGGGTACTCCGGGCACTTGAGGGAGCTTGTTTCCCTACATCATTGTCCACACTGGGCGTGACCATGTTTGGAAACATGGATTATAACTCCTTCCTCTCTGTGTCCCTGGTGGGGCATGTCCCCAGTTATTGTGGTTCATTTCCAAGCACAGCGGGGGCACACTCTCATGGAATCTTAACAGTGATCCCCACTTTCAAGACGGGACAGCTAAGGCAGAGCCATTTGCTCGAGGTCTTTCTGCGCTTGGAGCCCAAGTGCGTCTCCTTTTGAGGTCTGGGGTCCAACCTTTGAGCTGCCTCAGATCCAGGTGGGCTCCGCACGCGGAGAGGGCTGAGTGGAGGTCCCAGACATGAGGACGACTAGAGCCCTCTGCTTTCCTGCCCTCCCTGCAGAAAATTGACCCTGAGGTGGCTGCCTTCCTGCAGAGGCTGCGAAGCAGGGTACAGATCGGTGTGGTGGGCGGCTCCGACTACTCTAAGATTGCTGAGCAGCTGGGCGAGGGGGATGAAGGTAGGAGGCCGGCCCCGGCCAGGTCCAGGTGGGGGTGGAGCGAAGGGGGAGTTCCAGAGACCCCCAGACCATCATGCGTCCAAAGACCCGGCCCTCTTTCTAGGGGGCAAAGGAAGAACAGGGAGGAGCCAGATGTCCCCCTCGCGGATCCAACACACTTTTTGGGAGCACCGGCAGTGTGCCAGGCTTTGAGGCAGCAGCAGAAAACAAAGCGGGCAGAGTCCCGCCCTGCGGAGCTCACAGGCTCAGCCCTCCCTGCGGGGTCTTGGTTTCATCTTTAAGATGAGCACAGTCAGGACTGGCTGCCGTGGCTGAAGTGACCACACACTAGCTTCCTGTCACTGGCTCCTCGTCACCACGCTTTAGGGTGGGCTGATTAGTAGCCCAGGTGAGACTCCGAAGTCACCTGGCAAGGTGTTTGGACTCTGAGTCCCCGGTCTCAGCCCAGCGGACGCAAATGCCTCCCGGTCTTCAAACCAGAAATGCCCTCGACTTTTTCCTTCCCCCACCACTCCACCCCGTCCCGGGGTCACCTCCTGCTCGGCCCTGCCCGCCGCAGCCTCCTGTTTTCTCCCCGAGCGCCGCCCCCCCCCCACCCCTACTCAGCCAGAATCTATCCCATCCGCACCCTCCCGGAGGGCTGGAGGCCTGGGGCCCGGGCCGCGGGAACTGCAGGGGGATGGCGCCCTCTGCTGGCGGGCCCTGGAAGGTTCCGCAGGAGGGAGCCGCGGCAAGCTAGGAACAGGGCCTCGCGGGTGGAAGGGCCTGCGTGGTCAGAGGCCGGGTGGGACTGGCTTGTTGGGGAAAGCCGGCTCAGGGTGGGACAGCGGGCTTTGAACGCCAGGCCCAGGAGCGTGGGCTGCTCTCTGGGCGTGCCCGTGCCTGGTCTCACCTCTTGCCTCCTCCCTGACCGCCCGTGGCCCTGAAGTCGTGGAGAAGTTTGATTATGTGTTTGCCGAGAACGGGACGGTGCAGTATAAGCACGGACGACTGCTCTCCAAGCAGGTCAGTGCCCCCGGGGCCTTCTCCAGGGATACCCCGCTTTTCCACCGAGGGACAGGCCAAGGTGCCCCCTGCCCTGGATGGGGGAGGGACACCGGCCCCATCCCACTCAGAGCCCTGTGCCTCGCCAGACCATCCAGAGCCACCTCGGCGAGGAGCTGCTGCAGGACTTGATCAACTTCTGCCTCCACTACATGGCCCTGCTCAGACTGCCCAAGAAGCGGTGAGACCCTGGGAGTGGGAGGAGCGGCTGGAGGACCCCCCCCCCCCCCGCCCCCGGGCCTGCAGGAAGAAAAGGGTGGGCCCCTCAGAAGGCCAGGGAGACGGTGGGGGCCTGACGCAGTGGTGGGGGAGTTCTTACCCCATGGGAACGCCAAAGTGGGACTGCATGTGAATTCAGGGCCACCCTGTCCCCTCGCGCGCCCCCTCCCTCCCCAGCGGGACCTTCATCGAGTTCCGGAACGGCATGCTGAACATCTCGCCCATCGGCCGCAGCTGCACCCTGGAGGAGCGAATCGAGTTCTCCGAGCTGGACAAGGTGCCCGACGGCGACCTCAGGCTGTAGCGCCTCGGTCATTCGGCCTCTCTCAGTCTTTGTTTCTGGTCTGGGAGGTGGCTGGGGGGCGGTTCTGGTTCGGCCCGCACCCCTCTGTACACCTGGCGTGAGCTGTGGGCACATCCCACTGCTGCGCCCCTCCCTTGGAGATGGGCCCCACCCCCCACCTGCTCAGGTAACCCAGCGCCGAGGGCGTCCTTCCCCCTCCCGCCCTCACAGCTTCGGCCAAGAGTGGGCCTCAAGGCCACTCACCCGTGTCTCCGCCCCGCACCCGCCGGCCTGTTCTCTGGCGGCGCCATGGATACCCTTTGAAAGCACCGCTGCCCTGCCCACTTCCCGCCTACAGCCCCTCTGGGGCTCCCTTGCTCAGGGGGACGAGGCCCCAGCCCCTCCAGTGCTGTTCCAAGGGCTGAGGGGTCTGCCTGGCTCAGGCCAACTGTAAGGGCAGGAAGGGCACAGGGCAGGTTTTCTGATCCAGCAGACGGGGTAAAGGAGGCATCCTGGAGCCCTCGGTGGCTTTTCAGGCTTTTATTGGGGTTTACCAGTACACGGCAGGCAGGGGTGCTGGGGGGCCGGGAGGCTATTGACTGCTTCCTGGCCCCTAGCAAGTCTTCGCTCTATCTGGGCTCTCCGGCCTTCTCTCGTGGTTCTGCTTCTCGTTGTTCTATCTCTGCTGGCGTCCCCGTGACGCCGCCCTAATAAGCGCAGTCTCAGCCCAGGTGAATCCCGTCTACCTAGGCCCGCCCCCTGTTCCAGGTGCCGCCATCAGGCATGATTCAGGACCGCAGGGTTCCCTCATCCATCCTGATGGCGGGAGGCCAGAAAAGCCTGATCCTTTTTACCTTACCCTACACCCCCCTCTTCAGTCTTACCTATGCCCTTGACGCGCCGCTGACTGTTCTTGGAACATTCCACAGTCCCTCTGGCCTTTGGAGGTGCTGCCCCTGCTAACCCTTGACTTGTATTTTGCTTGTCAGCCCTCCAGCCATGCGCTGCCCTCAGGGCGAGCCAGCACGCCAGCCTGCCACGCTGGCCCGCCGCTGTCCTCTGACCTGCCCTGCTCCCCCCGGGCTCGCCCCACCCCACCACGTCCTCCTTGCTAGGGCCGGCGGAATCCACTTCTGCCCACACGCTTCCCTCCGACGCGCGGCGCTCACCTTCGCAGGGGTCACCTCAGTGGGCCTTCCCCGAGCATCACATGTACCCCCGCGCACCCCAGCGCCTCTCCTCTGTTTGGCTTCTCCCCATGCAGACATCGCCACCCTCTAACACAGTCAGACATCTTTTAACCCTTGGTGATTGTCTCCCCAAAATTAAGCTCCGTGGGGACTGGGCCTTCTGCGGCCGCTCCGACACCCCCACGCGGGAAGCCGCAGGCGCGCTTGTGAGGGGTGCGGAGGGTGGGTCGTCCCCTTTGCGGATGAGGAAACTGAGCTCATGGGCATTGGTGAAAGGACAAGGATTTGAACTTGGGGTTCTGCCCACTGCTGTTTCCCAGGTGGCGGTGGGGTGGGACTTGCAGTGACGCTTCCAACTCACTGACCGGGGGTCCCTGGGCTTAGGGTAGGCGAAGCCCTCGGGCGATTGGCACTGACCAGAAAGAACCCTCCCACCATGCACATACCCAGCGGCCCAGGCTTGCGCTGCCAGCTCCCCCCCGACTTGCCTGGACAGTGGCTTCGCCACGTGCGCCTGTGCTCTCTGCGGTGAAGGGGGTGAGCTCCCGTCTCGCGGCTACAGCGGGGCTCGGGCACTGGCCCGCACATGCCCTGCTCACGGCCCCTGGGGTCTTGGCTTTGGTGCTCAGCGCCTTCCGGGACTCCGCGCACTCTCCTCAGTTCCTCAGGCCCTGAACGAACCGTGCCCGTCCTTAGATGCGGACACGGTGGCTAGGGGTGAGCACCCAGGTCCCGCCGAGGCTGGGCTGGACACACGGCTGCTCAGTGCCCGGCCTGGCTGTCTGGAGGCAGGTGTGGCCCTCGGGCCCGGGGGAGGCTTCTCCTCAGGGCTGTGGAGCCCTTAGCGCTAGGCTGGGCCCAGAGTGGCTTCCGGGGTGGGCCCACTGCCTGATTGGGAAGGTGAGGCCACGGCTTCCGGAAGCTCCCGTCCCCCATCTCCGCTTCTCCAAGAGCGGAGACAGACAGGGGTGGCTGGTTACTTCTCAGGGAAGTCAGGCTTACCATGTCGCGCACGGCCAGGAAGCACGACTGCTGGGCCCGGCTCCCAGCAGCTGCCTCTCTCCCAGGTTGAGTCGCAGCTGGCTTTTCAGCTCAGGTCCTCCCTGCGCCACAGCTGGCCACCCCCTGCCTTGCGCTGCGGTCCTCCCTGACTCCACTGGCTCGCCTCGGGGTTGAGGCACACCACGGTGCTCAGAATCCCCTCCACGCCCCTGGGGCGTGTCCAGACTCCCCTAGGCCCTCTGAGCTGGCTATGCTGCGCTGCCCTGGGGGAACCTTCAACTCAGGCCCTGCTGCATCCCCCTGCCCCCTGCCTGAGGGTGCTCGGCAAATGAGGTGCCCGTGTGGTTGGCGCTGACTTGTGCCCAGCATCCTCCTGACCTGAGCTCCCCTGCTGCTGACTCACAGGTCTCCTGTCTCTTGATGCCTCACGCTCATTTCCAATGGCCCAGCTAGTTTGTGGCGAGCTGGGTTGAGCCCTTTCCTGAGGTGGACACTGGGCCTTCTGACACCCCTGCCCTCCAGCCTTCGCCTCATGCCTCTTCCCCCAAGGCTCCCTTCAGAACACCCGTCCACAGCCCTGCTGTCAGGGCCCGGCAGAGTTCAGTCAGAACTCCCGGCTCCGGCCTGGCTGGGTGGCTGAGGCATGACCCCACCCCGGGGCTCAGTTTCTTCATTTGTACAGTGGGGCCGTAGCACCCACGTGGAGCGCTCCAGTCACAGGACTGGAGTGCCCAGCGCAGTGCCCTCCAAGCCCGAGCCTCCGCCCATTCCCTCCCTCCCGCAGAAGGAGAAGATCCGGGAGAAGTTCGTGGAAGCTCTGAAAACTGAGTTTGCCGGGAAAGGGCTGAGGTTCTCCCGAGGTACGTGCACCGCAGGAGGCCTCGTGGCCGGTGGCCCTGGGGGTTGGTGAGCGAACAGAGAGAACCCCCGCCCGCCCACACACCAGCCGCCCTCTCCAGCCCTCTGCCCTGCAGGAGGCATCCCCTGCCCGCCTACGCCCCCGCCGCCCTCTCCAGCCCCCTGTGCCCTGCAGGAGGCATGATCAGCTTCGACGTCTTCCCTGAGGGTTGGGACAAGCGCTGCTGCCTGGACAGCCTGGACCAGGACAGCTTCGACACTATCCACTTCTTCGGGAACGAGACCAGCCCTGTGAGTGTGGCCCAGCCCAGGTGCCTCCCGCCCCCCGTCGCCCCGGTCAAGGCCGGCCACAGGCGCCAGAGCAGACCCCGGAGGCGCCCAGAGAACAGCCAGTGCTCACAGCCCCGCCACACAGGTGTTAGGCTGAGGCCCTGACGGGCTGCCGCCTGCCCCAGGCCACGTCAGGCAGACCTGGAGGAGGGGGCCCCACGCCGGGGTGTCTGCTGGGCTCCACCCCGGCATCTCCTCAGCCACCACGTGTGCCTCCTCCGCAGGGCGGGAACGACTTCGAGATCTACGCCGACCCCCGGACCGTGGGGCACAGCGTGGTCTCGCCGCAGGACACCGTGCAGCGATGCCGCGAGATCTTCTTCCCGGAGACGGCCCACGAGGCGTGACAGGCCTCGCCCCGGGACTCCCAGAGCGCCGTGGCCCTGGCGCCGCGCGTGCCGGGCCTTCCTGCGGCCCGACGCCGGCCAGCGTCTGTGTGGACGACCGTCCCGCGGCCAGCTCCGGGGCTCGCGCCGCCGGGCTGTGGTCGCTGCCCGTACTTCTGAGCCAGCTTCCCCTCCCCGCGCTGCTGACAGCGGCCCTGCCTGCCGGGCGGGCGCGACGCGGGGGGCGGGTGTGTGCGGTGAGAACTTGATCTCACGGTATTAAAGTCCCCGGAAAAAAGTGTGGCCGTGGCTCCGTCTGGGGGGGGTGCTTGGCCCCGGGCGCAGGTGCCCTTACGGCCTGCAGGGGAGGAGCCAGGCAGGCCGTCTCCGGGCCAGCCCTGGGGGGCCGGCTGTGTGGGTGTCTTCCCCAGCCCCTTCCCAGGACCCATCAGACAGAGGCCACGCTAGACCAGCCCGCGCCACAGTTGAGGGTTTATTGCCAGTGTTGGGGAGGCCGGGCAGGCGGGGGCCGGGGGTCCCGGAGGACTCTGCGGGACCTGAATGGGGAGGGTGCTGCTGCCCCGCCGCCACCCCAGGCAGCCCCAAGCCACTGCCAGCTCGCACTGCCTCCTGGCTGCTGCCTAGAAGGGGCTCTACTCACAGGATGGAGGTCTTGGGGGCCCCCAGCAGTTAACTTGCACCAATAAACCTTCTGCCAAGGAGGCCAGCGAGTCCCGTTCCCCGGGAGGAAGGCCACGGGCCCCGCCACAGCACCCAGTTCCAAGTGGGGTGTCAGGCTGGGAGAGTCCCAGTTTGGGGGAGCTGGTCAATGCCATTCAGTAACTCTGGGCTCCCAACCTCTGTGGGACAGGAGCGGGGGGCACCTTAAAACCCCAGCGAGGGCCAGGGATCCCCATAGATAGTCACGGACCCCTTCATCTTGGACTGGATCTTCAAAGATTCACTGTCCCTGGCAGGCCCTCCCCTGAACCCCATTTCTTACCCCACCAGGTGATGTGCTCTCTAAAAGGGAATGTGGGGGGTGGAGTCAGAGCCCCTCCTTCCTGGCCTCCCAGGTCCCGCCAGCGATGGCTGGCCACTGGCCGCAGGGCTCGGTGAGCAGGAGGGAGGAGTGAGGACCCAGCCCCGGGGGCGGCAGGGCTGGGCCTTCCAGGCTGAGGCCACCCGAGGGCCCTCCTGACCCTGTGGGAGGGGATATGTGTCCCTCCAGCCAGGGGCCTGGGCAGCCTTGGTGACTGGACACTGGCGGAATGTTGGGGTTTGTGAGCCAGGGCAAAGGGGGTGGCTCCGCCCAAACCCACCGCTCATCAGACTGGCCCAGGGGAGGGGACACTGCCTTCTTGGGGTTCAGAGAGTCACTGCCAGCTGAGGAGGGGCTGTGGCTGGCAGAACAGGAGCCCCCAAACTGCCTTCTGTGCTCAGGCCCCTCTTTCTTGCCCCTCCAGTGTGTTGAGGGGAGAGCAAGCAGGCAGGCTGGGGGGCGCCGCAAGGGGGGCCTGCCTGCCTCCTCACTTGGCCCTCTTCCCCTGCCAGAGGCTGGGAGGCTCCCCCAAAGTGCTCCCTGGCCCAGCTTCCAAGGGGAGGGGCCCAGGCCACAGGGAGACCCCAGCCCAGGTGGGAGGTGTGAGTAGCTAGAGCATTCTGGCCCCGGGGCCAGTCCTGGGGTAGAGGCCAGGAAACAAGCGTGTATGGGTGGGATCTGCTGTACCCGCAGACCCCAGCCCCAGGCCTGCCGTTGGTACGTGGCTTGATGGGCAGGAGGGCCCTGCGCGAATGTGGCAGAGAGGAGGGGAGGAGAGTGTGGACGGGCAGAGAAGGCGGGCCGTGGCCGCCTCAGTCCAGCTCAGTAACAGTCACGGGTCACGGGGTGATGGAGGCACACTCACAGCCACAGCACGGACAGACAGACAGACAGACAGGGGCACGGAGGCCGCCCGGGGGCCTGGGTCAGTCAGCGCAGTGGGGCGCGGGGCCGGCTGCTGCCAGTCCGCCCTCTGTGGCTCCCCCCCTGGCTAGGCGGCCGCCTCGAGACCACCCGGCCTAGGAGCCCACAACCTGGCCGGACCACGTCTCGTGGGGAGTGTGGGGGGCCAACTGGGTGAGCACCACCTCCACGGCCTGGAACTTCTGGTTCTTGGGCGGGATGGGGCACATCTTGTAGGTCACCTCATCGCCCTCCACCGGCACATACTCCCCCTCGATGCTGGTGGGCGAGAGAGGGCATCAGCCCCGGAACAGACCCCACTCCCAGACGCCCCCATGGCCTGGCCAGGGAGCCTGGGCCAGCCCCGGTCTCTAGTCTGAAACACAGGGATCCCAAAAGTCCCTCCCTCCCTGTGCTGCTTGGGGATTACGTGGGGAGATCCCTGAGGCCAGGGGCTGGGGGCCAGGCCTAGTCCACCTCTGCTCCCGCCTAGCCTCCCTGCCTGACAGCCCTTCAGGCTAAAAGGCCCAGCCCTCTTGGCCCCCATGAGCAGCATCCAGGACACAGCTGTGGCTCCAGGGGCTTCTGGGCTCTGAGTGCCCCCCCCAGCTCTAGCCCTCCTCCTATGTACCCCTGCCCCCGAAAGGGGGAGGTAGAGATCAGGGACCCAGACCTCATGGGCCAGTGCAGGGGGAGAGGCCCGGGACATGGTTCCGGAGGCAGATGGGGACAGTGCAGCCAGCGGCCACGGCCCGGGGGGAGGGGACTCACTCAGACACGTGGACGAAGATGTCCTCAGACCCGTTCTCGGGGGTGATGAAGCCGTGGCCCTGTGAGCGCGAGAACTGCTTACAGACGCCCTTGAATACGGGGCCAGCCGAGGCTCGGGCTGTCCTGAGGATGGGGGAGGGCAATTGGCGCTGTGGCCTGGGGACCCAGCTCCTGGGGACCAGCCCCCCCTCGGCACAGCAGCCTCCTGCCCTGTCGAGGCTTAAAAGGATTCTTGCTGTAATATTTTTCTTCCTACCCCATTGTAAGATTTTTTTTTCTTGCATAGAAGAACTGGGGTGCGGGGTGCAGGCCAGAGGTGTGTGTGGGAGGGTGAGAGGATTCACCAGAGACAGAGCAGGGAACAGAACAGGCAGCCTGACGAAATACACTGCTGAGGGGAGCAGCGGGCGAGACAGGAGAGGTCTGCCACGCCATGTGGGTAGCTCCCTGGCCAGGGATCGAACTCTTGCCCTAGTGGTGATAGCGCTGAGACTTGAGCCCTAGGCCACCGGGGGTCCCGTTGTAAGATTTCTGAGTGAGGAATGGCCTGGGCTTCAATACGTGCCCAGAGTTGCTCCCTGGGGTATCCTGCTCACGCACCTTCCCTCATCCCCTCGTCATTTATTAAGCATCTGCTCCGTGCCGGGCTTGGGTTGAACGTGGGATAATTAGCATTTGCCACAAAACCTCCTCCCTTGGCTAAGCAGTCTGTCCCCCCGTGGCTCCCACAAGCACCCTCCCTATAGGACCCCACCCAGTGACCCACCCCAGAGGCGCAGGCAAGCCCCCATCCAGCCCGCCCCCTCGCTCTCCCTCTCCAGAGACCAACCCACGGCTGGGTTATTGTCCAGCCTGTTCCACAGGCCTGCGCCACCCCCAATGCCTTCTCCACCTGAAACATCTTCCAGGCCCTGCTAAGACGGCCCCCCTGGCGCCTGAGGCTGGTCCTCACCCCCAACCCTGCCGGTGGTAGTGGACGGTGGGCACATTCCCTCCGGACTGCAGGCAGCTGTAGGCTGAGACTGTCTATTCGTCATTGCGTCAGGACGTCATAGGGACAGGCCTCCAGCTGCGAGGGGAGGCGGGGTGGGCCCAGGGGGGGGGGGGCAGGGCAGGAGAGGCGCAGGTACTCACGCGGAATACGTCCTGGTCCGCTTGGTGGGCAGAGGGCTGGGCAGGTCCCGAGCGGAGACGCCGCCCCGCTCCCAGACCCTGCTGCCCTCCCGATGGAAGGGGAAGGTGGGCCACACCGGGGACTTGGGGGAGTGGAGCGGGGGTACAACTGGAGGGGACGTGGGCTCCGAAGTCATGGTGGGAGCAGCAGGAGTACCGGATGGGCTCCCAGGCTCGGGGGCCGGTGAAGGGCTCGGATGTCCTGGCGGGCAGGGCCCGGCCTGGCCCTGCTCGGCAGCCTCGGCAGCCACAGGCTCCGTCTGGAACAGGGAAAGGCGGGAAGCGTGAGTGAGGCCCAGAGCGGGCAGCTCCTGGGCGACGGCGTGAGTCTAGAGAGCTGGGCGGGCCTGCGCGCCATCCCCCCAGAGACCCAACAGCCACAGACCCCTGCTCCGGGCTGGCCTTGCTCCCCCAAAGCCCGTGCGTCGAGCGCTAACCCCGGTGGCGGTATTTGGAGACGGGACCTCAGGGATGTGACTAGGATTAGGGGTGGTCAGAGGCCGGATCCCCCATTGCAGGACTAGCCCCTTAGCAGAGCCTCCGAGCTGGCTGCCTCCCTCTGGCCCTGGCACAGCAGGAGGCGCTGACCTGGGCACCACCCTGGCCTTGGACCTCCAGCCTCCAGAGCCAGGAGGGAGATGTCTGTCGTGGGAGCCCCCCAGTCCATGGCATTTTGTTTTTAGCCAAGTTGACTAAGACACACCTGGGAGCCCCGCTGGCACAAGTTCCATTTTCCGACTCCCGAGCCCAGAAGAGGCGCGTGCCAGAGGCCAGGGACGCTCTGGATATAATTTGGCACCAACGCGTCAAGCCCACAGACCTGCGTCTGAATCTCAGCTTTGCCAGCTGTGCCCCGGCAGCCTCGGGCAGCCCGTCCTCTGACGCTGGGCCCCCACAGCCCGGGTCTGAGTCCTGTTCCTCCACCCCCGGCGGTGTAGCCTCGCTCCACACTCTCAGCCGTTGGCTCAGCTTCCCGCCCCTCACGGGGGGATAATGTTCTTGTTCAGGAAGCGCTTGGCCCAGGACCGGGCGTGTGGGCTCCCGGGAACACTGGTGATAGTTCCTCAGCCCGTTTCCTACTCTCTAGAAAAACTCGGGGTGAGAACACCATGCAAGGCTGTTGAGGCTCCAGGGATTAGGGCGACAGTGCCTGGCATCTCTAGCACCCAATAAAGTGCTACTACGGGTGCTAATCACTAGATATTCCCACATCAACAGCTGAGGGCCTGGACGACCTTGAAAAAGTTCACTCTATTTTCTTCTGAATCTGAAGAGGAAGAAAAATCGTTTCTTCCCCATTTCCCCGGCCCCAGGGATGGAGAAGTCTTGGACCCCAAGATGCTCCGGTGGCACCCTGTGGAGGAAAGCTGGGCCTTCCCGGCCAGGCTGCTCTGAGCCCGGGACAGGAGCCTGCAGGGGCGGCGGGGCACAGCAGGGCACACAGAGCCCCAGCTCTGCCTTATGTCAGCTGCCCACCTGGGGTGGCACCTCCTTGGCCTGTTTCCTCATCTGCACAAGGGAGCAGATAAGCCCCGCCTGGCTAAGCCCGGGGTGTCAAGAAGCGCCTGAAGTCACACAGGCCTAGGGGTCCTGAGTCGTCACCTCCTCACCCCCGTTCCTTTACTCCCACCCCTCACCCACAGGCCCCGAGGTCGCAGGTGAACCCCTGAGCAGCTGGTCTCTGTCTTGCCTCCTCCCTGCACCGTCCCGAGCCCGGGTTTCTGGGGAGGACGCCCAAAGCAGCGCAGGGCAGGCCGGGCAGGCCAGGCAGGCCGGGCTGGAGGCTCTCAGGCCGCTCTGCTCGAGCCCAGCCGGCAGGGTGCTTCTGGGTCCGGACGGCGAGAGGCTCTCCTGTCCTGTTTGGACAGGGGGCCTCTTCCTCCCCAGGACCCCATCTCCAGGGGTGCCGGGGAGTAAGAACTGCCCCTCGTGGCCCCTCAAGCTGACGTCGGGTGTTGCTCTCGGAGTCCATTCTGGGAGGCGGGGGCGGTCAGGCCTGGCTGCTTTACCCCCATCTTAGAGGATAGGCAGAACCTTCAAGAGCCACAAACACACAAAAACTTGTATGTGAACATTCCCAGCAGCATTATTCATAGTAACCAAAGAGCGGCCACACCCTAAATGTCCACCAGTGGCTCCATGGACAGACAAAACGTGTGTGGCCAGAGTGGAGTATTACTCAGCCGCGACCAAGGCGGGCTATGATCACGCGGTGACGCACAGGAAACTTGCGGCGAGGATGCCAAGGGCAGGCCACCGGCGCAGGGCTCCGCGCGGGACAGGCCCGGGACAGGCTAATCCGTGGAGCCAGAAAGGAGGCCAGTGGTTGCCTGGGGCCGGGGGAGGCAAGGGGGCGGTGACCTCTCACGGGGGCAGAGCTTCTTTTCAGGGTGATGAGAACTGGACCAAGGCAATGTCTGCACCATCCCGTGGAGACAGTAAGAACCACCGCGCTGACCACCCTAAGCAGGGAGGGGCAGGCGCGTGAGTATCTCAGCAAAGCTGCCACCGGGAGAGCAGCCGCACCACCCTAGATGACAGCCAGGAAGGCAGAGCAGCTGGGGGCAGGCGGGCAGAGCCCTCCCGGAGTGTCCCCACCAGACCTGGGCGAGAATGGCGGGCACTGGGGCGCATCTGGGGAAGCCCTGCCTCCCCGACTGCTGGCAGAGGCGGTCCCGGCCTGCCCTCGTGCCTGGTGGTGACAGCCTGGGCGGGGAGGTCGTGGGGGGGGCGGGGAGGGGCAGCGGCGGCCACAGTGGTTACCAGGGAGACGCGGCTACAGGTGGGGACCCTGCTTGGGCCAGCCAGGCTCCCAGACACCACGTCAAGAGAGTGGTAGGGAGGGGACACGGGTACCGACTGGCCGGGGCTGGGGTTGAAGACTGACCCCCTTCCCGGCCCTCCCCCACATGGGCTCCTTGAAGTGGACCAGGCGGCCGAGGGGAGGAGGAAGAGCAAGAGCGACAGGCATTCACCCCCTCCAGCCCCACGGGACTGTGGGGGCTGGTCCCCCCACACCCCTCTTTTCACCCCTGGCCCCTCAGGAGAAGGCAGGACTGAGGGCGGGAGGGGCAGACGAGGCTCCTCCGGGCCACAGATGCAGGCTCTCCCCCCACCAGCCTCGGTTTCCCCATCGGGAAATTGGGCGTTTCCCTCTGGTTCAGAAAGTGGGGGACAGTCTCTCCTCCGAGGGCTCCTGTGAGGACCAGAGAGATGGACTGGGGAGCTCCAAGTGGGCACGAGTTTGCTCCTCCAGAGGGTGCTGGAGGAGCAGGTGGGTTGTGCTAAGTTGAGGAGGCAACTGAGCAGGGTCAAGCCCACCCTTTACTCTTACCTTCCTATTTCCCCAAACTCGCCCACCCAGTGGGTCCACCCTGCCCCTCAGACAGCCTCAGACAGCCCTGGACAGACAGGACCGCTCTCCCCTCCCTCTGCTCTCTCCATGTGACTTCTGGAAGTCTGGCTGGCCGAGCAGGGCCCCCAACCCCCCCACCGCCTTCAGCTGTGTCTCCTGGTCATCAGGGAGTGGTTCTAGCTGCTTCAACTTCATTCCTGCTCCAGCCCTTCAAGGCCAGTGCAATGAGTGTCCCCTTTTGCAGAAGGGGAGACCGAGGCTCAGAGAGGCAAAGTCACTCTCGCAAGAACACACAGCAGTGAATGCCTGCGCCAGGACTGGCGCCCATGGGGTGGAAGCTGTGCTTCCTGGTCCCGGCCCTGCACTGCTCCTGGGCTTGCTGTGTGTCCTCGGCGGAGTCTTTCCCTCTCTGGGACCTGCCAGAGCCCCGGACTTGAAGTTGCCCAGCAGCCTGACGCCAGGAGAAGGGGGCGGAGGCTGCAGAGCCCACCCCGAGTTCAGACACTCCCAGTGTTGCTGCAAGAGGGGGTGAGTGAAGATGGGTTTTCGTTGTCCGAAGGCGGCACAGGGCGCAAAGGTCTCTACAGAGGGGCCTCCCTGGTGGCGCCAAGGGTTGAGACGCAACCTGTGAAGCTGTCCGGAGCCTCTGCAGCACGAGTTCCATCCCGGGCCAGGGACGTGACCCACATGGAACCAGAGACCTCTCCTGACTCGCCCGCTGCTCCCCTCAGCAGTGCATTTCAGTAGATCCGCCTGTTCTGCTCCCTACTCTGTCTCTGGTGAGTCCCCTCCCCTCCCGCACCTCTGGCCTGTACCCCGGTTCCTGTATGCATAAATAAATCAATCTTTAAAAAAAAGTCTCCACAGAAATTATTTCCCAGCTGCCCTAAAAGGCTGAATTTACAATAGTTTCCACTGGACACATGAGGAAGCTCAGGCTCAGCAAGGTTGGGTGATTTGCCCACCAGCACGCAGCAGGCAGGTGACAGAGCCCAGATTTCCCTGCTGGTAAAAGTATTTCTCCCATGATGATAAATTCTGCTTCTGGTTCAGCCCAGACGAGGCTGGAGTTTTACCAAAAAAAAAATTCTGGAAAAACTAAAGGAAAAAACAAAGTCCCCCAGCAACCAGGACTGTGTGTGTTTGTAGAACATTTGCTTCGAGCCAAGCAGTGCTAAAGCCCAGCCCCCACACCCCCCTACCCTGTCAGGCTCAGTGAGCCCCGCTAGGGGTGATGCCCTTGAGATCAGGAGGCAGGAGCACCATGAGGACCCAGCCGGCCCCAGGTCTGCATCCTGCCTCCAGTGTCCGAAGGCGGACCAACCGAGCAACCTTCCTTTTCTGAGCCTCAGTTTCCCCATCTGTGCAATAAGGTTGAGGACAGCACAAGGGGCGGGTTGTGGGAGGAGCGGAGTCAATGAGCCAGCTGGGAGTGGGCAGCTCCCTGGCAGTGCGCTTTGGCCCTGACCTGCCTGGCACAGCTCCTCGCCACCTCTGTGCAGAAGGCCAACCCGCTGACTGCAGACAAAGGATGGGGAGGTGAAAACAAAGCCTCACGCCTGCTTGGAGGCGGCCCACAGTGAAGCGCAGCGGCGTCATGGGGCACAGGCCTGGGTGGTGACTCAGCCCGTCAGCAGGTGCCCACTGCCCTGGCGCTGGGCGCCTCCACTTCTCAGTTCCCTGAGAGAAAGGGGCAGGAGTGGACTTTCAGAACCCCCTCTTGACCAGAGACCCCTGTGGCCCTGGCAGATGAGGGAAAGCAAGCTGCCCGCCCAGTGCTGTGTGACCTGGGGCAGGCAGCTGCCCTCTCTGGGCCTTCCTTTTCTCCTCAGCTACTTGAATCATCTCTGGTCCCGATGACTTGTGAGGGTCCGGATGACTGTCCCCTGAGGTGGCCAAAAATACACACCAAGTAAGCGAAAC